TTATAGACAAGTCAGTTTACAACTTAAGTATATTATAATTGATAAATTATTGTAACATTCACAGAGATAACGTTTGTTTCTTTTAAGAATGTGCTAAATATGTGCCTAAGCGTTTTCTAATACGTGCCTATGATTTAAACTATATATACCACTTAAAATAATCATAACGAGTCATCCACAGTTAGTGTCAGTAGATTCAAGTACTTATTAGTTGAAAATAATATAAAATTGACAAAATGAAGATTAAATTCCTGTGCTTCATTCTTCTGGTAATTATTATATTTTTTTTATTACAACCTTTATCTAGTTATTAAACACTTATATTAATTCATTAGACGAGTGATTCGGCCATTTACTCAAAACTAAATAAATAATGTATTCAAACTCTGTTGAATTATTTTATTAGTTCAACCTATATTCCGTGTGGATAATGCTTCAGGGATAATAATATTATTAGCTACATACTTAATAGTAGATATATATTTCGATTTTAGTCCACACTCGTTCGATATAGTCTTAGTAAGAACAATGTACAGTTAGATGTTCTCCTACATTCTATATCCATTTTTACTTCAGCTATGTAATATTATGTTATCTGTGCTTCAGCTAAACATCTACCAATATTAGGAAAATTTATAACAGGATTATTGTGTTTTGGTTTTATGGTTGCAGTTTATATGAATTAACATATTATCATAATCAATAAATTTAACATTTAGTACTATACCTATTCTTGTATTAGCATTATATTAGCGCATTTCCGAAGAGAGCGGGGTGTAGGGTTAAATCCGCCAATCTCAAGATAGGTCATTTCTGATAAATGATATAATGTATATATATAATGAGAAATGATATAATTTTACAATATCTTATTGGTGATAAACAGGTATACCTATTGTTTTAGATTTGGTGAAGATTACAGTTTCTATATTAATGTATCATTCTCCATTAACAATGTAATTATATGTTTTTATTTACAGTTCGATTTTCTACATGCAATATGGTGGAATGAGAGAACAGGTTACCAAAAGTTGTCGGTTCAAGATGACGTTGGTAAAGCATTCAAGGATTTTAAGGAAGTGGTCATAAATATGACAAATAAAGCTAAAACTAATACAGAACCGGTATTTAATAAGCTTGGAAAATGGTTTAAAAATGCCGGAAGTTGGATACAAGATAAATTTACAAGATGACACATGGTACTTACTGCAATAGAGACCTGAAATATTAGTGAATTAAAAAAAATACTTGATGTGGAAAATACAATAAGTATTTTTATTATTAAAATTATTTTTATCGAAATAAATAATTGGTTTACCTTTGTATTAATTTTACATATATTTACTATAATTTGGAACCGCCACAATTAAAGCGCTAAAAATGGGGGTATACACATGTTTATGACATTCTAACATAAAATACCTAATAAATCGCAATGATCAAAATTTTCGCAGGAATTCTTTAAGCAACATAGACAGTTGCAGACGACTCTGTTCGTAAGTTTAAAATGTTCCTGATTCAGACACATATTTATTATGTTGCATCAAATAATTAGAAGGCACAGTGTAAGAATATTTTAATTATCAAGTTGATAACATTATTTTGAATCTTTCCGTATTGATACTAGTTTTACTAGTATTATTGAAATTAGACTTTATATAAAGATAATTCATTTTTATTATGTAGCCATGTTTGATTCGGTGTAATACAAATCGTGTTCGCATTCTCGTGTATTATATTGTTATTGCCATTTGGTGAAGCTGGTTGTCACCTCCGGTGGATACCGATTACCCAATTTGCGCAGTGGGGTGACCAAATTGTATACGAATCAATGACTTATTGATTTTATTATTAATTCTTCGAAAATTATTGGAAATGAATAAAAATATCTTAGATTGTAGAATGAACCAACTGTCGAGGTTGTCTCACAAGATTACAGCATGGGGTTTTCAAGAATGGTATATTGGTCGGCAACCCGCACGTGATATCCCTGGTATCTCTGGCGTCCATTGGCTAGGATAACCGTTTACTATAAGATGGACCGTATGCTTCTTTGTACCAATAGTAATATAAAAAATAAATGTTATATTTAGTCCCTATTAGAAAAAATATTTTCGTATGAAATTTCAGTGTAACCAAAGAGTATGTGTCAATTATTTTTAATATAAGTCCTAATTTCAGGAGCTTCTCGGTCCTGAAAACTAGATAGTTTTTCAATCATTGGTAGGTATTGTGGGACAATAACTTAAGTACCCATTCCTACAAGTAAAATAACAGATTGTTCATAAAAAGAAAACAAATGAAAGGATTAAGAAATTATATGTTCCAAATCAGCCTGAAAAGAGATCCAAATGTCATATAAAGCACTTACTTTGTGTGCGGGGAACGCTGCCAGTAACTTCGGAACTCGGGTCTCCTTTTAATAATATATTTTAGATATTATATTATATTTTTTTAGGTCTTTGTAAAAAAGATTATTATAAAACTGAACAGTTTGTAAAGGAAAATAATGTTTTGTAGAAAATATTTAAACTTCATAGCGCTGACAATATTATCTGATTGCATCAGGAATGAGTGCGGAGCGCTTTCTATATTGATTATCGCATACCTCTTATTGTTATTGTATAATTATTTATATTAAACAACGTCTATTCAAAAAAGCAATATAAATGTTTCTTGCTCATTCTTCTTGTGATGAGTCTGCGTTCCGAATGAGTGGTAGAATAAAAAAATGCGACTATTCAAAAGGGTTTGTACTGAGTTTATATGAAAAGATATAAAGATTATTTCTATTTCTAGTTCTAAATGTAGATTCTTAAGGGTTTATCCCGCAGAATACCTAAAGCCATGCCAACCCTGCCAGTCTGCGAATAGTTAAGTAGTACGAGTTGTAAGAGTGTGGGAATAAGAAATAAATTGTATGCAATATGTTTTTCTCTGTATTCTTCTCGAATATTGACCGGAGTGGTCATTAGTTAGGACACCTTGCGATGTGAAGACCGACTTTCGTATAACTTGCTAATCGAACAAGTATAGCATATGACCTTGTGAACGGAGTGATGACCTGGATAATGCTAAAGACAGTGAGATAGCTCTAGGGAGGTCAGAATTGGGTCTATGTTGTAATAATTGACCAGTAGACAATAGATTGAAATGATATTGATGTTTTTTTGAACAACCCTAACCCGATTTTGATAGAACTTTTCAGTATAATTATCAAATTTCGAAACAAAAATGTTTATTAAAATTATGATATTAGATTTAAATGGATGATGGCTTTGGATCATGGGTTAAGTTATGTCACCATTGGTTTACCACAATGATTTACCACCACTTACTAGATTTTAATTCTATAATAATTCTTTAATTTTGTGGTCATGTACCTATCCCTAATATATAGAAATGTCTAATTTTCTTGTCTAATTTGCTTTTATATATATATATATATATATATATATATATATATATATATATATATATATATATATTACGAATACAATACAATACAATAAAGGTCACTATAGCTGCGAACAGATGTAAGCGATTGCAATATTGCGCCGACGACCTTATTGGTGGAAAAATGATGATGTGATATAATATATTTAATCACTATCCCGAATGATACGAATTCGTGGACCTTATTTTTAAGGCCCTGATTCGTATCGGTTACCGTGATTGGACGTGGTCAGGCTACAATGTGTAACCAATCAATATAGCATATGTTAATAGTGTTGGCACGTTTATAATCGTTAACGACAATAATGTCATTTTAAATAGTAATCAAGTAAATCTTCGCTCATTCTATCAAGTAGAAGTTTAGATTTAATAATCATTAACCTATTGAACACAGAGTCAGACTTGGTAGAATGTGATGTGGGCGTAATATTATTATGATAGGTACTGGGTTTGTACTTCTACACTATTGCTAACGTAGTATTGTTAGAAACAAGAGTTGATATTATTATTCTAGTCATATTTTTTATGCGTATTGGGTGTACATGGGTGTACAGGTGGTACATGTGGCGCTTCAAGTGTGAGCGATTAAAATTCAAGTATTTGGATTAGGAACTGATACCTACTGCAGATTATATTACGTTCTAAACAATTTCATCGAAGTAATACTAATTTCTAAAAATTACTGATCAATTAGTATTTGTGTTACTAATGTACAATATTAACTGTTCTCCCAAGTGTACCAATGAAGAAATATAACGTCAATTCTACGTATTTTTACCACTATTAGTCATTTCTACATACTTTGATTTTACGTTCTTATTTTTTTTATACGAACTAAGATGATTATTAACCTAATATAAAATAGAATTAACCAAATACGAGTAGCAAACGTTTTGCGAACAATTGTTTTAATTGCGTAGGTATAATGCTATAGCACAATGTATATATTTCCCTAGAAAATAGAGGAAAACAGTTATCAGTAAATCGTACGTTAAAGTTTATACATTAGTGTGATATTTTTTAAATTATTTTTCCCGACTTATTGCGGATATATTCGTATAATGTGCGACAGTTATTAAATAAATACATAATCATCATCATCTGTTTCTGTTCCTTATTCCATTTATTTGGGGTTGGCATAATATGTTTTTCTCTTCCATTCATCCCTGTTCGCAGTCATCTCGTTATTTACTCCCTTTCTTATCATATCATCTTACACACAGTCCATCTATCTCTTTTTCGGCCTTCCTCTGCCTTTATATGTAACACCTTCCTTAAATCATTACATGCCCATACCATGATACCATTATTAAATAAATGTATACTAAAGGGAATTTTAACTTTAATTTAATGTAATATAGGTACAGTTGTAATTCGTCTGTTTTTACTGTTTTATTGCCATATGAGCTAAAATGGGAACAGTGTTAAGTACACAGCCCTTGAGCGTGACAGATCAGGTCTTTTGTCCCCCATTATTTTCTGTCTGCCATTTGATTACAATGACACACGTGCGTGGCCAAAGCAAATTCAGGCTTTCCTGTTGATCCTTTGTTGGCAGTAGGAGTTGGATCTTCGCACTGATAGCACATTCTTGTGACCATTTCATTTTGAAACCAACATTTTGGGCTCATCTAAAAAAATGGATTTTCGGCTATCAATCATCTTTCTTGTAGTAAGTAATGTACTTAGTATTACAAGTTTACGCTTTTTTGGATATATAAGATAACACAGTTCTATGTTGTGTTCCTTTAGTAGTTTTGAATAATTTGGTTCTCGTTATTATTATTTAATTATAATTAAACTGTAAAAAGAAATCTTATAATAAATAATATAGTAAAACCACTACACTATTCTGTTTCATTTATTCAAATTAAGAAAAGTATTTCGATAGAAAAAGGACACAAGCGATCGATAACTAAAATAGATTTCTTAGGCGTCTCGTGTTCTTGGGAATAAAGTCTTATTATAATATTTTATTACTTTCTAAAAATAACTTTAACTCATATTCGTTAAGTATTGTTTATTTGAAATAAATATTTTATTTAGTAACTATTCATTACAATAAATTTGATAATGGTTGCATATCTGATAGAGACAGTAGATCGCTAAACTTTTATTAGCAGCTATATTCATTAAGAAATATTTCGTCCTGCCTATACTTCAGCATGTACTACATCCAACATGATAATTCGTCCGTTCATTACAGCCGCAAGATGTTCTCAATTGTTAGGTATCTGTGTAATCAGGTTTTCGTAGCTAAATAGAACTAGTACTCGTCTAGTAGTTGAAATCCAACAGTAATCCGTTTAAATTTAATGTTATTATTTTATCAAGCACGTGGTAGTGTATGTAATGTTTTTTTATTATTTTGCAAATTTATGATGTATTTCAAAGGTATACGTATTACGAAACATCTCCTTTTGGGATAAATATCTATATTAAAACATAACGAATAAGTATAAGGGAAATAATGATTATTATTAAAGTATAATATAATTTATTTTAATTTGGTATATATAAATACTTTTTACATGTCATAATCTATCGTCTATTCTAAAACATCTAATATGTTTACCTTGTTTACTAGCTATTTAATTCTATATTTATATATATTTTCTGTAGTATTTCCAGTAGTAGGGCCCCGTTTTCGACCGATTGCACATATTTTTGAATATTGTATATATTGTCATATTATGTAGTCCATGTTTCTTTGGAATTCTTCTGTATCTATCAAACAGTGAAAGAATTTCTTAAATCGGTTATTTTCTTCATAACAAAATACTCTATCTCTCTTTATAATATTGGTACAGATATATAGCGTGTAACAAACACAGTAATAAATATTTATATTAATTGTTCATTAGCAACGTTTACAGTAAAATTAATTTCTTTCCAGTTCATCATTGTGGTTGCATCAGCTCTGCCCACTGACAACACAAGTCATCGAGACAAGCGTGACGTCATGGAATCAATGAAGAATGCCTGGAACGAGGTAGTGAAGACTCTTAGTGACGCCGGCGATGCTGTTGTTCATGTATTCAAGCCCACAGAGAAAAGTGTAGTAGACAAAGTTGCAGATGGGGTCAAGAGTCTTACACAATAAATCGATTTTAGTGATGTCCCCAACTTTTGTAGGTATTAAAGACTGCGTTTCTGCATAGAATTACTTTGTATGCTCTTAAATATTGAATAGCAATATACTTTTTTATGTATGCTTAGAACTATAAAAATGTTGAACTTAATATTATTGACATTAGGTGTCTATTTTAAAATTCAACAAAATGTTTACATTTAAAATTGAACCTTGTAACAATGGGCCACAGACGCAGTAATTTCATGTATTAGATTAAATGCATTTTGTTGCGAAATGCACCTGAAATGGTTTTAATAGTTATCGGTCGCCTAGAATATATCTATCTACTTGTATCTTCAACTGAAATTCTACCCATAATTGTACGATGTAGTTTAAATTATATACCTAAGTGTAATAAGCAGTAAATATTGTGAAACATTATGATGTGAATACAAACAATAGAATACCTAATATTGAATAACCAGTTATTGACTGTGAATTGTGTTAATTGACAATGTTATCTTTTTAATCATATTCGTCACCGTATTCAATTATTATCAAGGGATATATAATAACAATAATATTCAAGTCGAATATCATTCGAAGTCGCGAATGATATTCGTATTTATCAAGGAATGTGCTATTTTCTAGAAATAAAATATAAAAATATCTTTGTCTATCTACTACGATATAGTTCATGCAAAATAAACCTTTTAAATTTGTTCAACTAGATCGTTTTAAAAATATAATCACACACTAAGACTCTACAAATATAATATTAATAATATCTCAACAGTTCATAATAAATATTAATAGTTTCTTGTTTTAAAAGTTTTGGATTCTTTTGACATTTAGGTAACTGCCTGCTTGTTGGTTTCGGATACTCAATTTGGCCCGAAGAGGATGCCCTCGACCGACTTGCCCGGTTACAAATTATATAATTATGTAAATATCTGTAAATTGTGTTGTCAATATTTATGGTTAAGTGAGTATACCATGAGCCTATTTTGTCAACAAATGAACTTTTGATATGATGGTACGAAATAGTAATATATACAAGACTAATCTCAATGGGCTTTGTTGATACAGTAGTTAGGCCTATTATGGGCATATTGTTCCCAAAATTGATAGATAATTTAAATAAATGAGTATCTTCCATACAGTATTGGACATATTGGACCGCGTCTATATATGTAGAAGCTTCGTGTACTCTTACTGCTCGTAACTTGTACTGCTTGTTTGTATCTATTGAGTTAATAACAATTAAACATATGTATATACAGAGTATTCTATCGACTACCTACTTAAAGGAGAAAGTTTTGAATTTGAGGTTACAAACTCACTTTTATTCGATTTTTTTTAAATCAATTCTTATGCTTACTTATAAAATAATATAGAGATTAATTTATAAGTAAGCATAAGAAATGGATTTTAATATACCATAAATATATTATATTAAATTTCAATTATTTACGTGTCATTGATATCAGTGTTAATTATAAATAAATCTACAGGAATATTGGAAATAAACAGGGAAAAGAGTAGTTAAGGAAAATTATGTTCAATTATAAATAAATAATTACATTAATAACACAGTTTCATTTTAATTAAGTTAATAAAAATATATAACACTTTAATTGAAATAACCTATCTAAACGTCCACACAATTTTTTTGGTTTTATTACTTGAATTGGTTAAAGTCTTTGTTAGTATATATATAATAGTTTGTTTATCACATGTGAAATTAATTGGAAGCAAAGAAGTGCGAGTTGGAAAATCCAATAATTACTGATGTTAAAGAAGCATAATGGTAATATATTAAACTTCACTATGGTAAGAAATAGTTTTGTCCACTTGGTCTATACCACCTTTGTGGTGCACGTCAGCACCCACTGAGCTCTCGTTGCATATCTCTACGAGTTTATCGGTGCTCACTTCCATACGATGTGGCGGGCTCTCAGGGTAATCTGGCCTCTTTTCGTAACCGTCGTCTATGTTTTTGTTTCGCGGTGGCAGTATAAATATCCCAGCAGTGACCTCTTTGGTCTCAGTATTATCTCCAGATAGATCAGATAATATTTGCTGGCGTCGTTGTAAATCGCAGATGTTGTACTGATAGAACTCTGCCTTAGGCCGTTCCCTCACGAACATACAGTAGGCGATCCATAGTAGCACCAAAACTGCCTGTAATAGTAAACGATTGTTAGAGCGGCCTTCGAGAGTGAAAGACAAATGAAACGCCAATGTTCGGTATGCAAATATATTGAACAAACTTACCAATATAACGGCACATATGAACCCAGCTAAGTCAGCACTCATTTTTTATCTTGTTTAATATTATCGAAAGTCTGAGACGAGTGGTGCAAGCGAGGTTAGATTGGAACACTCACGAGTCGCCATCGGTCCACTTGTCGCATTCAATTAATGTCAGTTGTAACTCTTTTAGTCCATGATGTCATCGCGATGATTGTATTCCCTTCAATGGATATAAGGAAGTGTATTTTGTTAAAATAGATTAAGATAATAAGAGAGGCAGCAAACACGTATACTTGTGCTGATTTATTCCTCGATACTGAGTTTCTAAAGGATATTTCTTTGTACGCAACATGATAGTATCGGATTGCGTTTGAGGAAAAATGCTGGTGTTTAATGTCATTTCCTTAATGATACTTATATATGTCCATCAGCAAAATATATTTAGAAAATTAACGATAATTTATGTCTTTTGTTATAAAAAATATTATATATTAGTTTTTATTATATTAATAACAAATAAGACTACAATCTCTACGTAGCTGAAAGCTATTACCTATACCTGTATAATATGTAGGTGAATAAGTATATATGTATATTCGCATTACTTTCCCAAAAACTGTTAAAATTCCGATTAATTTTTACGCCGTTATAAGGTCTCATATAATGTTCTCAGGGTTGCAAGTAGTTTTAATAATAGTAGAAAACATATACTTCTACTTTCAGTCAATTTTGCGGGTAGTTTATGAAAAAATATTGCTTTACGTATTTAATCCATCGTATATTTGTAGGAAATTCTTTTTTTCGAACTATTCTAATGCTGTTGGCCGCAGCTGGATTTTACAGCTTCACAGAACTGATGCACTCCAAACTAAATCCGCGGAAGTACAGAAATAGAGTGCGAAATGGAGCGGTTGAAGGCCAAATACTGCCTGACGGATAAGTAGTCTAGACTAAACTCTTATCCGTCAAGGCTATACCTAGGTATAGCCTTGATGAGGCTGACAGGGCGGTAACCAGAGGGGTCGGATTTGTTATTACCCGGCATGGAGATACTAATATAACCAATATAATTAAAATTTAAGTAAATAATCAAACAATTTTTTTCTAGCTGTCTAGATATTGAAGTTGGGCAGCACTGCGTTAAAAATAGTGACGGGGAGAGGTAGGAGGTGGGAGAACAGACTTTTGACTAGTCTGTTGGTTATACCTTCCGAGCCGGCGACCTTTTAGTTAGTAGTTACTTAACTAACGTTTGGATCTCATCAAGCATAACTAGTGAGACAGATTCGGTGAGCAGTGTGGAGCAATGCATTCGATTTTGGTGTCTATCCTCTCGAGATAACCTGCCTCGAGTGGGAGCATAGATTGGATATAAAACACTCAGCTTTCTCCTCGTCGATAAAGCTATACTTTACAGATCCAACAATAATAGGAAGCTACTTAAGAAAGAAACTAAAATACGCGCGTTTTAGGTACCATTTAGAGAAAAGCATAATGGAACCTGTTACGATATGAGTATACAGAGAAATATTTACATATCACCTGATGTGTACACCTGGCTCTAATATTCATTTACTGAGCGTAGCAATAATACAACTAAAATATTTTTATAGACCTGGTTTATGTAAGCCGTTACAACTTTTTTCAAGACAGTCTTAGTTAGTGAAGGTACTATACCGGATATGTTAGTGTACAAGTAGCGTGAACCATATGTGATCCAGAGAGGAACAAGTTTTTTGATGGACCCTACAGCTGGATTTGTAATGAGCCTCGTATCTTCAATTGATTCTGCCTTGACCTCATAACTAGCATCCAAATAGATCACATAAAAGACTTGAACGGAAATGTTCTACTACTGACCGGATAAGCAGTCGGATCGGATCAAAATGATTATGGTGTAGAGTATATATATTGCGGTTCAATAGTCCACTAGCTTGTACACTTGCACTGAAGATCCAATTTTCAAGGACATATAAGGCCATACCCTATATAGGAAAGCATATTATTATCCGTATCTGGTGCACTCTTTCTATTTATCTTAAGATTAATGTGATACGCACATTAATCTTTATGCAGTAAATTATAGAGTTTGGTAATTTATCATGTTACTCTCAAAAATGCCTTGGAATGCGATATTACTGATTTATCCAAGCAACAAATTCAAATTCAGAAATCATTTATTCATATAGGACTATTTAGCCGCTTATGTATCTAATTTTTTTTCCCTAACGTCTCAACTAGTAAGTTTTCGTCGTAATATACAGTATCCTAGTGTTTCACTGCAATCTTACTAATTTTATAATCGTGAAAGTTTGTGAGTATGGATGGATGGATGTTTCTTACTATTTATCACATAAACTACTGAACGGATTTTGATGAAACTTTATAATAATATAGCTTATACATCAGAATAAGATAAGTTGCGCTGGTCTGTTATTAATTAATAAACATTAAATCTATACTAATTTTATAAAGAGGAAAGATTTGTATTTTTGTGTGTATGTTTGTTTTGAATAGGCTCCGAAACTACTGGACCGATTTGAAAAATTCTTTCACCATTAGGAAGCTACATTCACCATGAATAACATAGGCTATATTTATTGCTAGAAAATATTAGGGATCCTTACTACTTTAGTAACGTAACTCAAGGTGTAAAAGAAATGCTATAAAATATCTTTCGTCCCGTGCGCTGAGTGATATTTTCTATGGAATTGTTAAAGAAACTTACAAAGCTGCATGCCAAGATAGAGGTTTGCTAGAAGATTAGATAAAAATGTAAAAATATCCACCCGTGCGAAGCCGGGACTGGCCGCTAGTAGCTAATACAATGCTCTATTATTGGCCCTAATTAAATACTCCTTACTTACGTTACGTTTTTAATGAGTATAACTATCAATATCAGTATTGTGTATTACTAAGCGGTGATCTTGACGGGTCAGGTAATAGGTATCATTTCTTTATAAAACACAAATGATATAACACTTTAGTACATAAGTGAATCAACGGGGCACTATATAGTTTGAATGAATGAATATTCACGTTAATATGTTATATGCAATGATGGCTAGTATCATCATACTCGTGAACGGATGCTGCTGGAGACGGGTCTGTTTAGATTACGGCCACTGATTAGATTATTGCTGGTAGTCACTACATTTTCCCCAATTACTAACGGCAGATTTGACATATATTGGTATAGACTGGTAAATATTGTAAAGAACCACCTGATGGAAAGTAGTCACCAATATATGTACATGAAGAGGATATCACTTCATAAGTCGTCGTATTTTCTTCTCATCGCTAAAAACTAAAAAGCCAGGCCTACCTGTCGTGTATCGAACCTATCCTGTAAATTAGCTGTTATATTCCAAATCTCAAATCGGAACACAACTTTTTTTATAAGCTTATTTATGGGAGGTTGTATAAAGTGTACGTTGGTATATATGTATATATATTATGACATGCAAACATATATTATAAGTGAGTAATCTATGTTGTCGTAAGCAAAGCTAAATATAGCACAAATTGTTTAACCATATGTAAAGAGTCAAACATTCAAAGTTATTTTGAGAACAAGATCTTATTACGTTTATAAGGATAAAAAAAATATAAAAATCTGTCTGATATGAGAGGTTTTTTGTGGATTTGCGCAAGCGGTTATGCTCGAATGCCACGTAGTCTAAAGGCCTTCTTGGGGAAATTCCCATGACGACAAGAAATCTTTGTCAGCATTATTTTAACTAATTAACACGTAATAAATAATACCTAATGATAATATGTTAAAACATTATAATATAAAAATTAATAATCGTAATAAAAATATTGAAGAGTAAAATAATACTTTCATGTTATCTTTATTAATTGGGAAGGCAGGGAAAGAAACAGGCGCGATGTAGATTAAATTATAATCATAAATAGTAATGAAAAAAGTTCAATTACATCATTTTAACTCGCTTTCAAGTGTAGGAGATCCTAAACTTTGTTTTTGCCTTGTGTTCCTATTTTAAAATATTTCCATTTCTTTACTCAGTTTCAATTACTTGCTATCATTGTCCGTTAGGCGTTATCACAAATCCATTATTAGAGAATATACCTATAGATGATAATGGCAAAAATCTAAATATAATATACCTATATCTTATGATTTACATATTCTAAACACGTGATATGATTGCTTAGTACAAAGATCGCATTTACTCCGTCACTAAATTAATTTTCAATGTTCCAACTACTGATATCAAATGTAATGAAAATAATGAACAAATTATTAATTAAATGTTTAATTAACAAATTGATTTATAAAATATTAGACAAAAACATATTTTACATATTAATTTATGATATAACCATACACAAATGTGGGTAATATTTAGATTTTTTCTACTCTCCGTCTCTCGTTTGTGCCCCTGAAAAAATACAATAAAAATAATTTGAATAACAAGTATTTTTTAAACAAATTCATAGAGTTACTAAACTTTTTGAACAAAGTTTTTACACTGAGGGGAGGGAGGGAGGCTTTGTACAAAGTCATTTACGTGAGTATCTCTGTTTATCCTATTCCTGACGCTACAGAGTTGTTTTATAAGCTCTCGTTTGAAACCCATGACACTTCAGGACTTCTTAGGAATGACAATCCAAGAGGGATACCACGGGGGAAGATATGACCACGTAACGTCAGCAGTGTAGGGGACGGTTATGACATTTCATTAGATAAGTGATCAGCTGATTTGCTAATCCACTTACGTTAAAAAGTTAATGACGATAAAACAGATTATGATTCTAATTTTAATAAATGGATAAGATTAATCCATTTATTAAAATTAAGACAACTTTGTTTTGGAAGGAATAAGTCCTACCTACAAAAAATTAACTCTCTTTTTTGGCAGATATTGATTTAACAAAAAAAAAAAAGTGTATCGTTTTATTTGATAAATTTACGAGTAACTTATAAAATTAATTAAATTAAAAAAAAAATGTATTTTTATAATAAAAATCAAAGCTTTTAGGAATTGTCTTACCTTGAGGACCGTCAGCAACATTTACTGAAAAACAATAATTAAGACATATTAATAAATGTACGTAAATAACGGGTTGTTGAAAGTAATGTTACTAAGAAAAATTTTTTTTTACTAAATGAACGAAATATGAATTTTTTTTTATTTTTTTATGTGTAATTGAGTATCGCAAAGACTACATAACCGATTTTTAAACTGTTTCAACTGTTATTAAAGCTACACTAAAGGAGTGCTCTCCTGCAGTTGTAATTTATTTCTTAAACAATTTAGATTACTGGTATTAAACAAATAGAAGGAATTATTTAGTGAAGCAACTAGTCCAAGAGTCTACTAACTATGTTATACTTCACGATGAGCATACTTATTGGCAATTAAACCCTTGAAATTTATAGGGTTACGTCATGGTCTAACCGGTACCGAGACCACTAGTGTGGTAGGTATCAGAGATAATAAAATTATTTTATATTAAAGGTCATATTGATCAGCTTTCCTGTTGATCTCGGAAAATTACCTTTACAATAAATAAATGCATACCTTGATTCTCTCCATCAACCACTTGAACTGTAACAAATAAAATTATGTGTTAATTAAACTATAGAATAGCAAGTAAGTTTTATCTGTTGTAGATTTAATACAAAGTTGTCTGCATGGGGTACTAAGTATCTCTACCTGTATTGGTACAAGTTATAATTTTGTTACGTTATGTACAGAAGCACAACATTTTGGTTTCGAGGAATGGTAGTTCATGAGAGGTACGACGGGACGGATTCACATATTGTACTGTTCATGTATATAGGTTGTGGTCGCCAATTACTATACAGTGATTAGTAGCTAGTATGCCATTCCAGGTACATAAAAAAGTAAGTAACAGTTTTCTCTTCCTTATTTCTCCAATTCAATTTCAGAAAGCATTTAGTATAAAAATGTAAAGAATAATTTATATTTTCAAATGTTTTCCATCTACGCTAGTTTTTGTTTGTTTTATTCTATTTTAGCCGTTTACTACTAAACATTACATTTAATTGTGGATGTTGAATGGGATTGTTACTAAAAACGGCCTTGAGCCATCTATACCCATTAAAATACTTGAGGTCGATGCTCTATCAAGTTATAATATATGTATATATGCCGGAGGGTTTAATAAATTACATAAGTTCTGTCGAATTATAAAATAGTGTGACAAAACATACAATATACATACTAATTCACCCTAATTTACTCCAACCCCAAATTTTATTTTATATTGTCTGTCTAATGAATTAAATTAGAATAGAAAGGCTAATAGTTCTGTAATTTTCCGATTATAAATTACAAATGTAGATCATAAAACTATATCATCGATATCCATATAATTTTGTAAAAATATATCTACATATTTACCTGGGTCAGGTCCACCGACCACATTTACTGAAACAATAATATATATTGAATTAAATTTGCTAATAAATAGTCACAAAATTGGACGACTAAATATAGAATATTAAAATATAAATATTAAGGTACGTTATAGGTACTTATATAAATATGTAACAACAATTGTTGCTGGCAGTTTGCCCATGATTTCTTTATATAATGATTTATACATCTTTATATAATGTTTATACCCATTGTATGTATATCATTTTAGACTTTACTTTATTATGAGCTTTTTGAGACTGATATATGTATTAATTAATAAATAATTATTTATTAGTATTATAAAAAAAAAAGAAACTCGCTACGGTAATGATTAATTATTCTTGTTAATTACTATTAATTATACTGTTCTGGAACAAAGTGTCCTAATTATATTTAATTATTATACAACACTCCGAATATAGTGTTCCAGTGGAAACTTTACAATAGAAAGTATTAAAATATTATTTAGGAGATTACTAGAATGTATTTATCTGGAGAAATCCTAGTTTGTCTATCATAGGTAAGAAGGTAGCTTGAGGCATATCGTGTGATTTTTAGAGGATAAGAATCCAGTTATAAAATAAACTCTACTTGTAAAGAATACTATGTAAGTAATGAGATACCTGGGCCTGGAGTGATACTCTCCGCTACGTTAACTGAAAGAAATAGAATAAAATGCACATTAAAACATAATTTGAAAGACTTGCACTTGTCATATAGGATAGTCAGAGGTAGTCAACAGTCGACTTCGCGGTCAAGATAATAAAATAAAATACACACATTTTACTGACTATGTTTTTAGCCTATCTTCTTTTTAACGTGGAGAAAAACTTCACATATTTGACCACCTGTCCGGAAATGGGTGGTTACTATTAAACTAACGATAGGTCTAAATCGAGTATAAACCACTTTGACCAGTACAAGCAATAGTTACTCGTAATAACACAATGTTATGTATTAGGCTTTATTTAAATGAACTAATTTTCATATTTACTTTATTGAGTAGGTATTCAAAAATATAATTTTTGTTATTACTACAATACCTATTTTTTCTATACATCTCTATGAGGCCTTGATAAAGAAATTATTAATAAAACCATATACCTATGCACTATTAAAAGATCTATTTTGTGTAAATAAAAGTAACTATATGATATTTATACACAATTTACTAATATAGTTAGAATCATATTTATTATTATATATTTATACTACCTACTGTTTATTCATATTATACGGAAATTGATTTTTTGCTTACCTCGTGGGCTGGCAGCTGTTATTGTGAACAGAGCCACTAGAGCGAAAACAAGCTGGAAATAATTATACATATTAATAAAAAAATAAGCTAAATTTCCGTATCACGTTATTAAAAATATATAAACTACTAGAAAATGAAATTATTATTTGCTTAAAAGTATTCTTACTAAAAGAGTTGTAGGTTTAAGTTTCATTGCAATATTTTGAGTGATTTCATTTGCAGTCACGATCAATTTGGATAATAAAATAAAAATAATTATATTATTTAAAACCTTGAAACTAACGTATAATTAACAAGAGTTCCCATTTTTTTATCTGCATGGTTTTCTAAATCTATAACATATATCTAGAATCTATATAAATATTTACTCAATTATGTAATCTAAAGTACTCTATGATCAATAATAATAAAAACAATACATTAATATATTATTAATTTTATAAACATTATGTTTACCCACTTACTCGAATTTATTAGCTAATTTTAATTTTCACAAATATTGAAATATCACAATGTATAAAACATAAGGTATTGAGATATAAAATCCTAACACCATTTTTTAAGTCAAACTTAACTTTTATCTATAAACGACTTCTGTGAATGATATAACTAATATAAAGTAACGTATAACTTGATATTTTTTTATCACTGTTGCGGCAAGGTACCCAAACTTTAGTACATTTAAAAATTCAATAAAAAAGTAAAAATAAATTTTTATATTACATGTAGAATTAGAATTTTATAACTTTGTCATTACACCTTTTATAAAAAACTTATGATATTCAGCACAATAAAGTAAAAAAATCACTCTACATCAGGCCAGAGCACAGTCAAACCCAATCAAATTTCAGAATAAAAAAGACACTAAAATTACGTCTATTAACAGTGAAAATTTGGTATTTTGTAAAAAAAAAAGGATTTCACAATTAACATACATACCATTAACTTAGTCATGGTTGTGCTAATGAAAACTCACGCAAGAAATCGTTAAGACTGAGTAGTTTGACGACAATTAAGATCTTTTATACTGAGATAATATTGACATGGAGGCAACGAGAGAGATAACCCCAGTCTGTGGCCAAATCTGTATTTCGTATTACTATTAGTTGACGATCAAGAAGGAAAAATAATTATATGAAAGTTGGCATGCATAAGTATAAACAAGTAGAGATATAATAAAGAATAAAAATATATCTGTGTTTGAATATATACGAGAAAAACTATAAGGGAGGAGGAGGGAGGACTTTATTAATGTAATAAAACAAAAAAAGGGGTTTATTTTATCCCAATCGGTTTATTATTTTTTATACCACGGCGGACTGACACGAAGTCACGGGCTCAACTAGTTATAATATGAATATAATAAAAATACTTTTTCTTTTTCTTCTTAATCGTTCCCTCACTGGCGAGGATCGCGACTATACAGTATCTTGTCGACCAGCTGTCGCCATCGGTTGCGCTCAGAGGCCTGGTGTAGTGCGGCGCTGACAGTAATGTTTAGCTGACGGGATACCTGGTCTGACCATCGAGTGGGACTTCGGCCTCGAGGTCTTTTACCCTCTATCTTGCCTGTTACCATTAGTCTCTCCATATTGTCTACACTCCTCCGCGCAACGTGTCCGAAGTATCGCGCAATGCGTTGTAGACAAGTAAAAGGCAGACGCCGTGACTCTTCCAATTTGAGCTCTTTTAGTATAGAGACGTTTGTATGGTGGGCTGTCCACGGTATCCTCAATAGTCGACGCCAGCACCACATTTCAAAGGCATCAACTCTTTGCCTATCAGCGGCTTTGAGCGTCCATGTCTCTGCACCATATAGCGCGATGGAGAAAACCAGTGATCATATCAGGTGCATTTTGGTTTTGTTGGTGATGTTTCTGTTTCTCCATACTTTACTCAATTGGGTCATTGCAGTCTTAGCCATGGCGATTCGTCGACGTATCTCAGTTTCGCAGCCGCCTCGGTTTGTGATCACGGAACCAAGGTATTGGAATTGGTCAACAGTGTCTCCTAGTAGATCAGTACGCTGGATAAAAATACAAGTTATCTGAAAAAAAGAATAGTAAAAAAAAACAATTACTATTTAATATATACATAATAACATAATATTTTTTAAAAAAACCAATTTATTGGTGATAAATTAATTTATAATTTAATATGCATTATAATTCCGTAATTGAAGTTATAGAATTACTAGAGGTCAAATAAATAGTTATGTCACTACTATAAATAAAACTATCGTATAATGGACAAAGTATAATTGTTACAAAAAATATATTTTGAGGTAACTTAGAAATGTAGCTCCTTTTAGTTCGTTTTTTGTAAATAAATTATGTTGTTGATATAAAAGTATTAATTAATATAATATTTATTACAGGATAGTGTAATATGTATTAGATATAAAACATTGCGGGAAATACAATTTTTGTTTTTAATTATTTATTATATCATATTATCGCGAATGGCAAACAAGTTGATAAACCACTTGAAGGGATCCATCGTGTATTATAAACCATATGATATCGTAAAACATACACTTACCCATTGTATCAATAATGAGACAGAATGACAAATATTAATAAGAGAAACAAACTTAGTTTAGGCACTCTTGAAAGTATATATATTCTCAGAATTTCAATCAAAACAATATTTGTCTTGATTATTAAATTTGTTGATGAAAGTTTAAAGTAGAAATGCTAATATTTGTCTTTGGAGTATTTTTAGATGTAATTAAGGAGCTATGAGAGAGCTCATGCTATTGCTGCTCACTACTATTATCCTAAATTTATGATTAAATTAAAAAGAAAAATCTTCAAATATCAATTAGTTCGTCAAAAATATTCAGTATGCAAAGGGGTATATGCGTATGACGGTTTAAACTGTCATTTCTTTAGATACTTCCTACGATTTGTCAATCACAATTTAATACCAATTGGCATCACTCAGGGGACTCGTTTATCGGGAACAGCATTGATCAGATACTATATACCCAACTGAATGAATCAAACTGAGTTATTTTAAGCTGATAGGTAGGTATAGTATACTAGTACAATAGTACAATACATAGTTATAGTAACTATGCAGGCTATCATGATTTAACAATAAGAACCTTCGTCATTGCGGGACAAGGTAGAATTTTACCAAAAACGTGGAGGTTCCGAAAAAATGGTTGATGCGTATGCTTAAAAGTTAGTTACAAAAATCACACATATGTAAACATAATATATTTATTGTTATTGGAATGTTATTACCTCAGTACTTTCCATGTAGTTCTTTTTAATTATTTATGTGTTTAGTGTTTAATTCAATTTAATTACTAAATTGAATTAGAAAAAAGCATTTCATTTTTTAGACAATTATTAATTTCTTGTTTTAGATCATGATGCGTGGCAAATGTAAGGAATATGTCACAAAGGAAACGTTTTATTTACTCACTTTTAGTTAAATGGGTACTGTTCTTTTTTTATACCTACTTGTATTGCCCTGTTATATATTCTTTGAAATTTTAATATGATACAGAGTATCCAAAGTTTATGGTAGAACGAAAATAACAATTATAAAGTATTTTTATTCAATACTGAAAAAACAGAGACAGACACTAAAATTGAGCGTAAATTTAATATTTGTGAGCATATTAAATTTATTCTCAAATTTAGTGTACATATAGGAATATTTATATACACTAACGAAAATATGACCATTTTCTTTTTTACGTGTACTGTTTGTACATTGTAGCTGTTATTACAAATTCCCTATTTTGTATTCTGTAAATATTAAAGTTCTAGTCAATATCTGTATATACACAATTAAATCCGTTCAGCAGTTGAAGAGTGATTGAGTAAGACTTATGCAAATACATATATGTACAAACTTTCACATTTATAATATTAGCAGAACATAATATTAGGAAGGCAATACTGCATAAGATGCATAGGTTATACAATGTATTGTTAGTTACATTCGAGTTTATTGTCCGCCAGTAAGATACTTATGTAAGAAATCTGCAGAACATCAACATCATTGTAACTATTGTTAGATACCCGACAAGGTAGGTATTTTTAATAGATCTTTATTAGAATACCATAGTAGACTTTATAAAAAGTTGTCAGCTTTGGTACGGTAGTTTCATCTATTTCATTGTGTTCCGTATGACTCTTCAACCGCAGTGAAATAACTGGATAAGCGCCATTGCAGTGGGATCACAGGCATCATATCATAACATGATGTCCGTAGTTCTATTGATGTATACAGCGGACGGTACTGCCTACCTTATGGTAATTGCATAAGGTAGGCAGTAAGCTTGTTAGATATTCTAACTACTTAAAAAACGGTTAGTGCTAAGTGACTGCCTCCCTACAATATATTCGAGGTCGCACCCCATCTAGTTGGAAGTCGCAAACTGTGTTTGCTTGTTTGTAATCGGGACTATGTTATGTGTAACTAGTGAAGTCGGTTTGCTAATTCTTTGAGAATGTGATTGTTCAGATTTTCTAATTCCATTCTATATAATAGTGAAACTCCAAGTTAATACTTCTCTATAGCTTTCTGAAAGACTTGAAGAATTGAATCCTTGAACAATTAAGAATGTGAATGGTAGCTTCGGTAGTTTGGTAGCTTCACTTGTAACACTTACCACAAGTGTTGCCAAAGCTGCCGAAACAAAGACAATTTTTTTAAAAGTTCGAAGTACTTTCGTTCTTACCAAAATGTTTAAAAGTTTGGCGTTACCTAGTTTTTCAAACTCTACCTAATGTAGTAGTATTATCGAGTAACCTCTAGTCGAAATTGGGATTGCACGTCTGACATGTTCTTTCCGATACACAACTCGCCTATAACTTAAATGATTATGTTTCCGTTAGCTTACTTTGGAATATCTAGAAAATATACCGATGTAAATAAATTTTAATATATTATATATTTAGTAATGTAAATAATACGGTGCTCATTGTATTAATTGGAAATATAATACTATGTGGGGGGAGTCAGAATTGGCCACATAAGTAAACTATGAACATGTTTCATTATCACAGGTATGTAAAATCGTAATGCATATTTTTAGGTATATGTTCTTTTATAAAGGTTACGATGCACTAGAATTCTAATGTACCACTTAATATTATATATATATGAAGTTTTATAAAGATTTATAGATCTTTGTTATTCGTTTACGATGAAACGGCACTTTCGTCCGTGTGTATATATAATTAAATTGATTGTACTCGCGTATATAAAATTATTAGTAAATAATAAATGCTATTAAAAAAATATAGAATAGTTTGTATTAAGTCTAGTTTACGAGCCTGAGTATATAGACAGATAGAGAAAAAAGATCTTTACATCTTTGCACATGATCTTGGAGACAACTCCGAATATACAAACTCATAGTATTATAACTGTACTCTTTATACTATTACAGTGTAGATAGAGTCGTAATATTAATTAGTGTTCGGGAATAATACCGTGAACTGACCACTCACCACGTGCATCACATTATTTTGTGACGTCAATAGAGCTTTTAATGTCCACTGAGCAAATTAATTACCACATGACGTATTTCCAACATGTATATGTGTATACAATAATACGTCACATATGTATAATATATGCTTACTTTTTGTGAGGCTGTGGTCATTCAATCATAAAAATGACGTTCGTTAAAGAAAAAAATGATCTGAGCTCTTTTTACATGTATCACTCTAGCCTTTATCCAATAAAACTATTTGTTTTGGTCGTAACAAGTAGACATTGGTCGACGAAGCTGTTCTTATAGAGTTCCGTATTATAAAAGAAAAGAACGCAGTCCTTATTATATACTAAAAAAAAGAAAAGTCTGTTAGAAGTTTTATCACTGAAGTATTATATACACATATATTATTTAAATTATATACACATAGTAATTTTAAATTCGGATGTAAATGTAGATTTAGAAAGTCTCCTATATAAAAAAATACGTATACATATGAGTATACTTAAATAATTCCAGGTAGTCAGGTGAAAATACATGGCATCGTACACTAGACCAAACTTCTAAAGTATTAAAAATTTTGGCTCTTTTCAATCTCTTATGTTACTGATTCGAAAATTTTGAAGTTGGTTTCTACTGATCAAGTGTACCTACTATTGCCTGTTATGGATTTCTTTTAGTCTTCAGGCTGCATTTAGTTAAGCAGATAACTATATACAAAGCTCTTTTTTGTAGTAATATTTAGTGCATTATTAAAGAGTTACATTATTATTATACTTTATCCAACCTTGAAAAAAATGCTAAATATTTTTTTAGTGTCTATACGTTTATATATTGTATTGACGTAAACATTTTTATAATTAACATCCTACACTAGAACACTACAGTCGCGGAATCGACTCGCGCTTCACCGATTTTGTGTACATACGTTAGCTGGATCAGGGGAAAATTTCCTGTTTAAAATCTGTATATAAGATTGCCAGGTGAGATAATAGCACAGTGTTTGTTGTGACGGTGTATGAATAACTTCAAATTAACGTAAGTCGTTTCATTTAATTTTTATACGATAGTTGTATATAAAGTTGTAGCGATAGTCATATTAGAAGATACATATTTATAGTTTACTAACTTTGAATTTTAACATATATTTAAAATTTGCCGCCAACGCATTGATCATCCGGATACATAGCTATCAGGATGGTCAATACGTTGGCGTTGTCATTAGTATTTCAGGACGATACTAGTAGATAGAAAATAATAGGTGTTTAACTTTAAATGAGTAACTCGTTAATAAATTTGAAATGTACTATTTAAGTAGTTTTCAATTATCCTAAATATCCATGAAATTTAGGGGTATATAAAGTCTGTTCTTCGTTATTAAAAAAATACTCTTTTTAACTTTTTACACAAATAGGGTAATTTATTACACATTTATAAAAGAAATTGTACACATAAAAGTTAAAATTGCTCTAAATGTTTTTTTTACCGACTTCATAAACAATATTATTTCTCCATAATACCGTACGGTTGCTACTAGATATCTCAGCAAATTATTGCCTTTGATGATTTCTCTTGCAATTGATTGAGTATGGGCTACTTTTTCTAGAGCAATTTGATATGAAACTATAATATAATAATAGTAAATGTTCTTGATGATTTTGCTATAATTTCACTATTTATGTATAAAACAATACTTACTATGATGTTTATAGAAACATCATAGTAAGCTGTGTTTTATATGTATGTATAAATATATTTCCAATAGTGGAAATATATTGATACATATATATAAAACACCTGGTCATATCTGGCAAAGCGTCCGGTGATAGGTATAGATTTTCTACAATTTTATTAATATTATTCTGTAAGGTATTTATATTATGGGCCATTAGTAGTATTATTAAATAAATAAATATTCTCATGTTAGAATAAGTGTTATTATACTATTACCATCCTTAAAGTCAATGTCAGTAACAAACGACCACAGGGCTTTCAATGTTACATAAAATGATAATCGCATGACGGTCATGGCAACAGTATACATATGACTAGATTTTAACATAACCTGTATTGATTAATAAAATTTAAATAAAGAAATCCCATATTGATAGTTATATGACATATTTAAAATTGTAATAAATTTCTTTATACATATAATTAAATAAAAACCCACTTTTATCAATACCTAGAGATAGAAGTGGATTTTTTAAATTATTTTATTTTAGTTCAATTTAATTTATACGAACGAAAAAATATAGGACAGGCAAGCTAAGTGCGGGTTAATTTAGTGTTAGTTATTATTTCTTAGTGTTACACAAAATAAATTAAAAAAATATTGTTAGCAGCGTCATTTCAGTTTTCTTACGAGGAAGGAATTTAATGACTAATTTAAACAGTAAAATCAATGTATCTGAAGAATAGTCAAAATATATTAAAACAATCATAGTAGTGTATTTTTTTTGTATTTTTCAAATTAGTGGATAATGATTGTTTATCTAGTGACTAGCTAAAATTTTTGATTTTAATAAAGTATGTAAATAATGTAGCCTGAAGCCTAGTGTAGATAAATCGTCAAAGGAAATTTCGCGGATGAAATCTCAGTATATTTCTCGTAGTCTGTGTCTTAATAGACATGTCTATAATTATGTTTACAATCGTCCGTCAAGACCTAAGTAAATATTAAATCATTGAATGTTTATTTGCCTTAGTTTGGCAAAGTTTATTGTAAAATAAATATTAGTTACGCCAGCAAATATTATTCTGTATTCCTAAACGTATTCGTATTTATATTTTTGAGTATAGGATGATGTACATGGGCATTCAATTAGCTGGAGTTTGATAATAGCTACTACCTCTTCCTTTAGTGAATGATGTACATTCAGAAACATTGGTTTAATAATAAAATTTACCCATAGACCATTAATGTAACTAAAAAGTAGAATGTTAGTATAAGTTAAAAGAAATCAATCCCCATTACAAAAAGAATCATCACAATCAATGCGGAATTCGCAAAGATATAGGTAACATGCTAGACACGTAAACGCAAATCGCAAAAATGTCTAAAAAAGTCGTATTTACTCGATTTGCACAAGTGGGTTCATAATATTGATATATTTCCTTAATATTTCAGAATGAAGACTGTAATCAGTTTATGCGTGCTGGTGGCTGCAGTTTGTTATGCTCAAGATACATACAATCCACAGTTCGATAGTTTCAATGCTGAGGAGGTTGCAGATAATACACGCCTTTTGAAAAATTACGGAAAATGTTTCCTAGATCAAGGGCCCTGTACTGCAGAAGGGTCTGACTTCAAAAGTAAGTAGTTATCTCGTTGACCTATCTATACACATTAAAAAAGTTACTAGTTTACTATGAATTATTCACAAGTAGATTATATGTCTAAGAATCCAATATATCATTAAGGCGAACTAGTGGAATAAATACCAAATACAACGGAAGAAAAATAGAAAAATACAACTAAACCTCCTAGTATGGCAACACTATAGGTTGGGAGATACCTCTGTCTAACAGTGATATGCTAATAACTACAATGTACCTAATGATGATGATGATAAATTTACATCACGAACCTAGTTTAATGTTTAATATATTGAAGGGGCATCGTTATGTAAATCAGGCTTAAATTACTTTATGTTAATTGTATCCAAGTGAGACAGCATTTGGCATTACAAGTTTTATCATTGTTGACCAACACTGATTAAATTAGTATGATACCTACACGGACTATACGCTATCAGTTATAAGGAGAATAATTCAAATCAGCTCAGTGCAATACAGAAAAATAATATTTATACTTTTTTATTTCGTTTGTTATTAAACATATACAAAATATAATTGTGTAAAAAACTTCCTGAATTGGGTTATCTGTTATAATCAAATTCTTTTAACAGGAGTCATACCAGAAGCATTGAGAACGAGTTGCGCTAAATGTACACCCAAACAGCGGGTACTGATCCGCACCGTAGTTCGTGCCTTCCAAACAAAACTGCCTGATATTTGGGAAGCTCTGATCCAAAAACATGATCCTGAAGGTACATACAAAGCTAGCTTTGATAATTTCCTTAATGCTCAAGACTAAAAATCTAATTTACAACACTTAATGTATGGAGCTGGTAACACGACAGGGCTGTGCAATTTAATGTTTAGGAAGTGTATAAAAAAACTTAAAAAATGTTATGACTCTTTTTTCAAATCTTGTGAGATATCTTTTGATTATAGTAAAACAAACTGCGAAAGTCTGCATATTTGTTTTATAGTCATATTCTTCACGATGTTTATACGAATGATATTGTAAAGTATATAGAAATCATGGAAAATTGTGATATTTGATAAGATGTGAGATTTGATAATAAATTGTAAAATTTTACGATTGAAAATTTGTGCACCGGCAATTTCTTAGATATGAATAAGTTGGTATGAATGAAATAAAGAATTGAAGTAGACTATAAACCCGTTGTTAATATTTAAGTATAATTTGTAAATTGCGTGTTACTAGCTCTTACTGGAACATCACATTTATTGTTTACTTTATGATATTTGGTTTACATCTAATTATTTATTATTAAACACATAAATGCTGTATTTTGTTTTATTTTATCTATTATCATTCCTAAGGGGTCTTGCATTGATAACCTTTTGTTATTACACGTATATCTGTAAACATAGAAAAATGTATTTTTTTTATATTCTATTTACTCAAGTGTATATAACTCAGAATTTGCTAAATGTTCTATTATGGAACTTTGTACCTACATTATATCTATTTAGATATAAATTAAGTAGGTAATGTATTTGTATTGTCTTACTATATTATGACATACTTTATTATTCACTTCATACTTGAAAAGTCAAAGAACTTTAAAAGTAAATAAAAACAGAAACTATACAATGTACCTACACTATAAAGATCAGATTCTGATGTAATATTTATACATATGACAAAATTGTATAAATGCTCATAAAGTAGTCAATTATTTCATGAAAGGTTACACTTTACGAAATATTTCACTGTTTCATGGTATGGTTTATGCTAATCTAAGAATAGGTTTAATTTCATGATATAAACGCAAAAATTTTAAATACATAAATATTGTACTAAAAATAGTTTATTAATTACTGCTAAAGGAGTTAATAGAAGGTAAGTTCTTATTCTTAAGAGAGGTTTTACCTGGCCTAATAATGATTAAAATTTAGGTAATAATCAGGTAAAAATATTTTTTCCGTGAAATTTTAATGACGAAATAGTAAATAATTTTCTAATTACTGATATTTTAATGTACCCAATTGTTAAGTTTTATGCGTATATCCAAAAGGAGTTCTAGTTAGAATACAATCATTTTTATATTTAAAAACAAATGATATATCCGTATGAATACGAGGTAAACACCAGCTACATGAGTTATTCTGTCTAAAATGATAAAGGGTTATTGTCATTTTGATAATAAAGTTGTTGTTTTTATTGTTACGTGTAGTCAATAAATATTGACATTTGCAGTAACATCAAGTATGTAATATTTTTATACTATATATATAAGTAAAACTTGATATAACTCGTCTGCGTGGGTACGGTATGTACCTCTGTCTCACCTATTTTATTTATCTCAGCCACCAATCAGTTTGGTGTTTAAGACACCTAGGGTGAGATATGGTAGCAAGATTATAGGATATAGATATAGATAAAATCTTAATCTTCCGGAATATAAAAGTATGACGGCTTTTTTTTCATTGACGATAATGGTATGGTCAGCCTATACGCCAGCGCTAACGGTCGCGGGCAACAGTGGAGATGATCATGAAGTCAGGTCAGATTGCCTGAGTTAAACAAAACTCGTGATTAAATAACAAGGAATTGATCACAACCAGTGGGAACCGCGTGTAGGTCAACCTAACATGGTACATTGCTAGCTAATGGATTAGACCCCATTACTAACAATCCCCTTCTCCCCTCATGGGTATTGTCAACGTCACATGATAACATGATGCCCATGGTGTCATGTCAGACATTATTAGATACTTGTAGATATTTAGACATCTCAGCTATACTGTATTTAGTACTATTAAAATTGTTTTTAACGTATTTTAACTGTAATTTAATTTAAAGTACAACTACAACAAAATAAATAAATAAAATAACGATAACAGAGTAGAGCGAAATATATATTGATTGTTAAGAACATATTGTAATAATCTTCGGACATTGATTCATTGTCACTTCATCCTTAGTGTTGACTGCAATATAAACAGCTTGTGTCTTGTCTTGTCTTCAGTCTCAGGTATAAATGTTTTATTTTCTAGTTTATATAAACTAAAACATTTTTTTAACACTAACTCTAAAATTATATATTTAAAAAAATCGTAATGGCATTAATAAAAGTTTGCGCAAGCTAGCGCAGATGATAATGTGATGTCCGCGATACCATTCCAGAAGACTACGATGTCGTGTCTCTTATCCTGTAATTTTACTGTCTTATCTCTCATCTTTTAACCGAAACGCAGCTTACAAAGCTGCTTAGCGGCTGAAATAGATTAATCTGTGGTTTCCACGCGGACGACTTTTTACAAAGTCGACTTCGATGGACTTACCTCACATTTAATAACAACCCTGGGATTTTAAAACCTTTTATACTCAAAAGAACGGTAACAAATTAGCAATGGTAAATACTTGTACAGGTTATACCATTGTTTTCGATAAGATAAATGTTGCTCGAAGGATTCTCCTAGGCGTTCAAATTAATAAAAATTAGGGACCTATGTCAGACACAACACAAACAAAATGATTAAGTTTCGATCCTAAAATTTGTAATATATATATATGTATTCAGCTAAGAAAGGATTATGGAAGAAACAATTAACTATAGTATATGTGCAAAATAGGCAACAGTTAGCTAAATATATATATAGTTGTAGTGCAATTTGTATGTGAAATTGTTGTGCACTGAATCCAATTTCTGAAGTCAGTGCAATTATTAGAAGTACAGTTGAGTAGTGGTATATGAAATGTTAGGTATATAGGTATAATTCAGTTCAGTGAATACGAACTGTTACAAAATGGATTATATGTAGTAGCGAATGAGAATATAGAGCAAAATGGGTAGGCAACAATTTACTTCCACACACAAAAAGACGAGATGTGACTAAAATACCAACATAGTCTATAATCATATGAATTTCTATAGTCTACCTGAAACCGGGTTTCGCTCGAATTAATACTTACCTTAGACCTGATTTGAATATAGAACAACAATTAATTTTTATTCCGAATGCTTTTAAATTTATTGTTACCTTTAGAGTCACTAATCTTTTGTGACACTTGTAAAGGTTACGGATATACAAAATATATACTTAAATTTTAACAAAGTTGCCTGCATTTTTTTATGTGAAACGATTAAATGTAATGTCATATGCGTGATGTGAATTGAATTTTCACGAGAATATTGTGTCAGTTTTTGACTGTCAGAGTTTCATCCCTACACAATACAAATATTTGCGTTCGTGAGTATGTCTATTCGTAATAGTCTTTTAGTATATAATTGACTTGGCAAATACATTGGTATCTAAATGCAACGAACATAAATATAAAAGACAACTTCTTTATTATTAATACAGTTAATAGGAACGAACATATAAAGGTTATTTCCTTCAAAATTTCGACTTTTCCACTAGGTGTGATCACAAGATCTGAAGAACTGAAGTACAGCGTTGTCAATGTCGGTAGGTGGCGACAGTAGGTAGGTTTTTTCAACTACTGTGAAATGTAGATGCGATGAATACCTTTATTAAAAAATAATTCGTGTTAAGACTCGAATAAGTATATTAATCATGTGTGCTAAATGCGAAAGTTTAAATATACAACCTACTAAAAAGTATTGAAATATAAAATTAGAAATATAAATATAAAAATTACTCTTTATGTACTTTATTCGCATAGTAAACAAACTGACAGAAAACTTTATAACAGTTAGTCATCAATAAATTAATATTTGCCGTGACCCGAATAATTATTTATTTATTACTAATTTGCATCTGTTGACTTTTGGAAGAATAATAATCATGTCACGAACTCCAGAGTTTAATTAATAAGTTTCTCAACAGAGCTATGTAAATGTCTGATATTAAATTATATAACTTTACATGAGTTCCATGAAATACCTAATTCATAGTAATAGTAATATAATAATAGTTATTATCACGACTATAATTCCGAGCAGTATGATTAGAGGGATAAATAAAGTGTTGAAGTCGTTGTGAACGCAACCCATGCCATATTCACATTTCCGTGACTATATTTTTAATTCTATGTACTTGATAAGGCGAAAATCTATTGGCGTCTTTACTCCTATTTTATTTTACTTGGTTATAACGATCTTTCTATTGCTACAGACTAAGTTAAAAGCATAAATTGAGATACAGTTTTCGATGATGGTAATACGGTCCTCTCAATTCGGTTCTGAAGAAATAATTGTTATATTACAAGAAGCCACGTTGTTAATAACTTTTAAGTCATGTTATAAAGTTGACGTATTTTCTTCTTCTATCCTCATAGAATTACTCATCTGTACATTGACTTCATACTCATTACTTTTCCTAATGTCTCTGTTAAAGAGAACAGCAAAAAAATCTTTTTGTTAACAGAAGAATGAACTTCTATACAAAAACAAACATGTTAACATGTTATTAGATAAATAATTATAATGATATGCACGGTTAAATTGAAGCCTAAAATCCTATCACTGAGTTTATAGAAACGGAACTACAATTTTCAAAAAAGAAATGTGAAAAGATGATAATATTTTTTAAAAGTGACCAATGTAATAGAAATAATTCAAAATATATTTTACGATTTACATTTTATTTCATAATGAAAGAATTCAGTTTCATGTTTACTCGGCATATATTTGGGTATGGTAATAGCTTTAAGTTTATGTATAATATATAATAATAAATATAAACTACTACCGTCTCTTTCTCGCACGGGTATTTTAAATTAATTTGTACAAAACCTTAAAATTACAAATCAAACCCTAAACCTTTTTCAGTAAAATCTCTGTAGGTAGCTGAAAACTGCAGGAAAATCTGTTTAGTATTTATTGACATTATCGTAAACATATCGGCTAATAAAACTTAATTTTAGTACTTCTTTTAGTGTATTTGGAAATCGCTATTCTTGTGGCCACAAATAAGTTATTAAAGAGACAATAAGAAATATATTATTGAATATTTCCTATTTCTTACTCTTTATAATAAGAAAAGGGTAAAAATAGAGACTTTAAAATTAAAACATCTTGTTTATGTGGACTGTTATTTATAGTAATACCAAACATGAATATTGTATGAACCCTGTCTGGTGTTTTGTTCGACACTGAATCACATTATGGAATTTTTAATGAAATTTGCATCTCTGAGTTGTCTTGTAGACATAAAATTTGAAATTTTGAATAGTGTAAATATTTTCCAATAATTACGTAAAACTGGGAAACTGCGAAATATTAGTTGAATGCACTCACTGTATTTACGTAATAATTTTCTTGAATGACTAATAAATATACTTAATACTAGGTATAAGCATAAAGTGCCTAGGTTTTCAATTTACTCGAACAAAACCAATTAAGATGCAGTAAATATATGTTATCATCTTTCAGCACATGACTTAAAGATAATGGAGACAAGTGTTAAAAAAGTACCTTATCGGTTCGACCCCCTCGCGGTACTCCTTGGAAACGGAGGTATTAATATCAATTCACCAGATACACCGCCGCGATGTTTTTTTTTTTATATTAATGAAATGGTGCACGCGCCTGTGCTAACGGTTTACGTTGGCGGGGCACCAGTGGATGATGATAAAATGAATATGAGGTCAGGTCAGTTAGCCCATCCTGATAAATTCACTTGGAATTTATAACGATGGTTTCCAGGGGGAACGTGTGGAGGTCAACCTGACATGCTAGCAATGGAGTCAAGAGCCCACATTATTAACAAACCCCTTCCCCCCGCCACGGTGGGTTGGACTTCATCATCATTTCAACATCTCTCTCCATTACTTATCAAATAGTTGATTGTAATTGCCAGAAATGATATGATGCAGATGACATGTACAAAATGTCATAAGCTATATCGTATATATACCTATATATTTGATCATTGATTACTAATTAATTCACAAATGTCACAAGGCAGTGGTATTATATATATTCACGAAAATATTTTTTTTACTTAAAGGTAAACGTACTTGTATATATAATAACTACTTCATATATATTTGTTGTGATGGCAAGCATATAAATGAGTGGATGAATACATTTCGTCTCATATCTTAAACAGTGTTTCCATCGTTTACCTACTGTAAGTTGTTTTTTTTACTTTTATCAAAACCATAAATCACCATTACGTACCTGTAGGATTTTTATTTATCTATTTTATTAAAGGTGTAAGGTAAGGTCATATTTGTGTAAGAAAATGTTTAAAAGATGATTTAAAAAAGATGGTTATTTGAAAGCTAAAACAATACTCCTAGTTTTCTAATTATAACAAGCTGGATTTAAATCTAATTATTCTTTATTTATCTTTAATATTCGGATGCAGAAACAAAGTAACTATATTTTTTTTATTTAAGGATGTCTACCGGCGATATGAATATATTTCTGTATTAAGTAGATATATATCTGTATTAAATAAAGTTTCTGGAAACATCTATTACTTAGAACGTGTAGACAACTTTATACTTAAAAGTAATAACGTGTATCGCACACGTTATTACTTTTGGTAAAGCTGTGGTAAAGAATCGGTATAGGATTAATACATTCTAAATATTATTTATATAAGACTAGTCACCAATCTTATATTAAGCCATTCTTGAAGTCATTTATTTGATTGTTGACAACTGTAACACTCAACAAATTGGTATACCTACTATTGAATATCCGCTTATTAATAACATATTTCTTATTAGTATTTAGGTAAGCGATATGCAACATACCTACTTGTTCTCCGGGATTTCCATGATGACACTATAATAAGGCTGCTTTCCTGATTATTACAATAAAATAAAAAAATGCAATTATTAGACTGGTAGAATGACCGTGACTAATAATATAACTAACAAACATTATTTGAAACCATATTTATAACCTACAGTTTTGTGATTTCCACAGCGTCGTTTCAGCGTCATCTAGTCACAAACTAAGCATTTCTTGTATATGGTTATTAAATACTTAATAGAAATACATTATTTCCTTGTGAACTCATTCATAGAAAACACCCAGGCTCACTCTGAGCGAGATCAAGGATACTATTAATATTTTTTTGATATTTTATATATGTATAGATCTATATATGTATAATATTCAATGGATTGAAATTGTTTTATTAAAATTAGATGGATTATAAAAGTATTTCATTGTTTTTCAGTGCATACGTTACGAAATGGAAGTCATCACAGTATTATGTGCAGTGATAGCTCTGGTTGCCGCAGATGAAAAATATTCTGCTACTAATGACCACTTCGATGTGGAAGCACTAGTTGCCAGCAAGGCCGAACTCGAGACCTTTACCTCCTGCTTCATTAGTAATGTTAACTGCAACGACATCAGTAATGACTTCAAGAGTAAGTGACTGAAATTTTCAATCTCTTGCTAAAACGAGAATGTATTTAACATTCTCGTTCAATATTTTTTTATCTACGAATACTGCATCTGCGAAAAAAAAACACTTGTTTAAATGGGTTGATGAATATAGCGGGAGTAAACAAGTAAGTAAATTACAGTAAGTGTATTTAGCGCTACTAAATCTCTGCCTACCTCAATAAGCGACAGGCGTGAAGATATATTTGTACATTGTAGTTACTAGAATTGATGCGATAAATGAAAATCAACAGAATGATATATATTTTGCAATAATATTAACACTAGTGATATGTAATTGTTTCTATGAATATTAATATTACTTCTTTATTAACTCTTAAAATAGATAAAATTTACATTTATATTAAATTCAACTTTGACGTAGTTACTAACAGAATAGGTTTCAAAGATAATAGTGTACATAATAAGCAATTAAAATTATTCTGACCGACAGCATTGTTTATCTGTCTAATTCTGCATGCAAACGTAGGATTCCGTAGATAAATTACGTAAACGAAACCTTATAATATCGACTTGAAAAAAAACAAATAAAGAAGAGAATGACACTATTTATTTGAAAAATATACGGTAGCCACCAACAGGTTGATCCTTATTAAATATGATTTTACACTTCTGTGTTACGTTATTGTTGAACAAAAGAAGATACCGAAAATACAGAAATCATTTTAAACATAATCGAAAATGTTATCAAATATACAACAAAATCGAAGGTAGTTTATTAGGTAGGTATTTTTCTCCCAGTTACCCGGTTTTGGATAAAATTATCAGGTAACATGTAATATAAGGAATATAGACACTTGAACCCTTTTAACACGAATTTAAAGTAGGTACTATTAATATTTTATGTTAGTCCATACTATAGGTACTTATGAACGGTGTGCTGGTTGGCTGACCGTTCATAATCTAAATGTTGTCGTTAATGAAAGAGGAGAGCTTGTTTTATAATGTAAAATATAATTAGTAAAATTTCTATGTAATAGTCCGTCTTTTTTCTTGTCCTATCTATCTTGTCAAATGTTTCGTCAGTCTTAGTCACGTCTTATAACCGGCCAGCAAGCAGTCCTGTCCAGGAGGCCGCAACAACTTATTATTAATTTTAATTATCGTTATAATTTTTATTTTTAGAAGACATACCAGAAGCTGTAAAAGAAGCTTGCGGTAAATGTACAAACGAACAGAAACACATCTTCAAAAGGTACTTGGAGGGTTTACAGGAGCAACTACCCCAGCGATATGAAGACTTCAAAAAGAAGTACGATCCGGAAGGCAAACTCTTGGAACCTTTGAGAGTTGCCATATCGAATTCGTAGAAGAAAAATTTCTTTATTTTACTTTTGTACACATAAAATTCATGTGATATCGGATACATTTTATAGTTACCTACTATTCTCATCTATGCAATTGACAAAAGTGTAATTTATATATTACGAATTATTTAGTTTTTTTAACTATGATATTAATAAATTTTGATTTAGGTAATCAGTATTTATTTTATTACATATAAAAAACCAATTCACCTGTTCAAATCTATCGGATGAAGAGGACCCGCAACTGAATCACAGACTTGAATGACCAATGTCATATCATACCATGAAAATATTATGTATACAAGGAAAAACTTAGATAGTTTCAAGAAACTTAAAGACTGTACAAGTAGAAACTTACGCAATAAAAATAAGCTAATTTTACCTAAATGCCGTCTACACAAAGTTTAGTAATTCATTTTATGGTAATTGCGTAAGATTCTATAATAAACTTCCAGAATCTATGCTAAATCTTACAGAGAGGCAATTCAAATTTTATATTAAACAAATCTTATGTAAAAAAGCCTATTATATGTAAGATAGATGAATTTATAGATGATAGCAATATATAGCAAGAATAAGTTTATTTGCGGACAACGTTATAATTTATTTTTCATACTGCTTTCTTGATATATGATAGCGTAGCGGCTTTTGTATTGATTGCCGCATGCATCCTCATGTAAAGTGGGAATACTATAACTACCATATAGTAATTTTTGTAGCTGTGACGTGGTCGAGTGGAATTAGTAGTAATGCTCACTAAAATGTCCAGACATGTGGCGGCGTGGTGTCTTGTGAGGGACTGGTCTGTTTGCTCTTATCACTACGACTGATTTAATATTATTGTATATTTATATATGACCCAAAAAATGAGTGCTGGTTGGTAGTTTGTATTCTCACGTTTCGAATGTAAATTTACAAGGATTATTTAAAAGAGCAACACATAAGTTTCTTGCTCATTCTTCTTGTGATGAGACAGCTTTCCGAACGAGTGGTAGATAAAAAACAAATTGTTATGACTATTCAAAAGTGCTTAAATTAAGTTTATTTGAATAAATGATTTTCTATTCTATTCTATTCTACCAAAATATCAGATACTTTACTCTCCAAAATCTAAGGTGTTATGTAGCTCTTGTGGAAGTAATTAGTACATACACTGGCTTACAAGCGTTTCAAGCTAAATATAGGAATGGATGTATTTTTAATAGGTAGGAAATCGAGAGAGATAGATATATCTACATAAAAATTAAAACATTATCTTTGTATGTCTACCACATATTAATTCCACTGCCACGTCTTACTCTTCAAAACGGAACAAAAAACGTATGGCAGAAATATGTGAGAAAAAGTTACTAAGGTGGGTAGGTATTAAGTTTAATTTTTGTAAAATATACTAAATGAGACTATTATTACAAATTCGTCCCGACGAGACTTCACCCAAGCACTAGGACGTTATATTATATTATAGAAGTAAACTTTCGTCAGAAATTATGCGAAGGTATAGACAGACGCAGCGAGGGGACCTTGTTTTCTTATGTAGTATATATATATAAGTCCAACTAGGTGGTCTAGCAGTTTAGCACACCGCTTTACTTTTGATGGTCGCGGGTTGGATTTCCCACATGGTACAAACATCTGTATTTATCAGTATGATTTTTTGTATCGGTTTAGTTGTTTTCTATGTATATTATGTATGTATTTAAAAACAAAAATTATCTAAGTATTTATATCAGTTGTAAAACAAGTTCTGCTTACCGTGGGACTTGATGGCGATGTGTTAATTGTTCAGAGTTATTTATTTATAAGACATATTTTATGTGCATCACGTAAACTTGATAGGTATGGAAGGTTCCGGAGTTCCAGACAACATCTACAATTTAAGCTTCTGGTTTTTTTTGCAAGCACTCATGAATTATTCAATAATACAATGAAGGCTACCGCTCTAATATTGTTTTTAATGGAAGGCTTTGTGAGGATTGCGTCATTCGTCTATATACCATACGAGACTTTTGTACAAGCATTAGTAATTGTGTGTTTACATTTTAATATTATGATTAATTACTTGCAAGTTTGTGTGTTTGTTGTTGTAATACATTTGACTGATTTTGTTTATGGCCAAGAGAAATATTATGATCAAAAATACGATAATTTCGACGTAGATTATTTTGCACAGAATCCGAGGTTGTTGCGAAGGTATATGGAATGTTTTTTGGATAAAGGACCATGCACTCCGGTTGGAAGAGTTTTTAAACGTAAGTAGCTATGGTAAATAGAACAACTGTTAAAATAACAATTTTGTTGGTATACTAACAAAATTGTTATTTTAACGGTTGTAAGGAGTTGAAGTCTAAAAGCATTAAGTAATATAGTATTTCGTCAATTATATTTTTTGTTCATATCTTATCTAAGTAAGTTCCGGTAAAAAAGCAGCACTTTGGATTGTATGTAAATTGTATTATCAAAATAAATCTTACAGTTATATATAATTTAGTATATATAAAATTTAGGACAATAAGTCCACTCATTGATTAATAATCACATTATTGAAATAAATGCAACAAACTAGTACTAATTATCTTCTATTATCTTATATTCTATTTCAATAACTCTCTTATTGAAATAGATCAAAATTCCAAAAAGGATATGCATTATCAAGTAAAACTATAGAAGATAATTGTATTAGATTTCTTTTTGTTATGAATATATTAAAGTATATAAATATGTTATAATATTACTAAACAAATTGATATCATATACATATGAAGTTATATTACATACTATAGGTAGAGAATATTCGCAAGAGGGAATTTATATTTAAAATTTCGTTCTAGAAACACAAACCGCTATAACTGTGGCGAAATTTGTATTGGGTCAACATGGCAGTAAACCCTAATGATTGCAGAAAAAAATATCGAAATAAGTAGGTATAAAATTATAGAAGTAATTGCGTGGCATACATACAATAAAAATATTATTAATAAAGTTCTTTATACAAATTCATTGATATTTAATTATAGGGCACAAGTTTTATATTCGTTTCCTCCATCGTCCAACCAAGATTTTGGCCAATTTAACATCAGTTTAGGGTTCAGTTAATACCTATGATACTTAAAGGACACCAACATAAGGAATATTTTAGTAAACATGGATTCTCGCTAAGTGTCCGATTTAGGGATTTCCGACTCTAAGGGATACTTAGTTAATAACTTACTTAATAATAATAATAATACATATTCCACTGCTACGTTGGGCATTGATTGGCATTAGCTATGATTACCATTTCAACCAAGTGAGTTGGTTCAGTTTTAGTCTCTTGCATCGACGTAAAGTAGAAATTCTCGAAATAAAAATGTCAAAATGTGGCAAAAGTGAAGTCTTTAAAGTTTGCTTCCAAATAATGTTATTGTATGTTTTACAGTAAACAAAAGATTTATTGCGTACACATATCAAAGTACTATTATATTTTGGAAATTGTTTTATTAAAGTTTTATTTTCTCTAATACGAGGGGCGAGTAGATACTAATAGATATCGCAACATGCTATTGAGACTTTCAGAGAGGTTGGTATCCAACTCCTGCCTGAAGAAAGCTACTACGACGTCGTTGCGGGTTCGCATCTCTTCTTACAATTAGGTTTCGATCTATGCTATTGTTCATTTTTAAAATATACGATAAACAAAAAATATATATTGTTCCAGTGGTGTTACCAGAACTAATTACTACATCATGTACTAAGTGCTCGCCATCACAGAAAAATCTTGCTCGTAAAACATTTGATGCTTTCAAGAAATTCTTGCCGAAGGAGCTCGAAGAATTAAAGAAAAAACTTGACCCTACAAATAAATTCTATGACGCATTTGAAAAGGCTATATCTGATTCCTAAGAGTTTCGACTAAGTTTCTATATACATACACATACACTTTGAATGTAATGACAGGTAAGGAAGGACAGTCAATGACAATACAATAATTATTCTTTGTTTCACACTGACTCACTGATTTTTATGATGATTATTATAATAATTTTGTTTTATGTTATTTCAGTTTAAGTATTTTCTACTTTGATTTAAAACTCTCTAATATCCAAAGAAACCTTTTCGTTTTTCTGTTGTTCTGTGTTTATTTTTTTTGTGTTGTCTTCGGTTTTAATTTTTTTTCCAATTGTATTACTACGTCATGCATGCATATTTATTAAAAATGTTGTAATAGTAAAATGTAAAACCCTGATTCACAGTGGTTTTTTTAATAAAAAAAATATTATATTATTCGTGTGTTCGATACACTCGTATATTTCTATTCAACAAGTTGATATTAAATAATTCTATAAAATTAAAATTATTGTCTCTAAATACTGGTTTGACATGATTCTGTGATAATGTATAGTATATAAGGCACCTTATATGTATTTGTACTTTGAATAACGACAACGTCAAGACGACTAAAATTCCTTTTTAATTATTTTTTGTTGGTTACAAAAACGGTAACTATTTTTGTTTAAATATTTGAATATATATATAAAAACGCGTAAATAATATATATTATATAAAATGTTTATATTAATATTTTTTAGATTTAAATGATGATATCTGAATAATTTAAATAATTAAATACTTCATTAAGCTTAGTATATTAAGCACGCACGTAGGTACTCACGGCCAAACTGATAAAGTATCGAAATATTTATATTCGAAAATTAATTATATACAAAATAAACTATGACTATTAGAACATGAGGCAGTATATTAAAGTTATACTACTCAAGACACACGTTTAAAACAAAGCTAGTGCTGAGAGCAATTTTGTAAAAAAAGGTCTTAAATATTGAAGAATATACTTTTCTATCTGCTCTGATGTAAGAAAATCCCACAATGGAGACCTGTAAATTGAGACCTAATCATGAGTTGGATACGATTTAAGATGAGCCTATCTAGGTTATATGCAAGATCTTCTGGTAAAACAGCATATATATATACTTCAAGTGCGACGGCAATTATATAAATGTTTAATATTTTTAATTTTACTTGATTTGTTTGTTGTAACAAAAGGGTAGTTTCGCACGGGTATACATGTATTATATATAAACCTTCCTCTTGAATCGCTCTATCTATTAACAAAAACCGCTTCAAAATCCGTTGCAGTTTTAATGATTTAAGCATACATAGGAACTGACAGCGACAGCGACTTTATTTTATACTATGTAATAGTGATTTGGAATCAAATTTATTTATTAATGGTTGTTGCTGCCATAAAACTAATACAATTATCTCCATATGATTTCTTGTTATCTACTTTATATTTAATATAAAATATTTATCTTTGTTACCAAAGGATAAAAATTACAAGAAGGATTGTTCTGTATAATTTTCCTTATATATCTGAGGTTGAAGTGTTTAAAATTACTCAAGTTTCCTGGTAGTATGCAGCAATTCACAATATGTTTGGGCTATGGCCCGCCTCACGACATTTCACTAGTAAACTGCAAAGGATTCTACTGCATTTAAAACGAACACGATTTACTTACATATGATGGTATAAATAAGGTTTAAATTTGTTTATATTTTGGATTGCGCAGTTGATCCATGTGTCCACAAAGGTAGTGGGTATACTGCTGTCAATATAAACCACTGTCGCTTTCTGCCAATGCTAGTTCTTTGGGGCCCATTATAGAGAGTAAAAGGTGGGTTAACGAACTGCATTTGGCTGCAATTTGTGTCAATTCAATTCTTTTCGTGAGTTGTGTGGTGCAACTAATATTGTGATAGTGCTGCAAATATATATGTGTTTATTACTTAATTGTTTCTGACAGATTATCTAAACTATCCTTCTGTCAGTGGTTTTAGAAGAGCATTTGTTGTTTCAATCCTATATAGCGTATTTAAGAATAATGTTTATGTCTAATATAAGTTGTTCATACAAAGTACTTAAGGACTTGAATATTTATTATCTAAATATGATTAGCACTTAATTTGAATTCACTTCACATCTCGCCTCCATGGACACATGTGTTGATTTTGTCGTTAATATTCAGTTCAGGGCACAATCTATGTTGCATTGTGATTGAATACACGTGATTATTAACTAGTATTCGGTGTCTTTTTTACAGGAACATTTTAACAATGAGGGCCTTCATAATTTTGTGTTGTCTGGTGGTAGCAGTATTTGCCGCTGATAAATATAATTCCAAATATGATAACTTTGATGTGGACACATTGATTACCAATGATAGATTACTTAAAGCATACGTCAACTGCTTCCTCGACAAAGGACGGTGTACTCCTGAAGGATCTGATTTTAAAAGTACTTATGCATTTAAATTTATTAGTTATATAAGTTTAAAGCTGGTTATTAATAAACCAAAGGAAAGCATTGTTTAGTTTATATTTGGGAAATATTTTAAAGAAAATAAAAAGGAATCGAATCTTTTATAGGCATTAATTATAAAAAAATGATTAACTTTATTATTGTATTATTACAGTTAATAATTTTTTTTAGCAATGATATGATCGTATTGGATTTGGGATAACTTGCAACTATTCTTTTAAAGGTAACTTCTTGCGTAAAGGGAACAAGGTTAGGCTTGTTCTGAGAAGATAGTCTTGGACCAAATTGTAAACTTGTTTTATGTCCTTCTAAATGTCTGGTTAACAGTACTTTCCTTATTACGTCCATAACTTAATTGAAATATCGGTTAAAATAAATGATAAGATTTGTATGGAATATCATTTTCGATATTCTTAGATTGATTTTTTTTACTCTATATGTTCATATTCTATAATATCTACTTAATATTATTGATATAAATATATAAACAGTACGTATTTGTCATAAGTAGGTACACTGAACACGATAATTGATGAAATTAATTGAGCTATACTAAAAATAAACAATATTTAATAATAAACAACAAAGTTTTGGGTAACAAATAGTCCAACTATTTTAGTTAAAAGTACGACTAGCTTGTCCGTCATCGTTTTTCAGTAAATAGAATTAATATTTTGGTGGTTATTACTAAAGTTGGGTAGTAGTTTTATCAAACTAATTTATCCAGTGCAAGGTGAGTACGCTGAAAAAATAATTTCACTTTGTGAATTTGATACACCGATACACTAAGAACATTTATTATTAGTTTGTGTTGATGTACTCTTTATTTCGATTACGCGTTACCTTGGCATGACACAATCAAAGTACGTCGTAAAGACGAAGTAGCGGTCAAGATTATGTTAATTTCATTTATTTATAGTATAATAATAATACAGAGTTGCATCTACAAAAATATATAAGATGAAGCTAACCTGTTGACTGACATATGACTGCACAAACAAGACTATAGAATCTAGATGTTTAACTTTTGCTCAGATTTTATGAATGTACAAATCAGTGCCATTTAGAAGAAATATATATCACATATTCAGGATATTTTATTGCATATACAAATAATGTATTTACAAATGTTAGTTTTATTAACAAGTCAATGAAAGTCCATAAAAAATATTTTATGATTACAGAGACTCTACCTGAAGCTGTGGAAACCATCTGCTCTAAATGCACAGAGAAACAGAAACTTAATATTAGAAAAGTTATTAAAGCTATCCAACAAAAACATCCAAAACAGTGGGAGGAATTAGTCAAGAAAAACGACCCGAGTGGCAAACACCGCGCCGACTTTGACAAATTTATCCAGGGAAGCTAAATATATACACAATAATCGCTAATAAGCCCAACGTAGGATGTATTAAGATATATAATTTTGGAAAAACTTGTATTGTTAAACTCAGATAATGCCACCGTAAAAAAGTTCTTATCGACATTTTAGCACGCAGATTTTATTATTATAAAAGAATAGAATAGAACTACTGGGCAAGCAATCAAATATTATTTTATATTATTTAGCCACACAGTCGCGAGATGTTGTGGTTTATTTGTTATTATTTATTTAACAATTGTTATACAATTGGGTCTAAATTAGTTGTCGAATGTTATCATGACAATGCGTTATTGACTGATATTTTTAATAAAAAATATAATATACATCTTAAATCTATTTTATTTCATTCTTATATTACGTAGTTCGGACAAAGTCTTTATGAGGATTTTCATCGAGTAAAAAAAAAGTGGTACCTGGTATATATGGTGTATAGAGGTTCCTGTGTATTTTTTATAACAATTATGTACTTCGTTACTATTGCCTTTTATTAAGTGTGTCCTTCACTTCTTTGCTATTCTATGTAAACTATAAATAAAACTGAATATCTAGTCTTTGTGTAAGTCATAAGTGGTAAGACAGGGTGATAGAGTAGGTCACCGTCACATCAAATAAAATCATGTAAGGCTATATACAGGGTAAGTCAAAATCGTTCCTTCGAAATTTATTAAGTTTGGGTCAAGAAGTAACAAAAAAGCTGACTGTAAATTTTTTCATATGATTTTGTAGAATATACTTATGATACAGATTTATTCTTCAACGATAAAAACTGTTATATTATTTCACATCAGTAATATGGTTTCTTATTATACTATTCATTGTGTCACTTTGATAATAGTGAGTTAATACGTTGCTAAGGAGTGGAAATTAGCAATTAGCTTAGCCAGGTTGCGTTGCGTTTGTGTGTTTTTGTGTCAGGTGGGAGGGCAGCGGGTCGGTTGCGCAGTTACCGTTTGCTGTTGGTTGCTGTGTGACGTAATGACGCTTGTGCAATGTCGTCACATAATCTTTGGACACTGCAATCGTTCCGCGTCATACACCACGGGATTCGCGTCACAATTTTATGGCTCAACTCACAAAATGGTTCATGGTTTATTTTCGACCTTATTATGATTGTACAATAGCCGGATTACTACTTTACTACACTATCTAATTGATATTCCAGCTAATGGTAATCGGCAACTGTCGCTTATATACATGAACAACGCCAAGATCATGACGTCATCATGTGCCGACCATGGTCACATTCGTCAAATGTGTTCTGCCTCCACAACCCGCAATTTTACTACCATATCAATCCTTCAAACGACCCCAGAGTGAAAAGAGGATTGTTAGTAAAGTGGAATGGTGACCTCATTGCCATGTACAATGTAGCAATGTACCATGTCAGTTTGACACGCGGTTACCCCTGAATATTATCGTGATAAATTCTGCTGCTGAGCTAACCTCATGTTCATCTTATTAATACTCCAGTGGTGTTACGACAGCGTAAACCGTTAGTGCAGGCGGATGCACCATTCCATAATCATAATTCCATATCATAAATAAAATAAAAAAACCCTTCGAATGATATATATACTATTTATTTAATCTACTACTTCGACCATTTACCGTGTTGGTATTGGTAATGAGCTCCCGATATTTCAAGGTGGTTACGAGAATCCTGGTCACATATCGATTGACCAAGAATATGAAGTAAGACGTATATTTTTTTATCCATTTTCATAATTTATCTCAGGGTTCATAGTAGAATGTTGGGTTTTCTGAATTCCTGCTTCACGTATAAATATCTATAATATGCTCATTTATACATATAAATAAAATTGGAGTGTCTGTTTGTAATATTGAAATAACCGTTTTTTACTACATGCGTATGAATATATATACGGTACATATACAAATCTGTCGGTCTGTGTGTTCCGACTAATCTCTGAAATGGCTTGACCGATTTTGACAGGACTTTTTTTGGCAGCTAGCTGATGTAATAAGGAGTAACTTAGGCTATATTTGTTTTAAAAAAATAAAGTTAAATAAAATAAAAACGGTTTATTTGATAGCAAAAACATATTTTTATTGTACTTGAGGGTGTTGAAGCCTGTTCTTTGTAATATTGAAATAATCGTTTTTTACTACGTGCATATGAATATAAATACGGTACATACACTAAAATATCATTTTTTACAATTTGTGTCTGTCTGTCTGTTTGTTCCGGCTAATCTCTGAAATGGCTGGACTTTTTTTGGCAGGTAGCTGATGTAATAAGGAGTAACTTAGGCTACTTTTATTTTAGAAAAATAAAGTTAAAAACCACGCGGACGAAGTCGCGGGAACAGCTACTGTATAATATATTAGAGATACCTACGTGTTTTTTATTGATGACTAGCTGTACACGGGAATTTTTGCGTGTGGAATTTAACTTTATTTTTCTAAAATATAAGAAGTTAATTTCCACGCGGACGAAGTCGCGTGTACAGCTAGTAATAAGTAAAATTTAACATCCACAGGAAGGGATTTAAGTACCTACTTAATTTCCTTTACATTCGCATTCTATATTATATGACTGACTATTCACTCTTCATGCAGTTAAGTCGAAATTTTCAAAAATTCTATGTTAGTGGTTGCTTGTTTATAAAATGAATATAGGTTCCTAATGTCAATATTCTAGACTCATTAACACAAACGATTTTATAATATACTAGCTGTACCCGACATAATTTTGAAAATGGAAAATGTGGGTGTAAAGCATTAAAATTAATTACTAGTTATTTAGATTAGACAACAATTCTGTTATTAACAAGTTAAATACTAATAATAACACTATGGAAGAGATACATTCCACTTATGATTCGTCCGCGTGGAATATAAATTTATTTTTCTAAAATAAAAGTTTTGTTCTAAAACAAAGGTAGCCTAAGTTACTCCTTATTACATCAGTTACCTGCCAATAAAAGTCCCGTCAAAATCAGTCTAACCATTACTGAGATTAGCCGGAACAAACAGAAAGACAGACAGACAATTTTTTTTAAAAACGTTATGTGGTTCATATACCGTAATTATATTTATATGTATAGTAAAAAACAGTTATTTCAATATTACAAATAGACACTCCAATTTTATTTATATGATAGACTAGCTGTACCCGCGACTTCGTCCGCGTGGAATTTAACTTTATTTTTCTAAAATGAAAGTATACTAAATTACCTAAGGTAGCCGGAACAAACAGACAGACAAAATTTTTAATAAATGTTATTTTGATGTATGTACCATATTTATACAATAAAGATATATATATAATGTTATACATATTTTTATTGTACACTTTGTAATATTGAAATAATCCTACGTGCATATGAATAAAATGTACACTAAAATATCATTTTTTACATATGGACTTTTTTTGGCAGGTAGCTGAACTATAAACCACGCGGACGAAGTCGCGGGAACAGCTACTGTATAATATATTTCAATACGTGCATATGGGAATATAAATATTTTTTCTAAAATAAAAGTTTTGTTCTAAAATAAAGGTACTAAGTTACTCCTTATTACATCAGTACAAGTAGTAAAAAACGGTTTTGTCATATATAGTAAAAAACGATTTTGTCAATATTACAAACAAACATTCAAATTTTATTTATATGTATAGATTAGTACGTACAAAATGGTAGATTTTACTTAACTACGATGTTGCATTATCGAAATAACTAGGCGTTTTCATGTTTCGTTTTGTCGCAACATTAACAAAGTGTATTTCACACATATACTAATAGTTACATGCTCAAGAAGAAAAAGAAATATACTTATAAATATTATGAAATGTATGAAATTGACCATTTAATTAGCAATCAAACATATATACTGTTAACTTAAACTTAATTTAAAGTGAGTTGAATAAATAAAAAAAAGTTTTTATTTGCAACATTTATTTAAGATTAAAGGTAATGCTCCACATAGTGCGTTTATAATTAATAATCTTTGATTAATAGTTTTAGGTTACCGTTTAGTCAAAAGCATAAATAATAGTCATCACAGTTCTGAAAATTTAGTCGGTGCCAATTATGAAGGCTGTAAATGCCGCTTCGTAATCGCCTTTAGGGTCAAACTTAGTCCTAAAGACTTTGAAATCATCTGGTTTCTTCTCACTCAGGGCTTTTACAGTTTTCCTCACGTGCTGCCTTTGGATTGGGCTACATTTAGCACAAGCAGTTGCAATCACTTCAGGAAGTAACTCTGTGTAAAAAAAAGAAGAATAACGAAATATTTGAATTAAATATATCGACTTCAATACGTCTATACTGAATAAATACCTGAAAGAAATTCAGGCTGTAGAAGATACGGCTTGGATAGATATTTTATAAAGACATGGATGATATATACTCAAAAGAAACTAAATAAGCAAAATATCAATATTTTATTTATTTAATTCCGTAAGTTAATTGAGTAAGTTAATGCGAAATGGGCAATGATAAACTATAGCTTGAATGAATTTTTTGTTAAAACACACGATTAATTTTTTAAAAATAGTAGATATCCTTTAATTACACACTCTTCATCATTGTTTATCATTCATCTTTGTTCAACGTTAAAAGAGATACTCACTTAATAATATTTGCACTTCTGTCCTTTACTAAGAATAAGGATAAGGATATAGGTACCTACAGTCTCGATTATATTCATTTAAAATTTTTATGATGATGATGAGGAAGTGTAACTTACTTTTAAATTCTGCGGAATGTTCCAAATTGCACGGCCCTTTATCAAGCATGCAGTCAATATAACCAGTGAACAGAGTATCATCATTAATAATCTTGTCGACGTCGACTTTGTCAAAGATTTCGTCGTAGCAAAACACCATGGGGATCGCCATTGCGATCACGGTAATGATAACAGCCTTCATGTTAGTTAGTGATGATATTCCCTGTTTTCAGGTATCTGTTAAAAATATGATACGTTGTAATACACAGGACAACTCACGAAGTGTCATAAACTTTTTTTAAGACAAAATTAAGGCAACGTTATTAATGTTTTTGTAAATATTGTGACTGGAGCTTTTGTTAAGCAATTAAAAAACCACAACATTTTGTATATTTGCATTGAAATGTAATTAGTAAAATTCCAGTATTAGTATTAATCAAATTGTATTTAAGAATAACAAAACACTAAATTATGTGTACTGCGAAACTGCTTGTTTGTGTTACAATTAATGGCTGAACGGATTTTACTGACATTTGACGTGAATATCAATTGTATAAAGAGGACGGATGAAGAGAATATTTTATCTTAAAAAGTAAACGAAGAACAGCTAGTATTATTATTAGGAAACAAATAAAATCAAATATGGAGTGTCCGCACTAGGTAATCGAATATCAAAATAATCAGAGCTTAATTTAGGATTTGATGCTGCATTATAAGGTTTTTACTCATTTTGGTCCAAAGGAGTAAAAAATACAAAAAACATAATTTTACAGTTCTTTAAAAATTATATTAAAATATTATGTCTTACCAAAATAATCCTTTAAATGCTCGTTGACACTGACACCTGTGCGTATTTTCGCAATATTTATATACAAAACAAGCGGAAATTCACTATTATTATAATATCCAAACTGCGCTATTGAAATTATTCGGAATCGTAATCATTATAATATCATTACGCCATACAAATCTAAATAGATGGTAATATTAATTTAGAGGAACAATGTCGACCTTTCTATCATGATACAGCAAATTTGAATTTCAAGGACAAGGCAATATTGCCAGTGAAATCTTTGAAATACTTTTAGTTTTTCTCAATGGATGAGGGATGCAAAGACAGCACCAGTGACGGTATCCTATTATAATTTACTCTGACTGTAGTCATACTTACGAGGAATTTCATCACTTACAGCTTGTTCGGCATTTGTAGACCTTAATCGTGTAGAAGTTATAAATTAAAAAATACATTATAATAATACCGAAATCCTATCGATTGGAATGATATAATTTACCATTATTATTATTTTTTCTTTTTGTGGATTATTTATGTACAATATTTAAACAATAATGTTCTGTAGGTATGCCATTGCCGTGGTAAAACACATGATCTTATACTTTAATTGTCATCTTATGTATTGTGTTTATGAACAAAAAACAAAGTTCTATATTTATTGACATACAAATAATATAATACTAAATAAATACTACTACCGAATACCATAACAGTCCAAAAATATTGATTTCAACTCTACTTCCCAAGTACATGAATACTATCAAGTTATGACTTAAGGGTAGAAACTTCCTAACGAAAAGGATTATTGTATGGTACTCAACCCCTGCCTCTTATAGGTATCTTTTAATTAACAACTAATTTTGCTAGAGAGAGAGAGAGAGAGAGAACTAGAGTTGTGGTAAGGAAATAAAAAACATATACCTTTAGAATAAATAGGCAATTATATTAAGTGCGAACTCCAATAAACGTCTGATATTCAACATTCTTCAGTACACGTGAGCATAATAAAAGGTTCTTTTTTTTAATGATAATGAATATTAGGTTAATAAGTGATAAAGTATCCAATCAGGAATTAGCAATGGCCGATTCTAAATTTTCGAAGTTAATTCCATTGGGGTCATATTTATTTCTGAAAGCTTGGTAGTCGCCGGGCAACTGCTTCTTCAGTTCTTCAATATATCTTCTTAAAATATGTTTCTGTGTGGGTGTGCATTTCGCACATGAAGTCTGCACAATCTCTGGTATTGCTCCTGTAAATATAATTATATATGTATTTAGTCTTTGTGATGAGCAACGATTAAGTTTGCTATCTAATTAATGCATTTTCTATGTTAGCAATTGTGATTTGAGAATGTTTACTGAGATTACTGTTATTTTATAAGACCAATCTTTGAAATTTTTTTCTCTGCTACAAAAGTTAATGTAATGAGAACAGTAAATATGATGTTAAAAATGAAATACCTAAATATCAGCCCCGAAGTATTTGTAATTGCTGAGAAAAATTGAAGTTTCTAAGGTCAATATTTACGATGCATTGTCTTAAACGGATATGTAAATGAGAAATGCAGGTTCGAATAAAAAAGGTACGAGTATTCTATTGGTTTTCTTTTTTCTTAATTTAAATAATATATTATTAAATTATTAATATTTAAAGCTGATAATTTTATCACGAGACGAGTTGCAATAACTCAATATGAATATTTAATCAAAATTTAGTACAATTTTTATTGACTTTTAATATATATATATATATATAACGACATATATGTAGATATAATGATAATAAGTACAAAATTGTTTGGTCCTTCTTAACTCTTGTAAGTTTGGATTGGAAAATCAAAGCTCATTATAACAGTGTAATATAGGAAATCTCAAAATAAAAGATTACACTATGTTTCCTGACTTTTCGAAAAGAAACCGTGCCTAGCTGCTGAACATTATTATTAATGACTCTCATTAATAATGAAAAGAGGAAGGGGATTGTTAGAAATGACTTGTCGCGTCATTGTTATATACATATAATATATAGGGTACAGCACTATCAAATTCACCTTCACGTGATCTTCAATGAGACCTATCGTGACTCATTACTGGTGAATTCACATGTTGATATTCATAGGATAAAATCAGGGTTTGGGCCACAATTGGGACTATTATCTCGCAGCAGCGGGAGAATTATCTGTCTCTGGTGTGAGATAAATTCACTATAAATTAGGGTACACCATTTCATGTTAATTAAATAATAAAAAAAATATTAATTGAATTGAACTAGACGGAGATACAAAATTCTATGCAAAAAGCAGATAAATTAAAATCTTGCCTGTCAATTATGTAATGATTATATCTGTGTTTGGTAATATAATTATAATGATATAAGTAAACATTACTTTACTATTGATAAAAGGGTTATGTAAAAAAATTAAAGTCATCTTACGTTTGAGTGTGCCTGTTGTTCTTTGACATCTATTTTTATCAAGGTAGCAATCTACGGACATTTTCATGTATTTCGGATTGCGGACTAAAGTCTCAATATCCATGTTGTCATGCCTAGAGCTGTATTGTCTTGCTACTGCTACCGCTGCAATAGCTAGCACTAGAATAATATATTTCATCTTGATGAGCTGAAAAGAAATTGTTTCCTATATTAAAAATTTAATAATAGGAGAGTGTATGTAATCAACAAATTTTAAAATAGGAGAGTGTGAAAAAGTATTGAAGGCTTTCTTAACAGAAGTTCATCCATCGTATCGGCAAGCTGTGTAAAAAGAACTTCGTGTTTGTGTGGTTACCAATTAACCGTAATTATTTCGAAAACTCTGATTATTGGGTAGAAATATAGTCACTTATTTATTTATTTAAAACAATACGCACTTTTCTCAGGAAAAGACAAGGGTATCTGAATGTAGACTAAATAAATGGAATGGAAATATTTACTCAGTTGTTTGTATTAGCTGGCTAGTCTACGCTAAATTCTAATTGCGATTCCATAATATTAGATTATGCTGAATTGTGATTGAAATGACATAGACATTTTACGGCACTTTTTATTTCTCTTGAATTACACTACACTTGCAATGTGACAATGTTATAGGTATACTCATTTTAGTATTAATTAGGTTTTAAAAGAACAGTGCTTAGATATCTTGAAATAGAAATTAGACTCTAAAATAGATCTGCTATTGTTCTTACGGCAACGCGATATTTTCCTATTTTTATAAAATTTCAATACTAACTTGGCGAATTTACACTATAATAGGATGACACCCGCTACTTGCTGCAGGGATAAACTAAATGAACAAATATATATATATTCAGATGACACACATTATATATGGTTTCGGTTAGTCATTCTAGTAATTTATGTAAAATATAAAAGTACCTATTGTATATTGTTTCAATTCTAAGTATTTGTGTGTGTCATAAGTAGACCAGTGTTCATGAAAATACATCACATTACATATTGATTAATAAACTAAATATCTGGCGAAATTCGAATTTAAATCTTTGTTTTTACACTATTTACGTTTTTACAATTTCTTTTTATTTAATTTGTAGATAAGTATACATATAGTTAAAAATGCTTCATTCATATTGGCAGTAATTAAATAAATTCATCAAATTTTTAGAAGCCGAATAAGTACAATTAGAAGCAGACTGATTAACAAACAGACTAACATCTTTTGAGGTAAAAGATCTTTGATGTTCATTTAACATCGGTTCATAAATGGCTGATTTATCCGATGAAAATGAAACAGACAGACATATTTTTACATTTGAAATATAATATAGGATAACATAGATAGAATTTAATACGTTTTAAACCATTATATTATTATTTTTGTTTATAGATCAGAATGAGCAGATAAGATATCATATTAAACATAATAAAATAATGATTTCTAATGGCTTCTTTACTAATTTTATATTCTTTGCTGATTTTTTAGATATTTGGCGTATATGGTTCCTACGTAGTTAGTATTCTCTAGATATATTTTTTATAAATGGAGCAATGTATATTACAAAAACGATCCTTGATAGTTTATTATTATGTGGTCCATGATTCATGATAGTTTATATATATAATATAACCACATGTTCATATACACAAGTAAATTATCGTAATAATAACAGAGACGTAAATAAATTACAATAACAACATAAAATTAACAGAAATATTTAAATTTATATGAACTTTTAATGTGTTTGTTTGCTAACTTATATATGTACGTATATTCTAAAGGACTTTTAAAATTACTCATCATTTAATGGAGTAAAAGATTTAAGAGTAAAATGAATAAAGAATTGCAATGTATCATAAGAATAAGCATTACACACACACTATTCAATGTTACTATGAACTACATTAGCAATTCAAACTCAGTGCAATGAGTCTACAAACACCAATTCTATTCTGAGAAGTTTATGCATTCTGAAGAATAATATTTCCAAAAAGAATCGTTCAAGCGCAGTTAATGTGTTGTAAAAACCATAATAAAACATGTACATCACTATTTGATACTTATCCCAGATCATATAATTAATAATTACATAGCATGTTCCTTTTAAAAATATAAGCAGATATATATATAGCCTGGTATAATACCACCAGTTGTTTACCGCGTCTGCGTCTACACAATGTATTATTTTATATAAACAGTAATATCTTAAAATAAGGTAAATGAATGTAATAATAAATATATATATATATATATAATAGATATCACTACATTTGTTCGTGACAGAACGTGATACCTATATTACATTCTTAATTTCAAAAGCTATTTTATTCGTCATGATAATAACACAATTAAATATAATAAAAATCAGATATAACAACTATACCAATAAAAATGTACACGTAGATACAATTATCTGTAATCATTCTTCACTGTACCTATATTTTGATTTCATGAACAGGACATTTGTTTCGTAACTATGGGGAAATAAAATACCTATTTAGTTGTATTATTTTTTAAGTACAAGGGCACCTGCCCTGTATGCATGAATGCATGATTATACAGCTTTGTATACATCCAATATCCAATATCTACTGAAGGGAGTAATTATTAATTTATTGTTCTCATTTAACTCATGATAGTTAAATGAGAACAATAAATTAATAATTACTCCCTTCAGTAGCTATGTTTTCCAATTGTCTTCTATATTTAACCTATGTATATGTTGTACAATTCCGCCAGCACCTTTCTTTGTAAAACATCTCATTCATTGTAACATAAAAAAGAATAATATTTAAAATTAAGAATTGAAGTTCTAAATATTATATAATGTAATGATAAAGACAAATTGTTATATTTTTTGATGTAATTTATTTTTTATGTATAATGGCGGTTGTGATCAATTGTACGTCATTTTAAATACCTGCAATGAGCACAGCAATTTATAAATAGAACGTCGAAATTAAAACAACAGCCGGAATTGCACTATTTTTAACTTCCTAGTAAATCAGTGAGCGTATAATCACGGTTTTTAATGTTCGTAGAGTAAAATATTTTATTAGAAAATAAATCAATATTTTACTTAATTTTCTATTATTTAATATGTTTATAGTATGTCTTATATTAGTTTGTGGTTCTTACTAGTTAATGACTAGTTACAGTTTTTAACGACGTATAAAAAATGACAATATACCTACTTGCATTTTTTACATTCTCATCTCTTTTTTTCTATATTCTGGTTCTATAATAAATTTAATTTTTTTTCTCCAAACAAAGGTACAAGATCATACAGCCAAACCTCTATAACAAGAAATTATGCATATCATCACGATAATTGATCTGTATTAATTAGTTGTAACTAGGATACACTGGGACCTATTAAGCGAGCTGTCATTTCACAGGTTTTCCTTGTATTGAGGAAACCTATTTAGATTTCTCGGACTATAAAAACAATGAGTGTAAGTTTCAATCTCAGTATCTTGTGTATCTTACAAAGGTAAACATAAATAGTATTATTATAAGTTCGACTAGGCTAATATTATTATAATTTTTCGGGATAACTGTATAGTTCTAATGCATATAATTGAATTAGATTAAAAGTTAATTTTCAAGTCATTTTGGTTAAAGTACATGTATTATTTTTGTACTTGTAGAGTTATAAATTTAAAATAAATTAACATTAATTAAAGCCAGTTATTTTCTTATAATTAAACCTCTTCTATCATCTAGGTTCAAAATGCGTACCTTCTTCATTCTGGCTATTGCTGCGTTCGCTGTGTGCACAGCTAAGTACACGGAAATCTTGCAGGATGAAACGAAGCTTAGGGCGGCACTAGACTGTGTTTTAGACAGAACGCCTTGTGATCCTCAACAACAGGAGTTGAAAGGTAATTCTTTTAATATATTCCGTATTTTTTAAAGACTTTTCAATGGAGATAACCAATTAATGGGTGAGAACATCTCACCGAGAGATAGATATTGCAAGAAATTATCTGCGTAATTATGATATATGTCATATGTGTATTCTGGCAAGACTATTACTTTGTAAGCTGTTTCCGATTTAAAGAGAGATCATTCCTTTTATCCCGTTATTTCATAAAAAAAGATGCTTGGCGACTGAAATAGTGCCCTATTACTTAATAGCGCAGACGACTTTTTACACTCTACTCCCGTTCTAACTTGATATTGGTCCAGAATTAGCGAATGATATATTTCACAACTCTGAGTGTTATAAGACAAATGAAATAATATAGCAATATTAATTTTATTTCCTAAAAAATGATGTCTTATATTTATTAATCTAAATAGAGCATTTGCAATGTTAGGATTGTTACATAACAGACATGTACGATTTACTGAGACATTCCTATAATATTAAGAAATTTATTCAAATAAGTTATAAAATAATAGATATATCTTAATATATTATATATAATTCTTCTTTACGTGTATTTGTGATCTAATGACTATTTCTAAAGGGCTGGAAATAATTTTCTTAGTAACTATCTAAAAACCATTGAGTTTTCTTAGATACTTTGCTAACACATGGTTAGTTAAACCCGGTAGATAGTGCTGGTGTTCTGTAAAAAATACATCTTTTAATAATAATATAAAATAATAATAAAATATACAGTAGAAATAAATAAAAACATAAGTTTTAAAACTATAATTTTAAAATTAAACTAGTTTATGTCCCCCTAATATTTATATGTAGGGGACATTACTTATAAAAAAAAATTAAGAAATATGTCAAATGTGTCTAACTATAAATTAAGTAATAATTAAGTATAAATTTTAATGATTTTCTTTTGTTATAGACAAATTCCCTAGAATAATCTCAACCGCCTGCAGCACTTGCACACCAGAGCAAAAAACCAGGTACGAAGCGGCGAAGAAGATTATTAAGGATAAATATCCATCAGACTTTGAATTGTTGAAAGCTAAATATGCGCCCAAACCTTAAATATTATCAAACTGTGTAAAATAATATCGGTTGTAATAAAATGTTCGTTAATAATATATTGTTTGATTACACCCAAAACCATTATGTACTTTATACTAGTTGAGCCCGTGGCATCACTCCTTCAAAATGAATAGTGTTATTCTGATGAAACAATAATATAAGTTATATTATTGTTTCATTAAAATCCATTCAGTAGTTTTTGCTTGAAAGAGTAACAACCATCATCTCTATCCATCCACACTCACAAACTTCCACGTTTGTAATACTAGTAAGATACTGTGTAATTCATCGACATTGATTACCTGACATCGCCTGTTTCTTGTTGGGGTGGTGGAGGTAGTATAAGTAAAAACTCAAGGATTTCATTGATGTTTCTTTAATTTAATCCAAGATCAATTATCAAAAGAATTGTTATTTTACGACGATAAAATTATAGAACAATATCCCAAAGTGTATACGGATATGCCGCTAAATATATTAAAAATTAAGTTAAAACTATGGCTTTAGGATAAATGTTTATATTCATTTAATTAAATCTTAATTCTTTACATAGAATTGAACAATTTAAAACCATATTAGATTTTCATGTAGTATCTATATAGGTAATATTGGCATTAAGTAATTTTGATGGACGTGGAGATAATCGACCAACATGATGTTTTTATATTGATGTGTAGCCTCCGATAATATTTGATATTATCGGAGACTACATGGACATGGACAAAAAAGGTCATACTAAATGACCTGAACTCAGGCCAACAGGAAACATCAATGAATTCTGTTATAGATGTTTCTCATTCGATATTTATTCGTTTTCGATTCTTATACTTACATCGATATCTTATAATACCAATCATCCCTAGATGTAGGAGAATATTATAACAGCTAGTTTCTATCCCAGTAACCAAGACATGTAGCCGACGTTGTTTATAAAAAATAGTAGGCACATACAGAAAACAGCGTGAGAAGTTATCCAAGGCATTTCAGTAATAAATTATCAGTGCAATCTAGCCTATAAAATGACGGTGACAGAATTTATGAAGTTTTATAATGTGTAGTACATAAATAACAAGAACAATAGGAATTATATCGACTATTACGTACAGCATTGTTGAGATCTACTTAAAGAAAAAACTCCATGGATACAGGATACTTAGAATCTACATAAGTTCCGGTTATATTTCTAGATTGCTCAATATTTTTTGTATTACGTTATTGATTATATCAGAACTCGGTTTTTGTAAAGTGAACAATTATGAAAATTTTGATGTAGAAGCGTTATTAATAAATATTACAAGAACTAAAAAATTGTACCAGTGTGTACATGATGAAAATGCATGTTCTAATGATGACAGTGATATTAAATGTAAGCAAAATATAAATAATATAATAATATCTCAGGACAATTCACACAACGCCATCTAGTCCTAAGTTAAGCAGAGCTTGTGTTATGGGTACTAGACAACTGATATAAATACATGGATACAATTTTTTGGAAATAAATACATATTATACATAGAAAACACCCAGACCGATACAAACAATCATACTCATGAATACAAATGTTTGTACCGTGCGAGGAATCGAACCCGCGACCATCGGATAATAAAGCGGTGTGCTAAACCACTAGACCAGCGAGGCTGTATAATAATGGAAAGATATAAGTAAAATAAGCAAGTACTTGTAAGTGTATAACCTGCATATCGATGTCAATGTATATATAAGTTAAAAATATTAATATATGTAAATTTTAGGCACTGAACTTTTAAGGAAGTACTTTACTTACATATATCTTTCAATAAATATTTAATTTAATTTAGCAATTCAAGGTGTTTTTACAGTGAAAATCAGCTTAGAGCATATTCAATGATTGATCATCATGTAATGAAATACTACAATAAAGTAATTTTAGTTTTGTACTGTTCGAAGGATCTGCATTTCATATCGCCCTTACAATAACCGCTGATCTCCTCTTTTTCATTTTAATTTAGGGACTTCATTTTCAAAAATGAAGTTTGGTTAAATCTTTTCTCTTTTTAAACCCAATAAGATTTAAACTGAGTCAGTAAATTGCTATTTATTGTCAGCACTTAATCTCTATAGATATATATTAGATATATTAGATCAATTAGTTAGTTACACAAATGTAAACCCAAAATTTAGGCGTGCATTGCCAATCATGGAATTTTATGAAGTATATGAATACATCATGTACCAATTGCAGTGAAAAGGAAAAGGTGAAGTTCGAAAAATTAATGTCACTACAAAGATCAATCGGTGAGTCAAACATTCTGGAAGATCTCGTCACAGATGTGATACGTAAGTTCATGAACTTTAGGAATATATGATTAATACTAGTAAATATTGAAAATAATTACTCAAACCCAGAACTTAGTGTAAATATGGAAAATCATTATATCATTACAATATACGTCTTATAAGAATTATGATGTAAATTAATCTCAAATATTTTTCCTTATATAAATATAGACATCTTTGTATACTATGCATATGCGTATAATTACATTTCTAAAAACCTAACTATATGTTATTCTTTAATAGGAATATTAAAGTTTCTGGTAGGCAAATTAGATAAAAATTTTCACAAATATATTTGTTAAAATTGGGTAGGCATCAAGATTGTTATTATTTTATTTAACAATGAATTAATAGAATAACAGATGTATCGAATAGGTGCTTTATTTATTGTTAGCGTTTGATTATCCACATCCATCCATAGATGGCGATCTGCAAATGGACATTAATACACGTACAGAGTCAGAGGCATCACTAAATATGAAATAAATTTATTTCTGCACGTTTTGCACTTTTATACTAAAATCGGGTAGTGATATATTTAGTGTTGTAAACGTAAACATACATATCTTAGCTAAATATCATGTACCAACCGTCAAATAAATGCGCAGGCCGCAGCACACGACGGATTTACCGTTGTGGGACCGTATACCGACCGAGACCCAGTTTTGTCTCCGAGTACCCATTGGATACTTCAAGGATAGAAGCAACAGTTGAGAAAGTTGCATTGCTAATTATTATTCGAAATTTGAATGAGTATAAAAAATAGCGTCATAGAGCTGTAGCGGTATTTTTTCCAGTTTGTTCGGAGTTATTTCAAAAAATACAAATTGATATTTCGTGTTAACTAGTTTTATCAGTTTGATTCAATATAAGTTTAAAAATGATTTCAATATAAGTTTAAGAATATTTAATGTAAAACAATATTGAGTTGCAGTAAAATACAGTACAATGTAGCAAGCCTTATAGTATCATCTTTAATATTCATTCTTTGTTCATTAAGTGGTACATATAATTCTTACCAAAATATTATCATACAAGGTCATTTGCATATCGTTACCTACTTTATCTGCTTCAAACTGCGGTCAACATTGACGCGTGACCAATGCGCTGGATTGTTGGTTGTTTTGGGTTCAATATTGTAATTCAACGATACTTACCTACATCTCTACAAATAATATTATGACCATCTATACAAAACAAACCGTAGTAAACTTACGGTTTTACTTTTCTTCATGACAGAAATTTTGATTGAGGTTTTTTTTATTAACAATTTATAGTTGTTTAAGGGTTCTCTACAATAATATATATAACAGCCTTTAAAAAGCTTACGTACGTATTGAGAAATTAAAAAGGTTCCATTATGTGAATGAAATGTGATACATTATAAATATTTCATTTTCTACTTTATTTAAGATTGAATATAGATTTGGTGACTGCTTTAAGTCAAAATTTCCAGTTAAGTGGATATGGCATTTCAATTTACTTTGACTAACATGTGATGTACTCCAAGGTGTCCACATGAGCGTAGTCTCTAACAATATCTTCATATGTAAGTACACCTTATTTTATAAATGCTCTTATTTAGTAAATTTCATATAAGCATAGGTTTATACAAGAGATTTTGGAATGAAGTCGCATATTATAAAGAACATTTTCCAAAACCGTACTTTTGTTATATAGTATTAGTATAAAAAAGTTTTATGAATATAAATTTACAAATATCAGGCCAAATGAAAGTATTTTAGAATTTTAAAAAGATCGTTTTTTTGTTCCGCATCGATCCCCAAGAACACGTTAGACGGTAGCTTTCTTTAGTTCCGGAGACTGCATGTTTTGTATGCGGTCCGATACGTCGACCTCTTCCTTTGCCAGACTGGTTCTTCTATCGGTGGCCCACCATACCGACGGCGACCGCCGCACCCGGAGGACTTACTAACTTTCTCCAATAAGTGAGTATTTTTTATTAACTATACATAGAAAGTAATTTGTAAACTGTGAAAGTACATGCAAATGTGCTAGTGTGCGATGACAGAGTTACTATTGTGTGTTGTGTTTTTTTGTGTTATGACATTGGATGCCACAGTCAGGTTACTCTAAATGCTCGTATATTATTATGTTTCTTTTACTTATTTATTCTACTTATATTATTAAGTAAAGGCTCGTATACTTTAGAATTTATGTGTATGTTCTATTTCTCATTCATCCATTTATTCTCTAAAGTTCATACTTTGCGTTGTCTTTAAGTATTTTTAACTAATTTTGACCATACTTTCCTCTATCAGGAGTAATTACTTTCTTACTATTTTTTTATTATTAAAATTATTCATTTTGAACAGATAAGTAAGAAGCATGTTTATCTCCATGAGAAAATTAAAATTAAAGGCTATATAAATTTAATGACAACTTACTTAGCTGTCATTATTTTATTCGTTCTAGAGGTAATAAAGAGACTCGCTTACAAATTTATAAGTAAATTAACGGTAGTTTAATATATTTTTTTATTTATGTCATATTTTATTACAATGCAGAATATTTCACGTCAATGTGAACTAGTAAATGCATCAGCAGTTATAAACTGTTTTTTCATCAGCAGTTATAAACCAGTTTACAAGGGCATAGCCCTTGTTTTGCTAAATAATTTCTTAATCTGTTCGTATATTAAACTTAGTAACTAACTTACTAGTAAGGAATACAATATATTACAATAATAAGGAAAACATTGCTGGTACCACAGACAACATAATATTACATATTGGTACATAGGCGACGGTAACTGCTTCCTCTCATTTGGACCATAGGCCATAGTTGTCATTTTAATTATATAAATATAACTATTAAATTACAACTAGTACCAAATCAACGTATTATATTATACTTTTTTTATATTCTTTAACATTTATTATGTGTATTTATTACAAGTACTGTTACAAACATGAAGCAAATTCTACTGTGCCTGTGTGCATTGACTGCGCTGGCGTCGTGTGCTGCACAATATTACAATCGCTATGAAAACGTTAACGCCGATGTTATAATCCAGAACGACAGGATATTACTTGCATATTACAAATGTGTGATGGACAAAGGACCCTGCAATAAGGATGGCAAGAATTTTAAAAGTAAGTGTTAAGTAGCATTTAACTAAGTCTACCCATGGGGAGTATTTATAGGGACCGGAAGTAATGGCAATGTGTGAGTGATATCACGAGCGTCACATGATAACGTTATGTTCTTAGTGTTGGTCAAGTATACAGCGATGATTGTTACTTACTATCAGATGACCCGTCAGGTGGTTTCATTTTACAATTACACAAAGAAATGGGGAGTAGCAGATAGTCCATCATACCGTCCAGAATAGTGACTAATTTAACACAAAATGTATATATAGGTGTAATGTATCTACTATCAGAATTATATTACTACCAACCAACAATGAATTACTGGTAAAGTAGTAACTTTCCTTTAAGATATATGTATGTATGCTGAATATAGCAAAATATGTTGTGTTTACGACATCTGTTGCCACAAGTATTTTGGAGGAATTACTTATTGTATTCAGAAATAGAAATCAAAGAATGTTTGAACCATGAATGTTTTTTTAATATGATAACATATAAATATCTGAATCTTTCTAAATATTAATGGTTTAATAAAAGAAAAGCGATAAGTCGTCAATAATATCATTAGAAAATTTTCTTTTGACTCTATAACTTTATCAGCTAAAGATTTAATATCCATTCAGTAATTATAAATAAAAAAATATAATTCTTTAAATTTAGTATTGGAAAGAATATTTTGTAATGAAAGTACAGTTATTTGAACTACACACTATCGTCTTATATCGGAACTCGTTACATTGACCACTTTGTCATGTATTTCTACCGTCCAGTCATTTATGTTAGTTCCATTCTAATCATGTTGCAGTGGATGTTACGATGCCCGTAGTACTATTTATATTCATATATGCAATGGTTAGTAGTTTTCATTGGAATACAGGTGGGATTTTCCATCTATTATTCTATTTGCCATTGCAGTTGTATAATAAAAAGAGTAATAACCCTGCACAATTCACACAGCGCCATCAAATCCCAAACTAAGTTTGTGTTATGGATGCCAGAAAATTTATAGAAGATACAAGGAGACTTGTCTTTTTTCGTAATACAAACATAACATACATAAACGGCTTACATGGTCTAGCAGTTTAGGACACCGCCTTCCTTTCGATGGTCACGAGTTCGATTCCTCGCACTGTATAAACACTGTACATTCATTAGTATGAGTGTTTGTATCGGTTTGAGTATTTTCATCTAAGTAGACCGGACCAGAAGTAACCGTAGCCAGTCCGAATAATGAGACCCCTCAGCTAGGGAGTTCATTCAGCAGGTTTTTTTGTTTTATAATCTCAGGACAATTTACACAGTACCCTCTAGGCCTAAGTTAAGCTAGCTAAAGCTTGTGTTGTGGGTACTAGATAACTGATACATATACATAGATATATTTTTTTCTGTAAATACATACATGTTGTACGTAGAAAACACTCAAACCGATACAAACAATCATACTCATGAATACAAATGTTTGTGCCGTGTGAGGAATCGAATCCGCGACAATTGGTCGTAAAGTGGTGTGCTATACCGCTAGATCACCAAGGTCGTCAAAATTTATGTTCGTATATTGGTACATACGTGGTTTATATTAACTAAAGCTATATTACAATTACTTTATGTTCACAGAGGTACTGCCTGAGACGCTGTCGACAGCCTGTGGGCGGTGTAACCCTGTCCAGAAGATTGTAGTTCGTAAGCTACTAAATGGTATCAGGGCAAAGAGCGAGGCCCGTTTTCTTGATCTTCTCGATAAATATGATCCAAAACGTACTAACAGAGATGCGTTATACGACTTTTTGACTACTGGTGCATAATTTAGTATTCATTTATTTATACAATATGTTAAAAAGTAGACTACAAAATGGAAGTAGACCTACTTATGTACATGCCAAATTTGCCATTGAATTGCAAGAACATGGTGTATGTACCTATCTAAAAAGTTGCAGGGAAATGCATTTATAATGTTAAGTATTCCTAATTTATTATTAATAGTAATAGTAATTAATACTCTAATATTAAATAGTAACAAAATGTAACATTGTTTTATTGATTATTAGAATCATTAACAATATTGTAAACGTCAGTTGTGGTCAATATGGGCGTTAACATAATGACTTTAATTGACATTGGATACTTTGATCCGGTAATAATAGTTCATGTAATCCAGTTAATGGTGATATATGTCAAGCATCTTATCTTCCGAGAACTTTAAAACCTTGAATAGTCAATATAAATAAATAAAAGGTGGAAAATTGTGGTCATACAGTATTTGTAAAACGAACAAGGAACATTCTGGTCGGAGTAACCTAAAATGTTACTTTTTATAGTATTATGTGTAACTGGAGCTGTATTAGCTCAGGAGAAATATGAGTCGATTGATGATAATTTTAATTTATCTGAAGTATTGGGCAATGAAAGACTTTTATCGGCTTACTCCCGTTGTTTATTAAACAAAGGACCATGTACTCCAGAAATAAAAAAACTAAAAGGTAAGAATAATAAATTGTCTTAACCTGTGTATTTAGTTAAATTTTATAAAAGATGTTACAATATAAATTTGACACATTAATTAGGGATCACATGTTATTAAAAACAAATACATTTGAATTTACCTTCTACAATAAAAGCAATTATAAAACTATTTACTAGTACATTGGCCAAAATTAAAGGTTTATCCATCCCATTTAAAATTAGTACTGATGTGATGTAACCATGAAATAAATTATATTTACAACTGTATATACAATTAATATCATAATTAAAACATGTTATTTATTATGTGTACATTTCGTATCCGGTAATATAAAAATATATACGAAATATTTTTATTTACTCGTGTTCATTTGACTTAATAAGCTGTACGCGGTTAGTCATAATGTCTTATATAAGGCTAATCCTAGATTATTACTTTACTATTTAATCTTTTATTAAACAGCATCAAACTTTCATGAGATAATATTTCTTCATCTTCTTTAAAAACTCTTTTTACTTCTTCTGGTTCTTACAGTCTACATGTCACAGTTAGTAACAATACCAAGACTGTGGACGTAATCATCGTTTTGCATGTATTTCATGAGTTATTCTGAATCTGCTCTAAAACTAGCTGTAGATGTTACTGGAAAATCAGTACCTAAATATTTTCCGCATAATTAGCATAAGCCTCTCAATAATTTATGTCAATTACTTATTGTTTTTACCATATCTCTGTAAATTTATGAATAATCCATGCATTCATAAAATAAATAGGCAAGATACATTACAACTCAGGAGAGGATTTAATTTTTGAGTCAAAGAGTTTACTACACATACATATATTCTATAATCATGCAGCTTTCCATAAGAGCAGTAGAGTTTCGATTAGAGATTAATTAAAAACATCTTATATAAATTACTAGTAGAGCGCCTAATAAAAACAATCTATTAATATGATTGCATACATTTTGTTCTCATACAAATGTACTAGGGAATATAAGTGAACTTCATATTAGAAATCATAATTACAGTAACCAAGTAAATATGCTTCCTTAACGTAAAGTGAATTTAATGAAATAATAATACATTTATAATATACCATATACACATTTTAGAATTGATACCTATGGCATAAGACCTATTAGTTATAGTTTTAGGGCACAACATTATTTCCAATTTAGTACTTTCAAAGTTTTTTTTACATATAACACATATAAATGTATTATACGTAAAAAATAAATGTGTTATATGTAAAAAAAGTCTCTGAATTGCATATCAATCTCAATAAGGGTCTAAATATATAATAGGGGACCGTCGTTTTTTTTAGTATATTTAATGTCATAAATTTTTTAAAATGAATGGATTTAATTCTAGAAAAAATACCAGAAATCTTGGAGACCAGATGTGCCAAATGTACTGAAAAGCAGAAGAAGTTGGGTAAGCAGTTAATACAGGAAGTGAGAAAGACGCACCCTGATATTTGGAAAGAATTTGTCCACAAATATGATCCCAGTGGTAAATACCAAGAGGCGTTTCAAGACTTTTTAAAGTCATAAAGTATGTAAAAATATATACTTTACACGATACCATACAATATATACATTTATATAAACTTTAAAGCAAAATAATAGGATAGGTAAATTTATTTATACATATAAATATATGAATAATAAAATAAATAATGTGTAAAATTAGTTTTATTTTCTTCAGTTTCTGATTTCAAAAGTCTCCAATGCTCGTTTAAATGAGTCATAACAAACCCATTCCTGTGAATGATATGTTTTTGCTTTTTCCCACAATGCATTAAATTTTTCATCGCTAAAGTTTTCTCCGCAAGCTTCAAAAACTCTTCTTACAATATTTGGCTCGCGTTTAACGTACATATCTCGATGATTAACATGAAGTAAAGTTAAAACGCAAGGAGATAAACAAGATCTCACATCTGATTCATGTGGAAGACATATTCTATCTGCTTTACAACATTTTTCAGGGCTTATGGGATAGTCTAAATCAAAATAACGACCGGATGGTAATCCTGCCATAGGTCTCTGATCTGATTTTTGATCAGGTTTTACCATTTCACTATACGTTGTCTTAAAATCGAGACAATTTTGTGGTACATCATGAATTTTAGGTATTTCAGGAGAAGGTTCTCTGTAATTGATAATATGAACAAACATTTCATATTTAATCCTATGTCCATCAAATGCTTGCCATAGTGATAATAAAGGTTCTATTAATGCTGGATCAAATCTTATTAATTTAGTCCCACAAAATTTATATACTTCACCTTTTGGAAGCCACCCACATTTAAGTTCGTCAAAATTTTTTAAATTTAAATAAAATCCACGAAAGAAGGTTGGTAAGAAACGTTTGGACAAAGATTTACGCAGTGTGTTAAGGTGCTTTAAGCATTTACGAATGTAACCCAGACCAGGATTGATTTCACAAAATGTGAGACACTCCGGCAAATTATCAGGAGGTTTTAGTTTGCCAAAGCTGTGGCCCTCACATACTTCTTTTATATTTCCATTTGGCGTTAAGGCGGTACCAAATCTAGGCTGTTTTGTATCTAAAAAATTTGCTTGTACAGTATTTACAATGGTTCGATTTCCTTTTCCTATAATAATTCTATCATCAGTTAAACAACATTTTACATATGAACCTCTTTTATCAACATAGGTTCTGTGCCCATAAGTCAAATTGGAATCAAATGCAGGTTTACAGTAATTATATTCTTTTTGTTCTCCGGGACGCTTTGAGCAAGTATTATCCGGATATGGGTCCTTTGGCATCACGATATCATACAAGCGGCCATGAAATGGAGTTTTCTTTCCGAATGTGGTTCCAAATACATCAAATCCCTCTGGAAACATTGGAACCGAGTCATGCATACCTCCAATTGGTTTTTTCCAATACGAAGAATATGTAGTATCTTTAAAATCGTCGACTAATGATTGAAATTTTGATTTATTTGGTGGATTAACAATCTCAGCGACGTCACAAAAGGGTCCTCCATTTCGCTTGTCAGGTGATATAGGATTGCGCAATGGAGGAAGCGCACGTGGTTTATCTACTGGAATAATGGCATCGCGTATAAGAGAGTCTACTTCATCTTTTAATAAGTAATGTTGCAAAGAATCTTCTACATGGTCATCAGGTTGAGCTGTTGGTAGACCCGCTGCACATAGATTTGGACTTCTTTCTATAAACATTCCATGATTGCCTTTCCCACCACAGGTTGATTTCTGACAATCTACAGGCATGCTTTATTATTTTTAAACTAAATACTATACAAATATATATATTAAACTATATTGAAATATCTATATATACAACTATATTTGTCAAAGGAAACACGATGTCAAAGCGGTCGTGATTATCAAAATGAAAGGTTCATTGGAATTTTGTAGTGTTTTATAGAAAAAGGTTTTATTTTGGCAACATTTATTTATAAAATATGAATATATTCTATTGCACATTTATAGTAATAACAGCACACTGAATCTTGCTGAATACATGTAATACAAATTATATGCTTGTATAGTACTTAGCAATGTGCATATTACAATGGCATACAAGGCTCTAGAATGGTAATTGTAGGCTATATTTACTATGTGACCAATTAGGGAGAATGACAACAGGCTTTATATAAGAAAGAAGAGTCAATCCTGATTATTTAGTTATAAGATATGAGTTAACAGAAGTGAAGTGTTAAAATGCGGTAGGTACTTACTAGAATGTTCCATATAAATTATGTCAACCGGTTAATATTTATTGTGAAACAAAATATTCATTTAGCTAGATAATAAATAGTCTGTAGAAAGTAAATTCTTAATTATTAGTTAGTTTAATTGTTTAAATTTAATATCCTTTTAATATGTTATATTAATTATTATAGATGTTACACGCGAACTTTGATAATTTAGTAGAAAGTTAACAATCATAAGAACTTTCTGTTATAGTAAAACAGCAAAGTTTTACCACATTTGATAAATAAGGTAAGCAGGGTCTAACTGAATACTATAAGATTACCGTAGTACATAGAAGCCCGATTAGGATTATGATTTTTTCTATTCTTCATTATACTCTCCAATAAACTAAAATTTTCACCAACTACTAATGTTCAGCAACATCTTACCTACTGAAATTTATTATTCCAGATGAAAATGATTTGGTTATTAATTATTGTTGTTGCAACATTATCTACGACAGTTGCAGCTGACTTCTACAGTTCCCGGTATGACAATTTCGATGTTCAGCCACTTTTAGATAATAATAGAATACTTCTCAGTTACGCTAAATGTTTTCTCGACCAAGGACCATGCACACCTGACGCCAAGGATTTTAAAAGTAAGTTTTATATCTAATATAATTACATACACTATCTGGAATATACATATGTCTAAATTGTGACTCTATAGACAAACAGCTAAATATATTATTTATTTAGATATATAACAATAATAAACAAATAATACTTTACCACTGTTATTTGTAAGTGATGATGGAATGGCGCTTTACCGTGCACTAACAGTGTACGCATCAGTGATAGATAATAAAATGAAGCCTGTTAGTTGTGGCTAGGGTTCATGATTTCTCGAGCTTTTCAATTTCTCGGGTCTCGAGAATTCTCGAGGTCAATTTCTCGGGTCTTCTCGGGTTGTCGAGAAATTTACATTTATGTACGTTTTCTCATATTATTTGGTTCCAATAACGTCAAAAAATTCAGTGGTTTTCCTCTCAAATAAAAGTATCAAATTAAACTTTTATTGAGTATATTTAAAAACATTAATATTACACATGAATATTTTTTTTTTAAATAGAGAAATAATATTAAAATGAAATTGGCGTTTTGTCGTACTGGTCACTTTGATCTCAAATATCTCCTCTTTGGTTAGGAATTCCATTTCCAAATTTATACAGCTATTCACTTTAGGTTACTCACAGCATACACAATGAAAAAACTTAAAATATCGCGTTATTTACGAGTACGAGTTCCGCTGTGGCACCAGTGCTACACGGTGCTAAACGGCTCGAAGTATTAATGATGTGTATGGCAAAGAGTGGTCTCGCAAAAGAAAACACGTGCATTTTTGGTTCCAACGTTTTCGTTCTGGAAATTTCGACGAACCAATACTGCCCCAAGCGAAATATGGCTCAAAAAATGTTACTTGTGAATGGACTATTTTCGATGTTGTTCACTTCGGCTTTCTTAAATCTGGTCAGACGATTACGCCAAATGTGTATCAGCAATTGAGAAACCATGATGGAAAAGCTAGCAAAGCTAAACAACCAGGCTGGTCAATCGCCAAGAACGCTTAACCATATAGTACAGTTACCAAATTAAAAGAGCTTCAATTGAATGTCTAAGACAACCACCGAACCTTGCACCAACAGATTACCATTTTTTTCGAAATTTGGATAACTTCTTGCAAGGGAAAAAATTACATTCCGATGGGACAGTCCAAAGTGCAAAAACAAAAGGCAAAAGTGCATAAATAGAAATGGTACATACTTTGATTAAATAAATATATATTATATATTATTTACTTTGATATATTTTGAAAAAAAAAAAACTTTAATTTTATTCCCTTACAAAACGCCAATTTCATTTTTTTAGGACCTAATTATTCAGACTTATATTTATAATGATAGCACCATTTTTGGCTGCTTATTTAGATAAAAAAAAAACAATGTAAACAAAAATAGTTTCTACAAAATAAAAAAATAACACGAAAGAAAACAAAAACGTTAATATCTTAAATTATTGCGCCGCCACGCAACAAAACAAAGGGCAATTTAATTTCTATTTAGGTACATGATTTCTCGAGTTCTCGACTTTTCTCGAGCTTGATTTCCCGGGAACAAAACCCATGAATCCCGGGAATTCTCGAACCGAGAATTCCCGGGAATGAACCCTAGTTGTGGCAAAATTGACTTTCAGTTATTTACGATTGCTTTCAGGGGGATCGATTGGAGGTCAAATTGACTTGGTAGATTGCTATCATGAAGACACTATGTAGTTTGCACTATTACAATCCTCTCACATAACAATTGTTTTGTATCCAAATATACATGATGATGAACCATAGAAACATTCGAGTAATTTTTACTGTAGAATAAAATTATTTCCTGTATAATTTTAATGTTACCAGTTATTTCTATCCAGAGGTCATTCCCGAGGCCTTGGAGACATCATGTGGCAAATGTACACGCAAACAGAAACAACTGATCAAAAAAGTAATTGGCGCCTTAATGGAGAGACACCCTGAAGCCTGGAATCAGCTCATGGAGAAGTATGATAAGGATAAAAAATATAGAGACAATTTTAATAAATTCTTAAATGAAAAGGAGTAACGTTAATTAGGTCAAGTGAATAATTATATTCTGTTGTTTTAAGATGTAAATCTTATATGTATAATGTAGTTTATGCCGTCTTGTATATTTCCACTGTGATAATAGCAACATGCAAGATCGAGTGTAAATGGGAAGTAATGTGATACTGTGACGCAAATGTGACGTTTGACTTAATAAGTGCAAATTATTACTTGCATGCAACACACAAAATACCTGGAAAACTTTGTACACATTGCAACTGCTTCGTGTTCTTGAAATCATTCCCGCATATCTTACATAATCAACTATATCAAAGATATTTGGTTCATTACTGTTAAAACAATTCAATCGTAAAATCTGCTATCTTAATTAGAATCATTTTATAAGAAAAATTAAGCACATCAGGAAATATTTATAAATATTTATTATACTGTAAATTACACTTGTATGGGATTATTTTGGAACATATTGTTAATTAAAGAATTATGACTTAAATTAATTTTTAAATATAACATCACTATCCTGATTTCATAAATGAAATTTATATTTGTGAATAAAAAATAAAATAAAACATAAGTAGAATATAATAATTCTTTTATTTAACCAATATATGCCTAATTTTCATCACAGTATTCAATATCATGTGGCGTTTTATCATTAATGTGTTCCCTCCTATATGCATCTAATAAGTTTATACAATAGTTATATTTATGCTCTTATTGTGTCCAATCTGTCCTTGTACCTTTGTTCATATATGCTGTTAGGATCATACCTCACTTTAAGTTCTTTCCAAAGATCAGGACGTTTGTTTACTAAGAAACGTATAACTTTATCTGAGCCGGTTTTCTGTTTCTCTGTGCATTTGGAGCAATCCAATTCTAATGCATCAGGTATCGTTTCTTTCAAAGCCTTCCCGTCCGGAGTGCAACGACCTTTATCAAGAAGACAGTCAACGTATCCTCTGAGTAGCCTCTGAGATTCTAATATCTCGTCGACATTGATGTGATCCCATTTGTCAGTGTAGGTGTAGGTTGTTTTCGCGTACACTGTTGCAGCCACCGCTACTAATATAACTAGTTGTAACTTCATTGTTGATCTGAAAATTAATCAAAATCAAAATTGTTTATTCATATACGACACTTGTAGCCGCTTATGTATGTCAATTTTTATCACTAACCCTATATCAATAATTGTACATATTACATTATGTTCTGTTTATAACGTAATAGTGAAAGTGTCCTAATGATAAATAAATGCAGGAAAATAAATTTATTATTCGCCAAATAAATAGTAAACAAATCTAGAAATAACTAGTAATCAGGAAGTCAGCATCAAAACGCAAACACATTATGATTAATGTCACATAATTATAAGAACAATAATGATGATCTATTGTTTTATCGAAAGATCAAACAAACAATTACACCATTGTTGTTTCAGAGGTGAGTTTAGCCTTCTAAAGTTAGGTATACAGACATATTTTTAGTAGCTAATTATCATATATTTATTAGATATGTGCTATGGTATTGACGTTACAAAATTATGAAACCCAGGTACCCCCATAATGGTGTCATTTTATGGTTTATTTTGCAAATTTCATTCCAATGTAATATAAAAATTTTCAACTTTCTTGTCTATGTAGATTATACTTGTATAATGCACCGTCCAGATGAATGGTTGAGTATGAGATATAGCCTCTAGGTTTTATTAATAAATAAATAAATTATTAACCAATGCTGTTTACAATCGTGTAGTATAAATAACATATATCCCGACATATACAACTAGAGAATTTTAAAAATCATTAAGGGTTGTTATTGTGTAAATATGTGTATCAATACTTATGAAAATATACGAATTTTTCTTATTTATGTTATATAGTGTAAACATGTACAACATTTTTGTAATATTACGCGTCATGAAGAGTTTATTAATGCTTATGCTTAGGGTGGTATATGCCAAAGCGTGAAATAAGTAAATATGAATATTGAAATTAATTTGTTTAATAATTGATACAAAATTATATGAATTTTGCATAAAACTTACCTAAGGATGATAATTGTTGTAAGTTGTTGCTGTTCGACCCTTCGTCAAGTTATGCCATGTCCAACGCATACAAGGGACATTTATAGTCAGATTGAAACAAACACTATCGTGCTATTCATTAATGAAATTTATAATCGATGGTATCTTATTGAATGAACAATAGAGGCGGAAGATTTTTTTTAATGCTAGAGTTGATGGGGCAATCCATACAGTACCTGTCTATTGAGCCAAATTTATCGCGATTTTCCAGATGATTTTGCAAATGAAATGCAAATAATCTACTATTAATTGACTGTTAATATTTTTGTATGTCTGCAGTAAAACTTTCTACATTCGATATTACCGATATTTGCCAGAAAGACTGACGGATGTCGACGACGCCCAAATTTCGAAATTAAGTTAGTGAACATGGTTCGCTATGAGTTAGTAACTCTATACAATCATCTGTACCTTTTTAGGAATTGGTACGATACGGTAATTGGTATCACTCGTACATCATAATATATAAAGATCATAATAAATGTCACAAAATACATTATGAAGCCCCTTAACCTTATACATTGAGATTTACGCGAACATCTACGAGTATTTTTGAGACAAATTTTTTTTATTGGAAACTAAATTAAGGACAGTTTCAGTGTAGTGTCCAGTCGATAATTTCATTATAACTATTATCATTATTACATTGTATAAAAAAAAGACGCTGTCGCTGTCTGTTCCTATGTATGCTTAAATCTTTAAAACTACGCAACGGATTTTGAAGCGGTTTTTTAATTAGTAGAGTAATTTTAGAGGAAGGTTTATATAATATATATATAGGTATACCCTGGCGAAGCCGGGGCGAGTAGCTAGTTTATAATAAAATCACTACGGTTTATTTGTTATTATTGAGTTCCCGATATTCCGGCAGCATTATAACCGTTATGATGACGTGTAAACTGCAGAGCACAGATAACATAATATTACATACTACAGAGTAACCGGTACGTAGTACATTTTGAGCAGACATACCCATCTACCATAAAACATCACATTTGTAGCTACTAGGTACTATGTAATATTATCTTATCTGTGCTACTACTGAAACACATTCGATACACATCTCAGCAAACTATAGTCAATGCATCTTAATGTTACGTTTAAATAATGAATTCGCCATATATAAAAAGTACCTGTACATTTTTAATTATTAATTTTGTATAATATTGATATTACTGTTTCTAATTTCAGTGAGATCAGATCAGTCAGAATTGAAGAAAGAAAGATGGATAGGTAGTTATACCTCAGAAGCTCCGTTTTGTTTTATTTTAACCTTCGAATTCCGTTCAAGATTCTTTGTAGTAACCCGTTATAAAAAAAACATGTTTGTGTTAATTTCATATATAATCTTAAGTACATCTTTTCAAACATATGATCAGATGGGTAATCGGACAAATACTTACTAGAAATAGAGCAATACAAAGTTGTAAAAAATTGTTCTAAAAAGGGAACAGTTTAATAAGTTGTGATTATTCAAAGCAAGGACACATTTACAAGGAAATACTAGTTAATAAGTGGTACACATATTTTTTCATTATAGGTTTATGTCGATAACCTATTATTTAGCAGAGGACAACTTTGTATTTGTTACATAAATATAAATGCAAAACACAGATGCATATGGAATAAAAAAAAAATATATATATTTTTAATTAACCATGCATACAGGCTTTATCTAATATAATATAAAAAAACAATCAATTTCCACTATATTGCATTACCCCAAGAATTGTTAGTTATTTATATAATTAACTACTCTTGTTTTAGAGCATTAAGTGAATCCTTATATCTTTTTTCGTATAGGCTCTTGGGATCGTATCTACCTTCAAGTTCATCCCAGAGTTCTGGACGTTTATTTAACAAGAAACGTATAACTTGATCCGCCCCAGTCTTCAGTTTTTCCGTGCACTTGTTACACTCGAATTCTAATGCGTCTGGGATAATTTCCTTTAATGCATTTCCATCCGGAGTACAGGAGTGCGTCCCTTGTCCATGAGGCAATCCACATAACCTCGGAGCAGTCGCTGATATTCCAATATTTAATCGACATTGATATGTTCCCATTTGTCAGTATACGTGTAGCCTGGCTTCCTATGCACAGCAAATACCATTAATAATAGTATGACTAGTATCTTCATTATTAATCTGGAAGAGTGTCACTGTTAGTTTTATTTATATTAAATCATTAGGGAGTACATAATACAAAAAAAATATGAATAACAATATTTTACGTTAAATTAAGTTTTCGTAGATAGTAGGATTTCTCTGCTTTGAAGGGTTTTCATAAACAAACTTGCATAATAAGAAGCATGCATAAGAATAGGCAGCAAAGGGATCAGAGTATTTTTTTATAATAAATTTTGTCCTTGTTTAGTCTTATTAATACCTAGGCTTTATGTATTCCGTTTTATTTTGTATTACAATATCTATACTAATAATATAAATGTGAAAACGATTTGCGCTATCTTAACTTTTCACGACTAAACAGCTGAACGGATTTGAATGAAATTTTACGTGATATTTTATATGTATTCGCTGACGTAAATAAAGGAAATTAAATATTGTATCTATCTATCATGAGGAAAGGACTTAGGCTATATAATATCTCAGAAAAGTAGATAATGTTGCAAGTAACAACTAATAAGATTAGAAATTAATTTTAGAAATTATTTCAATAAGTGTATACAAAAGCGTACCTTAGAAGATTCCGTTTCTAGATTTAGTGCTCCACCTTTCGCCAGATTCTGTTGCGTCCAGTTCAAACTAGGGATAATTATATTGTATCTACTTAAAATGGAAATTGCATTATTACGACATCAATAAATGTAGAGAAATTATATTCAATGTTATCAATAATTGAATAAAAATAAAGACGAATATCTTTGTCACTAGCTATCTCTTTTTAAGTTACTGTGAATTCAGTTGAATACTTCAGGGTGTAATAGATTCATAAATATCTTCAGATATTCATGACAGTTCATGATTAAATCGAATAAAATCTTAAAATCAAATGCCATTACAACATTATATAAGTTTTATATGCCAACAATATAATGAGAAATTTTGTGAATATGTAAGAAAAGTGTTTTCCGTAACAACTACATTTAAAAAGGTATTTTACCATTTGATTATAGAGTTGATTGTTTATTATGTACCTATGTTATTATATTTCTCGGATATTTTGACGGCCCGTTGATGTAATATAAATTATTCCACTAGGATAATTCTGCCTTCGTGTTTACGTCCAGTATCTTGGAATAATCGTCTGAAGATAATACAAGCAAATAAGCATTAAGTTCCTTGTATTAAAGGTCATTATAGATTAGCAAATAACAACCACCTAGTATGTAATTATAACAATTAGAATTACCTGAGTAACATGAATCAACAATTAATCCAACAACATAGTTGTCAATACATTTGATGGTAAGGTTATATTGATAGGTATGAATTTATTGATAAACAAGCATCAATTCTAATTTTCAAGTATTACGAGTTTAGCATGTTATCTATAGAATATTTTTATATGATTGGAGTGGCAAGCTGACGTCCCAACTGATGATAAGTTGTACCCGTCGAGTGAAATAAAAAATAATTGACTTAAGTAGGACATTTCAACAGCTTATGAACGTGAAGTTATTTTATATTAAAATTTTTCTCTACAGTGTATTTCAATATTATACACACCTAATAATGATAATAATCAGGACAATTCAGACAGAGCCATCTAGACCCAAGTTAAGCTAGAAGCTAAAACTTGTGTTATGGGTACTAGATAACTGATACAAATACATAGATATTTTTTTTCGTAAATACATACATATTATACATAGAAAACACCCAGATCGATACAAACAATCATACTCATGAATACAATTGTTTGTGCCGTGCGAGGAATCGAACCCGCGACCATCGTACGTAAAGCAGTGTGCTAGAACGCTAGACCACCGAGGTCGTCAATATTTAAATTTAGTATAGATTCGATTGAGAAGAACTGACAAGAAACATAACTGAATATATTTTTTTATATACTCAGTTTATTTCCATTGTATAGTTATATATAGTTGCCTATATGCATTATACATGCCACGGCTCTAATATCATTCATATGTTGCCGTTCCAGAGAACTACTATATCATGGCTCTATACCCTGTAATTTCACTGCCTTATCTCATCCTTCAACCAAAACACATTTTAGAAAGCAAGTTGCTTGGCAGCATACATAGATGAGCCGGATATATGCAGACGGCCACGTACTGCGTCTACCTCGGTAAGATAATGTTATTAACTATATTTTTTATATATAATTAGATAGATAATTAGAATAAGCATAACATACCTCATAACAAACAAAAACATGAATAGTTACGTTTCTGAACCGGGAAGACAATATAAAATAAGATCGCGTGTCTCACCTAAACAAAGCAATTAATATCGTTATGAAACAATGGAGGTCGATTATGCTTTTAAACATCTGTAGGTATCCTTACCTATCATTATTAAGTGCTGAATATAAACCGATCGTAATTACTAATACATGCAGATGAAAGTTATGCAAGAGTTTTTAAAATACTTACTCGACTCTGCACTTCAGTAAACATTAAGCAGCAAAATTTTAATCTTCCGTAACGGAACTAATCTGAATCTTTTAGTTATCCGCAATTAGTGTAGAGACATTAGACTAAACCAAAGGAGGCTTACTTACAAAAAAAGCAATAAGGAACACTATATAAGAACTATTTGACAGAGTTCATATAGGTGTAAAGAAATAAATAAGATGTTAGTCATCCAACTTGGAGAACGTATGGCCTAGTAAATTACTGCCAAATTTAAGACGCCCAATTGGCCATGAATTCACTTCAGTTGTTGAAAGCAGTATAAGTACAATCTCAGACACAAAAATATATACTTTATATACCAATTTATATTTCTGACTCTCCAATGATGAAAGAGAAACTGTGTACTGCGATCGCCAACCCGCATGCCCAGCGTGGCGATTATGGGCACATTCCTCCCATGACAGCTCCTACACAACCATGGCCCCTAGTTCCCGGCCGCTCTGCTATTCCTGGCCAAAATGGTAATGGCAGAGCAATATACGGTAGGCCGCCAACACATTGACCCTGTATAACGGACGTACGTAGGGTTGCGGGTAGTAACTGGATGAGAAGGGCTGAAGATCGTGCCCAGTGGCGTGCCTTGGGAGAGGCTTATGTCCAGCAGTGGACTGCAGTGGGCTGATGATGATGATGATGATGACTCTCCAATGAAATAAATACCGATATCAAACCAAAAATTAATCCGAGAGACGGAGGTAGGTCCACACCTACACTCTGGATTCAAAATATGGAGAACGAAATATGTCAAGTATTGCATTCACCACAACATCAACAATTGACAATGTCTATGACTACCCTATCAGACCGCATATGCTTAAATCAAACCTGAAGGATGAAGGTAACATAATATGTTTAGTAAATAAAATAGTTAATTTCACTGGATAGTTCTTATTATTTTTGAGTACATTAATCTTTTACACTTTTGATTCCTCCTTTAAAATACTAGATCCACTCGAATTTAATTTATTAATAACTAATTCCGTAATCTTATAGACAACTCTTAATAGACATTTGATGTGAAGGATGATATTTGTATATATCCTCTTAATAAACCTATGTGATTAAGGGACATTAACAGCACGAAGAAGCAATACTCCAACAATTAGCCATCTTGTATGTTTGTACGTATATTTGCAGATTATTGTAGATTCATTGTTTGCGTTCAATGACTTTTATCCATTGTTTATGTACCTTGAACTCTGATGCAATACCGAATATTCTCAGGATACGACGTTTGATTCCCATCAAAAGAAATCAGTTGCCTGTTGTGTTCAATGAATATCCATGTCGCTATAAAAATATAACTGAATAATAATTACGAGTAGATACATTAATTATATATAATAACGTGTATAGAAAACGTTGTCTGACTGAAAGCTGTATGAAGAAAAAACATTGCCCTTTTATATTGTATAGGTACAAAAAAGCTGTAAAGCCTATCGATTAGAAGAAATCATCAAAATAGCATCATATTGTATCACATCACATACACACCCATACAATACGGTGGGGTTAGATTCCTTTTTTTACTATTTTAAATTTCACTGCAGTTTCACTACAATTTCAATAAATATTTTGACTATACATAACGAAAAGAAAGTAAAAACTTTTGTATATATTATAATTACCTTCATAATGTATCTAATTAGTTTTATCTATTTAGCGCCACCTAACAACATTATATTAACACTATTAATTTACTTGTATTTACTGCTATTGCGTTGTGAATGCACTAAGCTAAGATTAAAAGTTACTCTCAGCAGAGGAGATTATATTTGGGTACTAATAAATCCGTTAGATGGCGTTAAGTATTATTAATACAACGTAATATATTACTAATAAATATGTATCTTTAACAATACACACAGATAGTCCAAGAAAAATCATCAACAAATCAAAATAAAAAGAAAATTAGTTTTAATTTAACTCTACACTTTATACTCGTATATTATTCAATATTCGATCAAAATTGATGAGAATATTAACAGTTTTTTAAATATTTACGTTACTTTATGTATGTTCAAGATGAAATCATATAAGTTATGGTCACTGAGTACGTTAAAGTGAGCAAGATGATTTACCGGCAAGATAAGCATCAACATGTAGACTTAACAATCATCATCAACAAGTAACTTTTAAGATATTTAGAAAAATAGAACATAGGTTATAAGGATAGAAGTATAAGAATCATTCAAAATAATAAATTTTCAAATTATTGTACAATATACTACCTACATGTTATTTTTTCTCGGATTACTCTAATGCTGTTGGTCGCAGATGAAATGAAATGAAATAGCAGTGAGAGATGGCTCCAAACCCCGCACAACGACTTATGGAGCGGCTGAAGGCAAACTTACTATAAGCAGGGGTTCGTTCAGATAACATACGATCCCCGTTTATTACATACTATAAGGCCAATTTTGCATAGAGGCCATGGCTACCTCTTACTATAAGGTAGGCCGTCAGTTTATTGACCATCCCAATTACATAAAAAAAGATAAATGTCTGTATATAATATGATGGTAATACAAGGAATAAGTGATGATTATTACTTGAGGTTAATAGTATTTAGTTAGACATGTAAAACCAACAACCGTGACCCTGTCATTAAGTAACAAAACGTTGCAATTGTATGTCGACTTAGCGACTAACATTTTTTACAGAAAATCACTAGCGAAAAACAAAAGACGAAATACTGAAGTCATCACGTTCATTTTATATACCTAAGTATAACAATTAATATTTTTAAGGGCTATTTTGCAAATTCGGGACACAAATGGGCGATTATAGATTAACGATGAAGTAAGACAGATTCACCCATCGTGACAAATATTGCAAACATTTACAAAGTGGTCGACCTTCTCGCGGTCTCTATATAATCCATTGTGACCATCAACGTCAAAAACTAAATATGCCATCATAATCTATAATTTTCTGTTCACTCTTTAATGAGTATCATATAACTATTTAAGCATTATCCACATAAAAATACATCGAAATGTTCATGTGAAAGAATCAGCAATGAGTCAATAGCTCAATAGCTTATGTCTTATTCTCTATCTCAACTCTTACGATATCCTCAGGATGGTAAATGTGAGATATTCTTTATTCTTTCTTTATTTCCACATGGATATGTAATGGTAACTATTATTAAACTACAGTGAATATTTACGAAGTTTATATAAGTGAAATAATACTTACAAAACCATTTTAAATTGTGTTACTTTCTTTTTAATAAAATCAAATAAACAGAAAATAAGTTAAAAAAGCAAATATTTTAGTAGCTAATATAATAATATTATTTATATAAGAGTATACAATTAAATAATGTCTTTGTGTTATTATATAATTGTTCATTACCAACAGCTCCAGCTGAGGCATATCTAAACATTTCTGTGCAAAGTAGGCACCTAAATTCGTATTTGTTTTGGTAATTGCATTGTTAAATATTTATGCAACCGACGTCGTAACATCCTGCGACTAAAGTCTACACATTTGCATTTTGCTAGACATACATATTTGATATTATTTTGCAAGATCACCGAAGAGAAGTATTAAAAATCTAGACTTTAGCGACATGATGTTACCTTCCAATGTCATAAAACATCATATCTTAATAGTTGTTCAGCCGTTGCAACATGCATAAATGACATGCAATATTACTTAACCTAGCACATAAAATGGGTAGTTAATCAGTATTCTTGTCAAATCCAATTTATAAGATCAGTTGCATGTGTCATATCTCATGGCTTATCCTCATGTTATGACTTGAGCTGACCTTCCGGATGAACGAATTGAAGGAAAACATGTTTATAAAAAAATATAATTATACCAACATACAGACGACAATATTATCATCTCACTGTTGGGCACGGGTCTTTCCCTATAAAACATAGATTTATCTCACTACTATCTTCTCCCCAAAATACATCTACGTGAGCGTGAGGGGCCAGGATAAGAATCAACCTATGTTCTTCTCCATTCTAAATAATACGAGTGAGACAAATTCTATGAATATAATATGAAAACATAACAAATAAATAAGTAAACTCACTGGCATATAATGGAGGTTTGTTTTGGGATTTCGATGTGTTCTCTTGCATAAATGTACCAGTGTACATTTTCTGGTATTTGTTATATCACATTGTGAGGTAATAATATTATCAAGTGTTAACAAAAATTGGTATTCTTACTTTGTTATCACAAAACTTTGTTTTTCTTCTTTTACACCATGTTTTTTAGGTTGGAGCAGGAAGTTATTTCTTTACCGTATACCTAAGTGTAATTTGTATTTTCCTTATTCTTGTGCAGAATAATGAGACCTAAAGGCCAATTTTAATGTTTTAGTACATTATAGTTTTGGACATTTTTATGTTCATGATAATCGTTGTATTATCAATACTCTTATACTACTACTATAAAATTCTAACGCTACCTCTAAATCGTATGAATAAATAAATACAATCGTTTTAAAATTAAAAATAAAATAACAAGAATGCACAGCATTGGATAATCATAATCACAACCTACATGAGAACTAGATCACGATATGCTGATGGTTCGGGTGAAAAGGACAAGCGGTTTTAATATTATAATTTATTATGACACTGTCTAAATTCTTACTATATTTATATCTATATATATGAATAAAATTGGAGTGTCTGTTTGTAATAATGAAATATTCGTTTTTTACTACATGCATATGAATATAAATACGGTACATTTACCGTACTTTTTTGGCAGGTAGCTGATGTAATAAGGAGTAACTTAGGCTACTTTTATTTTAGAAATATAAAGTTAAATTACACGCGGACGAAGTAGCGGGAACGGCTAGTTCTTAATAAAATAAAAAAATATTTAAGATTATTCAGGAAAACTATAATGTAACTCTTTTCATTACATCAAACTGAAGGTTCTAAATTCAAAATATGTAGGATAAACCTCTTTAATAGTATTTATTATTAATAACTTTTTATTTGTATTTCCAACCAATAAAAAGTTACTATTAAAGAGGTTTCACAACAGTCATTACTATAAAGAAGCATATAGATTAAAAAACACAATTTAACAGTTTTTTGAAGACTTAATGGCTTTTTTTATATATGTGTGTACATACGCATAAGCATAAAGTTTGATCAGTTTCAGACAGTACAATAGTGGCAATGATTGTCAATAAGTATCTACTGCCCTAACATCGAGGGAAGGGGATTTTTAGTAATGGGAATTATTGTATCTCTTTCTACTAACGGGATTACATTATGTGAACCAACCTGGATATAATCGTGGTTAATTCTAGTTGGTCTAGTGAATTCTAATGTGATCTAATTAAATGATTCGAAGTGATAATTCTCATTTGAAATTAATTAATATTTCAATAGACACGTTTATTAACCAAATAGCCTTCTACTACTTGTACATATTTGGACGAATTCTTTGTTTCAATATGAATTTTTCATTACGCATCGCTTCCTTACTTGTGCCACCCATGCCAATGACTGTGTTAAATATATTTTTCCACTGTTGCAGGAACTATTATAAAATAATTATGTTTTAAAATAGAACACTTCCTAATTTATACCTCACAACAATGTTACTCTAAACAATCTAAGTGGCTACAAAAAAAATAGTATGTATAATTTTACTTATCAATTCATAATACGATTTATAATATTTTAAGACTTAGAATAGAAAAGAATACTAAATAAAATTAAATTAAGAATAATTAATATTTTTAATCATTAACAATTGACATAATATATTCAGTTGTTTTATTACGCGAAATATTTATACACTATGTTATAAATAGTATCAAATTCTACTATAAGTCCTCTTCCATTAAAATAAAATTAATATAAAACTCATGAAAGTAAAATAGCGTAATTGCAAGATTTTATCAAAATTGACTCAGTTCACAAAAATATTAAATAACATATACAAAAACAATACAACTGAATCGTTGAAACGCATTAAGCTGTTTCTACTAGAATTAACTATTAGGTAAATGTACTATTAAAATTATATTTAAAAATATAGCCTTGCTATATATTTATTGTTTGGCCTTCTAAGACTTCAATACAAAACATTAAATGGATTCTCAGAAAATAAAATAATATAAACAATAATGCACGTGCTTTCAAGGAGATGCTCTTGGAAAAACGGAAGAACTGTGTCTGTGTTTCCCCTTTAATAATTTCCATATACAGGCTGATTTAAATAATGGTTATTAGAATATAGTTCATACGTAATGCAATATTAAAATATTAATTAATATAAATATAAATTAATATGCGTAATAATTATTTTCTTAATTTGGTATTGATTAATATTTTACACACCCTATACAGGAAGGTTACAATGGTACTCAGAGGGAGACCTCTGAGTACCATTGTAAGCTTCTTCTATAGGGATAGAATAGGATCTTATCCTATTATTACGTAATATTTCTGTTACCCTACTATTTGTTGCCGCCCGCATATTTAATGATTATTTTCTAGTTTTTGCCCTCTGGAACTGATATAGATGAAGAAAATATTATTTGAACTTTTATCGTCTAAATGCCTCAAACCAAATTTAGGTAGGATCTAAAAGGATAATGAATGACAAATTTTGTTAGCGCCACTATGTCAGATATTTAAACATATAAGTTTTACTTATGTAGTATACAGGAAAAAAAAGTATTACCTATGTAAGTAATACCATAGTTAATATAATATTACATAGTAATACTTACTTTTCCTTTTTTTTTCTTGTCTTTTTCAATCAGGGTAATACACATTGTTAAGGGGAAGGAGATTGTCAATAATGGGGACTAGTATTGTTAGTAATGCATCATATCAGTCGACCTCCACGCAGTCCCCTGGAAACCATCGTGGTTAATGCCTAGTAAAAACTAATATGACTTGACATTACCTTATATTTATTTTTAAATTATATACCAATCTAATAACAGAACTAAAATCAAACTCGCCATTAAATAGACATAACTCTTTGTAATTTTTTTTTGTAATAATTATATGAACATAAATTTTCTTGACAAGTAATTTACATAAACTCCCTATATACATAAGATTTTTTATGCACCGTACGCAAATGAAATAATGAAGTAACGAGGGACAAATTAGATGTTTTAGCCACAACAGCAATCACTATATATACTGGTAACTTCACGCTGGACATCATAAGTCACTCTAGCCTACTGCTGATTACTGGATTTAATGGTAGGTTACGTTGCACAAGCACGTGTTTTGTCCATGTCGACTATTCAGAGATTTTAGTTTTGTATTTTCAACTTACAGTCCATAATTGGTCACGGCTCTGTGCATTAATTAGAATGTAGTTGCAGTATTCTAAGTGCGGATTAGTGACCTAGTGTTTTAACAGTGTTTGATCCGGTCTAAATGCTAATGACATTATATATAAACAAAGTGAGAAGATTTGATTGTGATTGAATTGAATTTAAAAGAAATCAATGATTTTTTTAAAGAAAAATAGTGGAATGTTAAGTTTTATTTCTTACACAGATTTTGTACCATATTTATCAGTTTATATATTTTCTCATCAGGCCACATTTTTATAATGAATGTATTATTATAGTTCTCGTATTTATTATTAAATAATGTCAAACATAGAGCAGGTAATAAGTGTTACGTCACGAAATAATGCTATATATACTTACATGTAATGTTACACGTAATTTAAATATTCAAATGCAAGTTTTCAAAAGCATTTAGTAATAAAAAAACAGTTTACTTTACATAGTTAGTTTTACTTATACATTTACATAGTTACTTTTGGTAACTTTAGTTTACTTTTGTAACCTTTAATTTTAAGTCAGATTAAGTTAATTATTTTTGACAACAATAAACACACAAATAAAACGTAGAATTATCGTAGCACAATGTTGGTTCATGGTCTACAATGACGAATCATATTGTTTTGTTACCTTTTGTCATTAGATTAAAATTATACAATTGAAACGATAATACCACCATTTATTACATATAAGAATATTAAAAAACATACACAAGGAGAACCAGCTGAGGCCGCAACTTCGTAATCATGGATTATTCGGAAGAACAGTAGTTTCTAACTTTTGTAAATAAACAAACACAATTTTTTTGTGATGTTTACCGTAATACTAAATTCAATCCACACACAAATCAGTTAAATTGTGATTAATTACACGCACAAACAAACATCAAACAAACAAAATCAACCTTTCATTTTTTTTCTGTTACGATGATAAAATCGTCCGATAATTATATTTCTCATATGACTCCCATGGCATCCCATCAATATTTTATATTTTCATGATCCTATGATTATATTTATTTATAGAAAATGAAGAGTCTACTTCTGGTCTGCTGCTTGGTCGTAGTGGTGGTGGCGAGACCCAGTGACAAATACACTGACAAATATGACAACTTGGACATCCAAGAAATTCTAGAAAACAAACGCTTGTTAGAAGCTTATGTTAATTGTGTATTGGATAAGGGTAAATGCACAGCTGAAGGAAAGGAATTGAAGGGTATGTTTGCATCTATTATTTTAGGCTTTACTTTACTGCAGTAATTCTTAACCTTTTTTCTACCAACGCGTTATTTTTTTAATTCTAAAGAACAACATGATTTAAAAATAGAACTAAAAAACGTGCAATTAACTCAAGGTTGTTGATCATACATCTTTATATTTTTACATATACCATCGTTCACTACAAATTAGAATTTTTTAATCCCCGAACCACTTGTCTATTTTATTAATGCTATTTTTTATATTGATAATAATTAAGTTCATAATATGTAAATAAATAAATATTCAGAATGTAGTGTAAGTTGTTAGTTTTATGTCTTTATTGCTCCAAATTTTCTCCATATCTTAAACAATTTTGATGCTTAAGTTACTTAATAATCTTTTCGTAACACATACTATATAATCGAATACCTTTTGTTATATCGATGCGATGCATAGGTATAGAGATAATTTCTCTATTTTTCATGCAGTATTTCTACTCTGGAGCTTAATCACAATTTCGAATTACTTGCACATTTGTACTGTTATTTTTAAATATAATCAAGACCAAATGTATAGCAATGGCAGTTAAGACAGTTAGTTATTTGATTTAACATAAAATATCTAATTAAAATGTTACTAGTGTAAAGAATTATAAAAAGGTACGAAATGTAATCTAAAGTCATTGGATTGGAATTCATTTCTTGATACTATTATTACATCCCGGTCGCGTGAGGTTTCATATATACATATGGCATAGCTAGTATATATGGTATAAGTTTGGTCTTTCCAGAACACCTACAGGAGGCTATCGAAACGGGCTGTGAAAAATGTACTGAGGCTCAAGAAAAAGGTGCATACAAAGCTATTGAGTATTTGATAAAGAACGAACTTCAGATTTGGCACAAACTAACAGACAAGTTTGATCCTTCTGGTAAATATAGGAAGATGTATGAAGACCGCGCCAAGGCCAACGGTATAGTCATTCCTGAAGAATAAATTTATAATAATTAATAACAGCCATAAAAATCGATAGCTAACCGAAATGACTCATAATTGTATAGCATCGATTGAACATTAATTAATATTTAAATATTCTAATATTAAAATTTCAACAACTTTTTTATTTCTTTTTTTAATAAAATTATTTTTTTATAAATCGTTGTTTCATATTTTCCTATTACTGTATGTAACCTATAAAAATGCACCTATAAAAAAGTGTACCTATAAAATCTGCTTGAGTAGTCTACTTTTAAACTTTTTAAAATTTAAGAGAAAACCATGACCTAACTTAGACTTCGTAGGTTCTGAGTTCGAAATTGGATAACACTAAAAATTGTCTGTCAAATAATATTTCCGATTAACAGTCCTAGTGATGAAAATCCGACAACGAACGCCAAGTTAATATCCTATCGCAATGAGAGCCATGAATTTCATCTAGGATTTATAATTAATTACTTCTCAGAAATAATAATAAGATTATGGTAGTATTTTTTCTATGGATGATAATACAATGGTGCACCCACCTACGGTGTACTAACAACATATGCATGGCAGGCACCAGTAGAGATAGGATTAAACATTAAGTTAGGCCAATTAACTCAATTAACCACTATAGTTTCCAGAGGTAAACTTGGCATAGTAATCCGCCCTCCTGCCCCACCCACCGATAATACATTTAGTTATTTAAATAGTGTCAATTGTGAGACCTGTCTTGTAAGAGACTGATGTCTAGAATAGGTCTTAAAACCTGTCATACAGGTCAACAGTGCCCCATACCGACAACTTGGAGGTAAAAATAATTATAACAGCCATACATAAATGAACAGAATAAATTTAAAGTTCTTTAAAAGCAGTTAAAAGGATATTTGTTTATTCCAAAATTTTCTATGTAATTCAGTATTAAGTTGTAGTAATTACAAAAAAATAGAAAAATGCATAGAAAGGGTTACATAAGTACCGCATTTGTAATTTTTGAGATGTCTCAATATTTAAACACTGTAACAAAACAAAAACAAAATACGTAAAAAAATCTAGTAACAGCATTATACAAAAAAAAACTTCAACAGTGTTGAAGGCAATTGATAGAGTAGACGATAAAATTGATGTATTATTTACAACAGGCGTTAATATTTTACTACCATTTTATGAATATTCAAAATGTATTTACATAAATTTGTTGTTATTAAAGTAATACTATAAAATCATATGTATAATAACTATGTTATAATTTTAGTACACACAATTATAGTAAATTAATATGGTTTATATTCTTCAATATAGTTTCTTAGAATACATAAGTTATGATTCTATTAATTTTATGAAGCAATGACAAATTAATAAGTATCTACTAGGTAGTTATATGTAATTATTAACAGCCGCAATGGTAATGATGTTCATGAACGCCATATGTTGTCATATATATGTTGTATAAAAAAGGATCGTGACTGACATATATGGTGGGCTTTGTGACCACTATACATATTACTATTGTATGTGTATATAGTATCACTATTGTTGTACAAAAAATTGTTGGCAATTAATATAAAACATTTTCAGTTACCCAACAAAAACTATGGTCTTATGACGTAGACATTTTGAACCGACTACAGAAAAACGATATTCACAATGCGTCTATTTGTCATTCATAGGTATCATATTGTTGTTACTCATGAAATCGAGTTTATCACCAAAACGTAAAATTTCTTTGCATATTTTATTTGTCAAAACTGAAGTCGGTTTCATCTACAACGATATCTTATAATATATATGAAAGTTTGTAAAGAGGACTTGTATTAGTGAATTTATTTAGTTAACATGTAGAACAGATATATTTTATCATTCATACGCACAAAGAAAAGATACAGCTAAAATTTAATATTATTTTAAACTAGCTGATCCTTGCCCACTTCGATGGGCGGTAAACATTTTCGACTATCACGAAAAAGTCTTTTCATATTTTATATTATGTTATAATTTTATAAATTTTTATATAGCTTGTGACACTCACAAATAACCTGGATATCTATTTTGTTAAATTTTCAATTTACATTGATACTTATTAATAGTTTCCGACACAAGATTGCATTACTTAATTATCATTGCGTGACAGGGAATTAAAACTATAATCATTGTAATCAATTAACTATAGTGTTTGTCTTTATAGACCATAAACATAGAACAGATACTAATTCAAGGACGTTTAGGCTGATATTTAAATTAATCACTGTATTTTAATAAGTAATATTTTTATATGGAATTCACATAATTTACATTACCATTCCACAATCAAATAGTTGTAGGTTTTTAAGGGTATGAACAATTTAATATTCTTTATCAATAAATTTAATATAACAAATTTTTATTCTTTTAACACCTGACTAAACCTATATTTACTATTCAATTGTTTTAACAGGTTTTACAATATAATATTTTTCTATAATTCTCCATTATATAATTGTTTATTCCTTCGACTAGGTATTCTTTATAATATTTGAGGTTAGTGTTTTTGCAAGATAAATTGTATTTAAAATGTAAGGCATTTATTTGCCTGAGTTCATAATTACCTGACCAATGCAAAGGTAAAATAGACAATGTACTTTTAGATCATTTATTATATTTACAATTATAACATATACAAAATATTATACATAATAAAAGCTTGAATAGTAATACTTACATACTTACGTAAATAGTTAGGACTAATAGGTATAACAAAATGTCAATTAAACGAGTCTTGAATTAGATTTGTTCCGTTGAGCTACATTTGATTTGTTCCATTTCGGACCTTTGATCTCGATCATCCGAATTGTCATCTTATTGATAATATTTTTTTTACTATGATAGTTTTTCGTTACGGCCCAAATCAGTAAAAATGATGGTGACAACTGTCAACTATTTTAAAATCACTCCAAGAACCTGCATGAGATACAAATTATTCCACCCTCGCGCATTCACATTTTCGACCATACAAGTTTAAAAGTACTTACAATGTAGCAATAATAAATATTATTTTCTTAATTTCATTTAGATGTTATATTTTCTAACATTATAGTATCTAATCTAATCTGCATCAACTAGGCTTTTTATAAAACATTAGGTATGCTTAAAATATTCAGAATCAATCATCTCGTATATAAATTTTTAATACATATTTTTCTCTCTTTTTAATCTGTGTCCCGATGTATAATTTAAGGGTGAAAAATATGCCAATGAAATTACTAAAAGGTGTTGCTATCAGGTGAACCGTTAGCTTGTTTACTATTCTATCATGGTCTACACATATAACGAAACAGAGTTCTTCTGCTTGTACCGATAATCTCAAAAACTAATTAACGGACTTTCACACGGTCCTTAACAGAGTGATTTCTGAGAAAAGTTTAAATATATCGTTATAAATATTAAGGTATTAAACTTATATAATTAAGTTATTTAACTCTGCCTTATATTTTTAATATATTCTTCTCCATCTAATTATGAGAATATAATTGAAAACCATCGGTACATGACAGAACACAGCAGTCCAGACCATGATACCTATTGCGAAATTGATTCAACAATAGCTAGGTACTTACACATGATTTTTCCCGTAATTATGGGAAGTTACTCTAGTTGACTACAATATAAATGAAACCATCCTCATAGATTCCACAGTAAGCTGTGATAAGTGATTAATAATCGGCTAAGTTTATTGCTTCATCTGAAAAATTATACCTGAAACATTCAAGTGCGCATCTTATTATGAATTATATTGATATTACCAAAAATAATAAATAATACAGTAATATATGAACTTTAATGATAATACTAAAAGCTTTATTAGTTAATACTATAATTGTCCATAAAAATAATATTTATTTAATGCAACTTACAATTCATACCGACTGCTGCAGATTTCGTTAAATCAAACTTTACTTTTTATTATCTTTTCTTTATACTTTTTTATTTATATATATTTCTTTTTCAAGTTTGTAGTCCTAAGATATTTCTTTTATAATTATAACAGTGGACAAACTTTTATGAAGCAAAAAATACTTTAAACGTAGATTATTTGATAATCGAGTTGCTTTGCTTTCAGAATGAAATTGATATTAATATCGACTATAGCGCTCGGTATTGTGACGTTGGCACTGGCAGAAGAACGTCAATATACGGATAGATATGACAATATTAATATAGATGAGATTATAAATAATCGTAGACTATTGGTTCCTTATATAAAGTGCATTTTGGAAACGGGACGTTGCACTGCCGAAGGGAAAGAGCTTAAAAGTAAGTAAATAGTAATATAATGATAGAGATTAGTACAGCTACTTAATCAGAATCAACAATGCTTTTAACAATATATTTTTTTTATTTTGTGCTTTTGAACTAAAATCTGTCGTCCTGAACTGCACATAAGTCTTCAAACATCACATATGCAACGTCCTATATATTTTTTTAAATGATCACTCTGTCATATTGAGAGTTGATACATAATATTTCATTTTAAACATCCAAAATGTCGTCCCACTATGTATTCTTTGAAAACTAGAATAATAAATAAGATAGACACTGTCTAATCTTGATTAGGTACAATAAAATCTTTTTATGTTTCAGACCACATAAAAGATGCTATGCAAACAGCATGCTCAAAATGTACTCAATGGCAGAGAAAGGGCGCTAGAAAAGTCGTTAAACACATTAGAGAGAATGAGACGGAATACTGGCAGAAAATGTTAAGTAAATATGATCCCAAAGGCGAATACAAAAGTATTTATGAACCGTTTTTAGAATCTGACGACTAAAAGAAATTCATGTTTTATTTTAAGTGTCTATTTAATATTAATAACGATTTCATACTGTTTTTTGGTTATGACCAAGTATATGTAGTATTTCTATATTATGGTACTATTTAAGTAATAGCCCGGGCTCGCTGGCTCGCTAGCTCGATCTAGTCTGAAGCAAAATAAAGCTTTGTAATAAATTGTATTATGGGTGCTAGACAATTAATAGAAATACTTATTTTTACTTTTTTTTTGTGTAAATGTGTACATAATATACAGAGAGAATATATTCTGAACGATTCAAAGAATTTTAAATTTATATTTTATTTTCACAACTGTTTGTTGACGATATTCTATAATAATTTTATCAGAAGCATTTTACCATATATTCTAGTGTAATATACATAAATAAATCGAATTTATAACTAACATTCATGTTTCTCAAATTGTAATCTAAAAAATGAAAATCTTTGCATAGTATCTTGTATATTGTGTCTCTATTTAGAACTGTGATGATGTGATCTTGTGTGCAATATTATATATAGATTTTTAATATATAGTTAGTACCACGTTCTTTGAAAAGATTTGCATTCTTATCACTCATACTATTCTATATTAATATTTTGTATACTGATATTCTGACATACAAATACATTGTATCTAAATAATTTATATTATAAAAAAATATAAAAAAAATATGCAATGTTTATCTCTTCACCAAACTAAGATTTCTTCGAATATCCAAGAAGTTAGTTGATTGTAAGTCATATATTCCTCTAGGGACAAGTCTATTAAACAGATATATAAAATGACACGTGGTTTCAGATGTAAGTTGTGAAGCTGCAATTAGTAGTAATGTTGATTTACGAATATTTCAACTTTTCGAACCGATACAATAGCAGATATGACATAAAGAAACAAACGATATATAATTTACTAAATTTATTTACGAAAATCCAATTTTCTTATGTATGTAACAATTGAAATACGAAATTTTACACATCAACACTATTATCTCGAATTTCCACCTTAAAATTCTTAATTTCACACACAAGAAGTTAAGAATTTAAGGAATTAAAACAAATACCATTTCAGAGTCTCAAATTCAAGCGGCAAGTTCTAACCCTGAACCGATCCTAATTCGGTTTCGTATTTTCTGACATATTTATGGTCTTTGTCATATTTATCGCTAAGCTCCCGCCAATATTCAGGTTCATTGTTGATGAGGTGAGCAATAACACGGCGCGTACCGTCCCGTTGTGTATCTGTGCATCTGGAGCAGTAATCCTCCAATGCTTCTATAATGTGTGCTGTGGAAACAATAAACAAATTTAAAACCATGAATGTGCACACAAGCGCTAGCTTGCACTTCTTAAGTATGTGTAGGTAACTACATATCTATAGACATTATTTTCACACACATTTACTGTCATAGTTATAAAGATATTATGATTCTAAACAACAATTTAGTAAAAAAAACCCAGTTTTTATAAAAATAAGTTTCTTTATTATAGAAAGTAAGTGTTCTACAAACGTTTTATAATTCTAAAAATTGGGTTGTTCTTGTCTCAGAAATTATTTTGTTAGTTTCAAAAAAAGTTATAGAACAGCATTTTTTTGTACAAGATTTTAGTGTGTTTAATTACAGATGTAATACAATAGAAGGTGAGGTTCTTTTTATGGATGATAGTTGACTAGTGCTCCTGCTTGGTCTAACCATGTAAGCTGGTTGAGTAAAAGTGGAATATGCTAGTACAAGAATGAAGTAAGACCCATGGTATCGAAGTGAACAGCAATTGACCACGATGGTTTCGAAGGAGGAGTACAATAAAAGATGTGAACACTACTCCCATTACTAACAATTCTCTCCCTCCTAACAATAGAGAACACAGGCATATTAGTTAATTGTTAATACTTACATTTAAGCTCTTTGCCGTCCGCCGTGCACTTTCCTTGGTCAAGTATACATTTGATGTATGGAACCAATAAACGTTTATTGGCAAGGATTTCATTCAAATCAACATTGTCGTATTTATCTGTGTACTTGCCATGTCTCGCGGCTGCCAGTGTTGCAACTATCGCAAGTGTTAGCACAAGAAGTGTTGTTATCGTCTTCATTCTGAAAGTTATATTGATATGTCATTACGTCGTTTGCAAAAGTTCATGTTATAGGTATTACTATTATTTCATAGCAAATTAAAAGTTTGTTGTTACACAACTACAGTAGTATATTCAATATTTATTGCCTCAATTATAAAACAAATTTAGTACTTTTATTAAATTTCATATGTCAAAACTTCAGCAAATTTGTACAGCAAAATCTAGTTTTTTGGAGACAAAGTATATAAATTCGTTTAATATGAATATAAAAATATATAAATATATGTATTTGAAAATAACCACAGCTCTCAAAAATTTAATTTTTTTTAGAGCTGCGATTATTTGGAAATAAATAAATATTTCTTTAAATGGCCTAACTTATAAAAACCTACTAACGTATTGAAATGCTATTTATATATTATAAGTAATTATAAATAAACATGCAAATAAAGTGATTGTTTTGAAATGATACATAGATGTCACCTATGTGACGCTCGAAAACTAATTATAAATAATTATAAAAACTAACAAACATGTAAGTATATAATATATGTACGTAAATACATTCTATTGTACTAATTCTATTCTCTAGTATACACTAGCAATGACGTATAATTTCTTTTAAAAAAAACTATATATGTAATATTATTTATTATGTTAGTTAATAATGTACTTAGCAGAATTGAAATCTTTGTTTACTTAAAGTTTCTGTACTTATTTAAAGTTATGCGGTTTCAACCAACTTCTTGAGCATAATGCATAAAGATTATTTTTTTTTAAAGAACTAATATGTCATTGCTAATGTGTACTACAATAGAATGTATTATTGTTCATGTTTTTTTAGTAGTTACGCAAGGTATACATTTGTATGTACAAGTAAGTACAAATTCAAATAATGACGTTTACGATATTCATATATATTTATTATTAACAAAGTTGAAGATAATATAATTAGAGGATATTAATTTCATTAATATTTATATACATATTATTATATAACTAGTATTTACATAACCTAATTGTACAACTAAGAACTAAAATAAAAAGCTTAAAAAAATATATAATATGATGACTAAAGTATATTATTAAAAGGGGTCCCTTTAGGCAACGTTCCGAAGATACTGGCAGTGTTCCCTCTTTGAATAGCTATTATTTGTTACCACTTTTTTAACCTCAGAGTCCCAAAACCCCAAACCTTCAAGTAAAAAAACGCGTTCCACGAGTGCAAGTTGCAATGAAACAAACTTTATATAAATAAAGTATGCCAAATTCACTTCACTTATGTATAGTTAGACCTTATGTATAATGATCCATGTTCTATAGAGGCCATGGACATGGCAATATTAAATATATTATAAAAAGTCCAACAATAACCACCAAATAATATTACCCTAGTAAGTTGTTACAAAATTACATTAGATTACAAAAAAGTACAGAACGTAATAAACACTGTAATCGTTTAAATATCACTTAAGTTTGTAATATCTAGTCTATTTATTAATAATATAGATATTACTTACTTCACTAGAATTATAATTTATGGATCAAGTACCACTGTCGGCCAGTACATTCACAGTATGTGTACTGTGGTCAGAGTATGCAACTTATATACTACCAAGTAAATGGATGGTCGTTGGCTCCTCAGTCCTGACAACAACAGCCTTAAACGGGTTTATGATTCTACGAATGCCAAGACAAATATAAATAAAAAGCTCATAATTAAATATGCGTCACCTGCTCACAGAGACTGACTCGAAGACAGTCAGCTTGCAATTTTTCCACGTTCATTTTCTCTGTGGCTACATTCCCTTTTCAAGCGACATAGCTTATTGTTTTGTTTAGTTTTGATGATAGCATATTATTTTTCTAAGTTCGAATTTTATTTATGGAATATAATTTTAAATTACTATTTTATCTTTTCAAAAATATTAGAAATGAAACAATAAATATATAAATAAGTCCAACAGGTCCAAAAGTTTTTAACAGTAAATAACTTTATTTTCGAATTATTTCGTTTAGATTGACATTAGAGTAAAATGTTATAAATAATTTCTATAAACTGTTTACGGTAAAGATTTCTACTATGTACATACGTAGACAATCTGTATTTTTTACATATAAAAATTACCCGGTCTTAGACAATTAGGTAAAAACGTAATCTTGTCTATAAAGTGTACTGCAATCATAGAGAGACAAGCAATGTTGTCTGGCACTCTGCGTCAATGATTCGATTGTTCATTACGTTACTCGTTCTGCTAGCTATGAACCTGATGGTTATAATAGGTACTTTAAGAAAACCAGGTGGTAATTCGTTATGTATAATATGCTAGCTGTATACCAATGCGCTTTACGCTTGAAATGTACACAATTAAAATTATATTTTTTTATAATCCTCATTATCATTACATGCATAAAAGAAAGTCGCTGTCGCTGTCTGTCCCTATGTATGCTTAAATCTTTAAAACTACTTTTTAATAAATACAGTGTTTCAAGAAGGAGGTTTATATATATAATTCATGTACACCCGTGAGAAGTCGGGGCGAGTAGCTAGTTATATATAAAATTATCTTGTCACAATGTAAGTGTCACTGTCACTCCTCCGAATCGGCTGGACCGATTATAATTAAATTTTATATGCATATTAAGTAGGTCTAAGAATAGGGTACTCTATTTTTCATACCCCTTATCAGTTAGATAAGGGTTGTCCACTCCTAAAATGTTTTTGTGGTTTTTTTTTTTTATAATGTGGCATTAAAAATACACACAACCCTAAATTTCCACCCTTCTGTCAGGAACTCCTACTTATTTATAGTGATATTAGTACTTTAACTTATACGAAAAAACAACGTTTACTGGTTTACTGACAGTTATCTATTACAAACAAAAAATAATGATTACTATAAAATTTCATATATAACGTCACTGGCTTTTGACCTTTAAGACTAACCCTGTATATAGATTAGTTTAAAAATATACAACTTGCATTAAAAATGTTAATGAAACTATAAATACTACAGTGAATAAAAAATACTTTATAAACGAGCAGAGAGATCCGTTAAAGTTTACATCACAATCTATTGGTACTGCCTAATTGGACGAGAAAAAAACAAGAGATATGACAACAATATATTGATGTTATTGTTATATTTTTAGCCTAAATTATTAAAACAACGGTTCAAAAGCAGCAGTTTCTTAATGTACATACACAACGTGTTAATCATCCTGATTTTGTTCTGCTCTTTTTATTCCAAATTGTAGACACCGTTTTAAACTTTTTTATTGGTTGTTTATAATTGTACAATAAACACCAAAAAAGGTTGAGAGTAACGAGCTCATGATATTTCGACAAACGAAGACCTTTAATCAGAATGGTGAAAAGTGTTCTTCTCTTCTACACTAAATCACTAAATATGACGATGTATATCAGCTTATTAATTTCTTTGCAATGTCCACATTTTTTTATGATAGGAATATTCCGTTATAGATTACATACTTATACTTACTTACATACAGGTCTTGTTAACTGTCAACGTTGTGATGAAAAATATGTTTGCCAACGTCGTAGTATAAATATGGTGGTAGAGCATTCTGTATGAATAGGTATTGTTCTGCAGGACGAATGGAGGATTTGGGTGCTTTACCTCTTACCAAGTAATTTATCTGCCTATCTCGCCTTATCATTGAAACACAGTTTGCAAAGGAAGCCGCTTAGCAGCTAAAATAAAGTACCCAGGCAGACGACTTTTTACAGTCTACCTCGGTAGATAAATGTACGTTTCTTTATTTCGACGTCCTCGTTGAAATAGCGGTACTAACTCACCTTATTTTTGTTATCATAGTGCAAATTCTACTTAGTTTGTGATGTTATTGGTGGACCTGTATGAATTGTACAGGATGATTTGTTTAGTTACTAGATCTATCGGTAATTTATTCAGAAAATGATCAAACCTAAAATAAAACAAAGAAACTAATTTATTTTACTTTTATTAATAAATATTTATTACATTCTCACTATTTGTAACCATTTTGCACTGTTTCATATCTTTTTATACCGAGGCCAAGTCATTATGCTGCAGTGTATTCTTTCTCATATTTACTTGAAAAGTTATCTTCCGGATCGTATTTGGCTTTGAGTTCATTCCAGTAGTCTTTTTCATTATTAATAATATGTGTGAGAACTTTTTTCGTGCCACTTTTCTGCTTGTCTGTACATTTGGCGCAGTCGTTTGATAAAGCCTCTTTTATATGCGCTGTTAAAAATTAATTAATAATTTATGTAAATAAATAATATGTATAAAATATATAAGAAATAACCAGTTTTTGTTATGAAAGTTCCACTGTTTATTACAAAATAATAACGCAATCTATTGACGTCTACACAATATGAGTGTAACACATTTAAATTAAATTTATTATCATTATATTGATCAAAGAATTAATTGTAATTTTAAAAAACTTGTTTGAAATAAAAGTAACGAATATTTAATAAATAATGATTAGATTTTTATTTCACGACTGTTTTCTCAAAAAATTATATTCGAAAGAAATTAAAGATCAGTATCTATATATACAAATTCTTTTGAATTTAAACGTAATTTTTGCCAGGCACTAAATAAAAAAAACTTATTCAAATTTTTGTGTATATACTTAGAGCCTTAAATTTTATTTTAAATTTTATTACTTACATTTAAGTTCCTTTCCTTCAGGAGAGCATTTTCCTTGGTCAAGAATACATTTGATGTAAGGCACTAGAAGACGTCTATTCTCAAGAATTTCTTCCAAATTAATGTTGTCGAAACGATCAGTGTAAGTATCTCGAGGACGGGCCATGGCTACAGCCATTAAGCTTGCCAAACAAACTAAGATTAAAGTCCTCATTCTGAAAAATCACAGTGAAATTAAATTAATTTACAAATTTACGTAGTAAAGATACCGCAGTAATGAAAATAAAGAATTCAAACTAAAATTCGTCTTTATATGAGTAGTGTGAAATAGAGCTCACACTGTACTTCAAACACTTTATACGGACTTAATTTTGATAAATACGTATCTGTAATATATTCACGACTGTTCCCCAAGGTAATAATGGAAGCCATAATATATTGAAGCTTATATATGACTAAAGAATAAAATATACTATTCTGCAAACACTAGTATAAAATCACGTATTAAAATATTAATAACTAAGTACCTGATACTATTTGCTGAATCTTGGAACTAAACATTATTTGAGCACATTCATCTCTTTTATATGCGATCGTAAGCAACTTTGACACTGTAGAAGTAAAAAATGTTACCTACGTATGACATATAATAAACTAGCGCTTGTCCCTCACCTTTGCCCGCATAGTCTGTGATTTGCTATGTACGCCTTAGTTATATGACAGGATAAACATAACAATGTATCCATTATACTCGTGAATTGGGACTGCTTGAAGGGAATGGTCTGTTCAGACCATTATAACTCAATAGCTATGCCTGCGGATTCACCTGCATGAAATTTATACCCTATGTGTTATTTCATGATGTATAAGCTATATTACTGTAAAGTTCATCGAATATAAAACATTTATAATAATATATATATTTATATATATAATAAGATATGATTGATTTTCAACCGACGTTTTAGTGATCCTTCATAATGCGCAATGCTTCAATAATTATTATGTTAGCAAGTAACTACAACGATACAGTCAATATTTTGCTTTCATGTATTAGTGTTATATGACTAGTACTGGCTGTATGTACAAATAATCATACTCGTATAAATGTTTGTGCGGTGCGAGCAATCGATCCCGCGACCATTGGAAGTAAATTGGTGTGCTAAATCGCTAGACCATCGAGTCCTTACTAAACCAACTTATTTATATTATGTGTGTATGTATCGCACTAGTTTGCCAGTGGCGATTTTGAAGATAATATTAATATCGATAGGTTTTACTAGCCAACACAGGATTCATAGTAATGTGTGTTGATTCTTTTACGTTATTTTATTGCCACGTCTCCAAAATAATACAACGTATTAACAATGGATTGTTTCTAAAATAATTTTAACTAAGTGACACTGGCACGACACGCAATTACTTGTTATCATTTAATCTAGACCATTTCAGAAATTAAAGAACGATAAATAAATTTTAGTGTGATTTTTACATTAAACACCTCTAATCATTTCTAAATATTGCGACAATTAATAAATAAATATTTCAATTAAAATCTAGTTATCTCATTATTTTAGTCTACAAGAAACTGGATTGGAAAGTGACGATTTAGTAGGGATGTGGATAGTAGAGTCAACGAAAGAACTTTATTGATTTTATTAGTATATAATATAATAAGTATTAAACAGTCATATTAACAGCCTTCAAGCTGTTTACAAAAGATACGTGTATCTATGCACAAGTTACGTAACATTATTAAAAAATAACACGCTCTTTACATACTGACATAATATACAGGCAAAAAATTGTTTTAATTTTATAATAAATGTATACACATTGTGTTGTCACATTAGTTGTATGTAGTAATTAAGTGCTGTAGAAGAAGTAGTTACAAGAAGTAAGCAATTTCTAGTCTTACCCCTTTATTTTCACGTGATTTGTTATACATTTTTTTTTATAGTAAATTACTTATCATCTATAATGTGATTTAGATGTATAAAATGACAGATAGTTAAAATAAATATTGCTATATTGAGAAGGTATTTAAACATTTTAGCTACAACCTACGCCTTATTTGTAGGGCGTAGGTTTTTGCAATAGTATATATTATATAATTAAATACTATTGCAAAAATTTCCTGATTTTAAAGGTATACTAATTGTACTTACGGTTTTACCTGCTTGAAATTTATAGCATATATGTCATCATGTATAAGCTATATTATTGTATAGTTTTATTAAAATCTATTCAGTATAGTTCTGCGTGAAAAAGTAACAAACATCCATCCATCCACTCTCACAAACTTCCGGGATATAATAGTAAGATATACTCCTAAGTATGTATTTATAGGAATAGCAAGCAAGCTGACGGCTCACCTGCTGGTAAGTACAAAATTATGGACTACATGGGGTCTAAAATGTCACGAACGTATCAATCTTTTAGATGATTTACATACCTTACTCTAGGTATGTAAATCATTATTGTAAATCATTTGTATAGCACAATTGCTAATTTACAGATATGTTATAAATAAAATTACAAAAATAAAAAGATAAAATTATTTTATTTATATTTATCTACATGTAATAAGTTATCAGTAGTACCACAGACAAGAGTATATTACATAACAGTAACCAGATACAATACTTTTTTCTTTACAAAAGAATCAACCCTGCACAGCCCTATATTCTTGTTCGTACTTCTTGGTGTATTTGCCAGAGGGATCGTACTTCGCTGTCAGTCTGTTCCAATATTCCGGTTCATGGTTGATCAAGTGAGCGATGACACGACGAGACCCCTTGCGTTGAGGTTCCGTACACTTGGCGCATTCATTTTCTAAAGCCTCCTTAATGTGAGCTACAAGTATATACAAATACATTAATGGCGAATATTTATATTATATTATACCACACAATATACTTACTACCTATTGGAATATTTTATACTCATATGGTCAATGAATTCCAAAACCTCTATACCTTATTATCGGTGTTAATCACGAAATTAAACATTTTTCTCAAAGATGAATATGTAAAACTACGAATTGTTTAAACTAAAACTATAAACTATAAATCTCTTTTGAGGAAAATTGTATAGGTTGGCAGTGTTTACTCTTTCAATTAGAGGTTTCATATGGATTTGATTGAAATAAATTTGTTTCATCTATTCATAGGGCTTGTTGTTGAATATATATTTTTACAATATTATAGAAATATTTAAATTAACTTACATCTCAATTCCTTGCCGTCTGCAGTACACCGTCCTTCTCCAAGTACACAGAGAATATAAGGCGTAAGAATACGGCGATTTCCTAAAATTTCGTTCAAATCAATATTGTCATATCTATCTGTGTATTGGTTATTTGGACGACCAACAGCAACGGCTACAAGAGCAAATAGACAGAGAACGAAGGTCTTCATTCTGTAATAGATTAAAATATAATTTAAAACAAATAAAAATAGTAATAGTTATATGTAACTACTTTGTATGGTACTTGTAGATCAGATACATATACGATAGTCAGGATATCCGGATAAATGTCACGCATAAATTGACTCTAGAACAATAATAATTAAAAACTAGATAATTGTAACCTATATTCCACAGATAATATAATTATTATTTATTATACTTATAACAAAATACAAATTTATGTACGAAATTGTATGCAATGCACAGATCAATCAATAAATCTATTTGTTTTTTGTGTTTAATATTCAATACTATATCATATGTAAACTTTTTTAAATTTTGTTTAACAACGACTATACACTATATTGTACATTGCATTTATTTCTTAGTTTTAATTACTTAATATTTTTTCTTATTAGTTAGTGAGATTTGAAAGACTGAACGATTTAACAAAATACTATCAATACAAAATATTTCGAAAATGTAAATATATATATTTGGTATTATTATATATTTATATGATTAATTTGAGTTGGTATAAATAAAATATAATTTTCTATTAAGAAGTATAGTTTACTATGAGTCACTCACTATACAGCAGAATAGAATCTTGCGAGAACTCCGCCCGACTTACCTTGATTTATGAATATGTCAGCACTAAACTGTACTTGGTTGTTATCTGTCACAGTAATGTGTCCGTACAATTAAGTGATCAGTCGTCGACGACTTTTTATACAGAAATATCCATTGTGGACATATCGAAAACTAGTTCTAAACTAATTTTCGAGGAAATATTCGTCACTGTCATTTGTAAGTGTAATTAGGTATAGTCCATATCTTACTCTTTCACCTAATTATTCTAAATGGGTATATTGGCGTTGACCATAAATTTTATGTTATTGGTTATTGTTATCAATAAAATTTATGTCATAGCAAATTGAGATATGTCTATATTAGGATAGCTTGATAATATGATAACTTTTAAGGTTCTTTTAAACAGCTCCTATAGATGTGTGATTCTTTCGATGTATTTAAAATATTTAGCGCTGTAAACAATATGAAATGACAAAGAAAATCTTAAAACTTACTCAAGTACATATAGTTATATGTATATTATTCTTATTATGATCTTAAGCAGTTGAATGATATTAATTTGACCCAAAAACGTCGAAAAAGTTGAATATTTGAAGTTCAAGAAAAATGAAATTCTTAATAAAGTTCATACTCTATTTCTTTATTATATTTGCTTGTATAGTCTAAATCCATCAATAAATCTTTTATGAGGAGAGTTTTATCCGTGTATGACATAGAAGGATAAGGTTTTTAGAAATTGATAATCTTATTATGATTTAAATTAGAGAGATATAACTACTTTTTCAATAAAGTATCACGTACTCTAACTGAGTCTGCAAATTCTCAGAAACTTTAAACATTACTTACCTACCATCTTATTATGGCTAGATTAGAAAGAAAAATATTTTAGGTATTTATAAATTTGTTATAAACTACTGTTGCATTCCGTAGTATTGTCACTTAGCACTCTAATGATTAATCGCAAATGACTTCTTAATTAAACTTTTAAATACAATACAACATGGCTATGTAATATGCAAAATGATAGTAATTTTTCCATAGGTAGGTATTTTATTTTCCAAGCTCGTTATGTTAATTGTTATTGCGGTTAAATTAATTGATAACTGGGTAGTTATCATTATACATAGGTATAAGTACGTTAGTACACCAAACCTGCGATATAATATCAAGGTATAAAATTGATTTATTTTAATTTAAAAATTTTAACGAAATACAATAGACATAGTTGAGATCGCAAGAGGAATTAAAATTATTGTAATTAATTGTCTCTTATTTAGACACCTAATATGTATATACTTATTATAAGACAATATGAACATAACTATATATATATATATGATATTCTAAATACTCGGGTATTTATAGATGCAATATTTAAAAACATTGTACTGAACATTAAAGTATGCCCATTGAAATGTCTATATCAATTTTTCATTTAATTTAAATTTGTAATGATGAGAATAAAGCAGGAAGGAAAATAATCTAGATTATTCTATATTACTATACATTTTGTAACTTTTGTTCACTTTTTATGTAACATTGAAAAATGTGTAATTAGATATTTTTAACTCATTTTTAACTGCAATCACATTAGATTTTAAACATACCTACCATAAATATCAAAATCCTTTAGAATTATGTTGTTTATTCTAGACATGGGAACATGTAACGAATAACTAATGCCTATACGAATTTGATTTATATTATAATACACTAAAAATTTTATCCGTCTATGTTTACAACATCTGCCATATAGGTACGCTTTATACTAAGTGATAATTGAAGAACATACTCTCACATCATCATCGACTATATTTATGCTACTGACGAGTAAAAAATCGATGTAATATCTACATAAAAATAAATCTGACTCTATTGAATTAGTATTGACTTCAACATCAAATATATTTATGTATAATAGAGAGGGACTTGGGAGTATATTTTCCTTTGCTATGTAATCTAACTTAAATTCTTGGAGTATTCGTCTTGATGAGCTAAGCGATCTGATTTCTTTCTTTTGAATTAAATATATAAAAGTACAATAATTATCTAAACAATGGCGTTCTTTTATCTTGTAATCAATTTTCTGAAGAAATCCATTTTGCTAAGATTTCTGAAAAATTAAATAGCTTCTTATTATTCCAGGCAAGGACATTATTAGAATATAGAAGTCAAGATGAGCTCAACCCTTGGGATAGCGAAATTATGCTGGATGTATTTGAATTCAACGTAACACAGGCGAATCCGGCGCTGTCACTCAGAATAATTTCGTTTGTTTTTTTAAATTGACATACAAATTAATTTGATGTCGATCAAATACAAACTTACGATTTTTCAAAGTATCTAAGTACCTAAACAGATCGCAGCAGCTTCAATAACTTGACTACATATTCTGACTACATAGTATATTGTATAGTTAAAGAAAACAAGTTACTATTTATTATTCCTATAACTATAGCGCAGTCGTGAGGTTAAACAACAAGTATCAATTCCACGTAATTGTCACCTACTGACATCACACAAGGCACTACCTCATAATATTGCTACCATCAACATGGCTATTCTAATCACAATTAATGTATGCAAAAATACATGTGAAAAACATTTTTAGGTTTTGCTTTTTTATGTACATTAGAGTCCAATAAATTATCGTTAAGTAATAGTGTGATATTACCATTGTCATATCTGTAGTATTGGTATCAACTGCTTTTTTTACTTAGTTCAAAACTAAAATTACAGGATAAAAGGCATCTTAGTGTTCTGGAATGGCAGCGCATGAATCACTGGTGTGACATATGAACAGTGCTGTTCATGTATATAGGCGATGGTTACGGCTTACCACCAGTAGGTTACCATTACAATTATATAAAAAAAAATAGAGTATGCATCGATAAAAGTATTTTTACTGTAGGTATAAATTAATTTGTTTCTCCAATAATATTTAAATTATTAGAGTACTTATAGGTATTAGCTATTTTGTTATCATCAATCGTTACACATGCAATAACCGAGAAACAACAATGTATAAATTCTATCAGGAAATTCCAGCTACGGAAAATAACTTAATTTACACTGCAATAAGACAACCGGATAGGAACTAGACGTCATTATTTTGAATCGTAAATCTGAATAATGTTTAAAATCACTACTAAATAATTTTAATTGAAATATTATTCAAGAAATGACTTAATTAATAACTGAACTGAAACTTTATCTCGTAGCTTTCGCCGAATCTCTTATTTGACATTTCCACTAACATTTATTGTTTTTTAAATATCAGCTACAAATGTACATACTACTTGTTACTGTAAGGGTACTGAACACTAAACTTTTGCAGCAGCAATTTTTAAAAAAACGAAGACATATGTCACCTCACAAAGATTGCAAAAATTTTCATTAGATACTTAATTTGTGATTCAACTTATTAAAAATAAGACCTCTTTTCATTTAGTATAAAGGTATAGAACAGAACAGCAGTTCAGTCACAGGGATTGACGTCACATACGTATGAAGCTGTAACGGCCAGCTATAGTCAACTGTTACTACAGTTAACTGTGTTTGAGTACATAGTTGAAAAAATAAAGGAATCTATAAAAGGTTATTATATATATACGTATTTGAATTTATTATTCGCAAAATATCTTATTCTTTGTTAACACGCAAGTTCCCAAGGATGTCGTGTTGCGTTCACAATGTTGTCCGCAGTTTACAATACCTCTGATTACACTGTATGAGGTTACAGTGGTAAGGCAGTACCCTAAAAATAGATAATATAGGAAGTTTCTTCAAGATTAAAATTAACAATCTGTTAATTTTTATCTAGAACAGGTAAAGTAAAAATTCGAAGTAACCAATGAAAACTGAAATATCCAGGATCTTCTTACCAACGAGTCTTTATTACAAAACCAGTTCTGAGTGCGTCATTAAAACCTCTTGCTTGCCTATGAATCACACAAATTGTAATTCTTAGTATTGTATTTACGTACCTATAAAGAATAACAACTCTTTACAGTTTAACCTTTGAACGCGTAGCTTTATATTGTTACAAAATTTTATATTATGTAGATAATATACAGATACCCGGATAATGTTATGATAGTATTCTACATGGAGCGTTAATAATAGGGATAAGTGTCCCGATTGCAAACAACCACAGCATCCAAGTGGTCGCCTTCAAACTATAAATTAATGATTGAAAAACACTTTCTTAGTCCTATCACAAAAAAATCTTGACCTAAATATAAACTAAAATAAAACATAATTAGTATAAGTATGTAATATTATGTTATCTGTGGTATAAGATACAGAGGTAAAAATTATCATAGTGAATTCCTAATACGAGTAAAGCCACAATGTACTAATAGACTTTACTTCATCATCGCCCTATCAGTTTCCACTACTGGTGTAGTTTAAGTTGAAAAAAATCACAAAAAATTACGAACCATCCTCCACAAAAAAATACCGTGACGTAAAACGTCCTGAACAGAGCGCAATATATTTTTGAAGACAATATATTTTATTCCTGTTTAAATATGACAATATCTTTTCTTGTGGTGTTAGTGACAGCTTGCTATTTGTCCGGATCAATAAAATCTACATCTCAGTAGCATTTTATGGGTTTTCTGCAGCAAGTCGATAATATAAACCAACTTTAAAACTGAAGATCTTTTTGATTGATAATTCGACAAAATTTTTTTTACACTGTGAAGAGTTTATATATATATATAGCTATGCTATTATGAAATGTACTCAAGATATAACCTTTATAAATACCTAAACCTACAGTCAGCATGTGTGATAGCAGAGTGACTGTCTACTCATATTTAGACATGGGCAAGCGAACTAAGTGAGTAAAACTAGGAAATCATTATTTCAAATAGAAATTACTACATTATAGGAAATTATATATGATTACTGATTATACGATTTAAGATGATAGTCACTAAATCGTTAGATATTGTACGTAGGTACTTCAACATGAGTTCATATAAAGGAACGCAATTCATTCAGTTATTCGCTTCGTATTGCATTTACTAGTTCTACTGTACCTGCGATTGTCAAGTAAATTTATTATATTTGTTTATAACTTCACTAAGTTTCATTGTATTTTTTTTATATTTTTCAACGGACTTCAAAAAGGTATGTTCGCAAACCTACTTACTACTTTTATTTTACGAATATTTTCCGGACTTTATATTTATTATATTTTATAACATTAACTACCTACAGAGGGTCTAACAACAACGATCAATATTAAATACAATAAAATTATATTTGTGTATTCCGAGCTTTATTGAGCTAAATTTTTATTGAACTCTCTGCGTGCGTCCATTACAATTTCTAACAACCCCGCAATCTTATTGCTAGCAAAGTACAATATGAGATGGACCTTCACGCGGTGCCCTCTTAATTTACCACACTTGGCTACCTGATGTCGTTCAAAGCAATGAAAAGATACTAGGTACCTATCGAAATATGTCCTCTTAATTGTATAAACGCAACATTGCTCTTATCGTAAAGGAATGCATATTTTACTCTACTACACTTATATTGTACTAGCTGTACCGGCGACGTCATCCGAGTGGAATTTAACTTTATTTTTCTAAAATAAAAGTAGCTTAGTTACTCCGTATTACATCAGCTACCTGCCAATAAAAGTTCCGTCAAATTAGGTCGAGCCATTTTAGAGATTAGCCGGAACAAACAGATAGATAGACAGACAAAAATTGTAAAAAAATGTATTTTGTGGTATGTACCGTATTTGTATTCATATGCATGTAATAAAAACGGTTATTTCAATATTAGAAACAGACAGTCCAATTTTATTTATATGTATAGATTAGCGGCCCGCTCCGACTTCGCACGAGGATTTAATAAAAATATATTTTATAAGACACACGCACAATAATTAATAGACCCTTCGATATTGATGTCCTCTATAAAAAAACAGTAGTTAATCCCTTTGTTCTATTTCAATTCTCAATAATTTCCATAACGAGTGCCACATAATACGTTTTTTTTTGTATTTTTTTCACACGTTGGATAGTTATCCTTATGCCTTATCAAATTTTCATACGAATACGGTGTTGATAAATTTCTTATACCTATGTTCATCAAGGATAATGTAGCCTGTAGAATTCAGGTTGTCGCGATGTTGTGGCGTTAATTTATATTTCTGACTGACTGCGGTGAAGGAACCACATGGTGGTCAACCTGAATTAGTACATAGATAGCAATGGAGTAATTACTTAACATTACAAACATTCTCTTTCCCCCGATTAAATAATGTTTACTGACTACGAAATGCCTCCCATTATGTTAAGAGCAATGTTGTACTTACAATGTATATGTTAACATTAAAAGTTACCTTTGGTATATTTATGATTCTAAAAATTAGATAATAAATTGTGTTTTTATCAGATTACTATGAAGATTTTTCTCGTGCCTCTTACATTTGTATATTTAACAAATGGATATTTCTGTGAAGACTTAAAATATACTAATAAGTACGACGGTGTAAATTTGGATGAAATTCTATCAAACGAACGTCTCCTGAACGGTTACGTTAAATGTTTACTGGAACAAGGACCTTGCACTCCCGATGCAAAGGAATTGAAAAGTAAGTGCTAATTTAATACCTGTCTTGTTTTATTAGATATTTACAGCTAAATCTAGAGTTATTTTAACCTAAGATTAAAAATTACGAAACGACTAATAGGTACGAAATTTTAAATAATAAAACTTAATTTAATGACGATATATTTATAGGTACTAAATATTTTGCTCATTATTTGGTCAAGGTCACTATTTTACACGGACGAAGTCGCGGGTACAGCTAGTTTTAAATAATAAAACTTAATTTAATGACGATATATTTATAGGTAATTGAATTGGCAATGAAGCTAACGGGCCACGGTTACCACGGTTATAATGGTAACCATCATCTATTTACATGAATAGCACTACGGACAACATATTAATAACGTGTGCCACGTAAGACCTAGACGAATAACATTTTTTACAATACGTTGCCATTCCAGAAGACAAAATGTCACACTTATTATCATCTAATTTCACTGCCTTATTTCGAGCTTCGACCAAACACAACTTACGAACCAAGCTGCTTGGCGGCTGAAATAGGTGAAACTGAGGTTCCTACGCAGACGACTTTTTACAAAGTCTACCACAGTGAAGACATAGTACCTACATAGATATTGTTAAATATGGTGGTATAATCTGTGTGTTTGTGCCAGATCGAGTACTCATACGATAATAAACAGTCCAATCCATTACTAAAGAACAATAGTCAAAATTGCATTCTTTTGCTTGCAGATAATCTTCCAGACGCCATAAAAAATGATTGTAAAAAGTGCACAAACAGACAGCGAGAAGGAGCAGATCAAGTAATGGGATACCTTATAGACCACCGACCTAATGATTGGATTAAATTAGAGAAGCAGTAAGTACCTATTATAAAAATCACTCATAAATATTTCACTGTATCATAACTACTCATTACAAATTATATTTTTGTAATTACAGATATAACTCAGATGGCAGTTACAAAAGAAAGTACTTGGAGAAAAAACAGTCAGTTAAAGATGTAAATAACAACGATGATAATGGTACAGAAATTAAAAATGCTATTTCAGATGATAATTAACAATAAGAAGATATCTCATCAGAACATGAAACTAAAACTGCGGCAACATTGACTGTTGAATGTGACCGATTTTTATAAAATACTTAATGTGCTATCTACTAATTATCTACTTGTATTTAGTTTTAGATAAAATCTGAAATAAATTTTATAGTTATCTAGATTTAGATACGATTTCTTGTTTCTCTTAGTATGTTTTCACATAGTAATGCACATAAATCGGCACATTATACCAAGTGAATGTGACGAAAATTTTTAAATGAATCTGGAAATCTACTATTAGGTACTATATGTCTGATTTTTCTTCAATAACTTAAACATTATGTATTGAAACAATAGTATATATAAATGGGAAAAGATGTTTTACGACATTTTTTCAGCTATATATCTTTTAACCCTTACTTTAACACCTGGAATAGTGTATCTATTTTTAGATGAGACTATTTCTTCTGGATAGCCGACGGGCTTATAATCTACAGTTTCCTGTTTCGAAAATTCCTTTTCAGGTTTATTTTGCACAGCACACCTACAAAACAGAAATATTTATTCATTCAAAATGGATCTACAAATTTTGCAACAAGAAACCTCGTTAACTTCTACGCCAAAATGTATTATGCAAATTTTTCAATCTGAAATCTCATCGCCTATATTCCTCTTCAATTATCAATATTTCTATTGCAGGTTCTTTAATTAAAATTCTCCATAATCTATCATCTCTTTAATAATAATTTCAAATTTCAGCATAGTTACTTATTTCTACAAAATCATTATCCCAGTATCCTTTGTACCTTCTTCAAACCGTCGTACCTGGTGAGAAATAGTTTCCAAGCCACCGGATCATGAGCCATCATTGATGCAATCACCTTCCCAGCCTGTTCTTTTTGTTCTGTTGTACATTTCTTGCAATCTTCTCTAATGGCTTGAACAAGGACTCCTAAATTTTGAGACACAAAACAATATTATTAAAGTTGTATCTATGCACACATTTTTTGTCTTAGTTTACTTAGTTACCCGCTGAACTCGCGACTTTCATTCAAAATGAACTCAACAAACAAAATATAAAGGGAAGTTAATTGCAATACAATTAGTGAAACCATACCAAAATCATTTTAAGTCATTTTAGATATTAGCGTAAACAAACAAACAGACTAAAAATGTAAAAGTATTTGTTTTTGTTTCTAATACGTTGCTAAAGTCACCAATAATCATTTTTCAAATATATCTTCCATGCACAGACAGCGTCCAGTTAAATTTTTATTATATCTATAAAAAAAATACTTGATACTTCACCTTTTATTACTCCCATATCTTTGGAACAATATCGATCAACGGACATCAGGCATTTGACGTCTTCAGCCGGTAAGGGAGGTAAAGATTCATTTACATCCACTTTACTCTTCAAATTATCAGACTTTTCCATATCAGTAACTATTTCGTTAATTATTGATATATCTTCGTCTCCATATACAACTTTATATCCCCTGCTTACAATGCCATCGCCCATTCTTCTATCTATACCAGGGACTGTAATCTCTGTAAAGACGACGGTAGAAATTGACGTTAAAATAAAAAAAGTAAACCACATTGTCGTTGGCCGCGGTCACAGTTTGTTCTGAGAGTGAATCTGAATTGAAATTGTTGAATCCAATGGCCCTGTTGTTTGTCCTACTATGATGCAATTGTGCGTGCATCGTGTTTAATTATTTCAAAGATTTGTTACGTCCAAGAAAGAATGAAATGAGGGTTGTCAATCATTTATACATACGCACACCCTCAATATTTAGACATATATATATTAGATAATAAACATGAGCTTTTTTTGTAGCATTAAATTAAAATATATCACAGAATTCAAACAAGTAGGTATTTGTTTTAAATACGTGCTTATATATTATACATTTATGTGTATTTAGGTATAAACACATTGATTTTCCTCTTTTTTTATAGACCATCATAACTCCTGAATCATACACATACATACATGGTACATATCGTAATTTGAAACTCGTTAATTAATGTATTGGATCCAGAGTTAAAATTAATAACATAACAGGAGTGTTTCCCCCTAAGCGATATCAGAATGGAAACGGAACGCTGATAGGTAAGTAACTAATTACTCATTTAAATTAAAAACTCTGTAGGTAAATATAATATGCGTATGTATGTATCAAATAAAATATCAATCGCATTTCGAATACCAAATTGTCTGTAATCGGAGTAGCTATTTAGCCTTTTTAAAATAGCGAGTACTAGACACCCCTGTTGTTTACGATATTCGGGGCGCGTGACATCAACAAACAACCTTCGTTACGCACTCTTGCGCATACTAATCGCATTGGCGGCATATCTGTTGTTGATTTTCCAAACTACGATAACTTTTCATTATGTCAAACACAGACTATACTTATATCATACAAATGTGTTTACAAATAAAGCTTGTATACATCCATCAGTTTCATTTGTAGACTCACTGGGTGGCCTCTGTTGGGATTCACTCAAGTCAGTAAATAAAACTTAAATTGTTTATATACGGTGGGACGTTATGATGCGGCTCGAATGATAGATGGTAGGTGTTGATGGCTTCAACAGATTACAAGGTTGTAGAAATAATACATTTCGCTTCATATTCTTGAATTTAATTGGTACTATTTAAGATACTATTATAAATTACAAATTAGAATGAGTAAACAAAATGTACGTTGCGTCGATCGATTGATTTTGAAAGTCTGTACGTTATGTGTAGAATTCAAATTGGATGGGTGTGCGCTCCAATCAGAACGCTCCTTTTGTGTTGCGTTTTGTTGCTGCTCGTACGCGACATACGGATTTGTGTAATAATACTCAAAATGTTTAAGAAAAAATATTATAGAGACACTGGCACAAAAAGTTGTGTATTGAAATCTCAGCGATAGCAAAATAAAATGTGTATCGATTTATATTTCTGACTCCCGGTAGAAAGAAACACCGATAAAAAATAATAGGTAGACTCATAGACTCCGCCCCTGCCATGATGCATTCCAATATAGACATCGAAATGTCGATAAAATAAAAAAAAATGCTGTTGTTGTTGTTCTTTGTCAACGTAATAGCCCGAAACAATTATTTAGAAACTTTGCTAATATCTGAAATTGTTTAGGTAAATATTGTGTAAAAATTATCTCAAAATTTTGTGTCAGTTTTTCATAGTCGTTTTACAAACAAAAATGTCTAAATAAATTCTCATCACGAAATCGCGGGGTCAGCATATATTTATGTTTACGAACTACATGATAGTGGTGGCGGTCACCGTTCTCAATCACGTAATCGAGTTTATTTATTATTCTAGTAATGTATTTAAAAACAAAGTGTGCGTTGCACTCGTAGATCAAAAGTTCAGAAGAAATATTATAAATAATATTTTACTTTCTATAATTATTTTTTCTCAATTTAAGGTCATTTACACACATATTTTTCACAAAGGTTTTCTAACAGTCGTTTTTAAGTAAGGAAACCACAACAAATACGTTTATAGCACATATACAATATATCATTAGCAAATTAAAAAATCAGATATAAACCAACTTTGAGTGACTGATGCGGTGGTTGGTAGTACTTTTATACTAAGTATAATTGCGCTGCATGCCGTCGGCCCAGTAAAAATGTAACAAAATTATTAATGAGTTTCACGCCTAATACTAGCGAGCGTACACCCATAGCGCAACCGCTGTATTAAAAGGAGATCCAATAATTAACCACATAAATAAAAAAAAGTCGTTTTTCATGTAATGTTTTGTTGTAATCTTTTATTAAAGTTTTAGAGTGAAATATTGAGTGATTCAAAATTTCATTATATGATACATTTCTGTACATGTACAAATTAATTTCCAGGATGCAATACTGAATTAGCAAAATTTCACTATCGAACTCCAATATAACTATACACATGTAATATAAACGACGCCTATTTATATTTTTTAATAATCTATGATCCACACAGTTATAGTTCGACAATGTCTAGTTATACCTATTATGAAAATAAAACGATAAATCATGTCAACACTATTTATTAAATATTATTTCTCACTTTTTTAACAGATCCTCCATGATTTTCGACACTGCAGCCATGTCTAGCTTATTCTGAGAACTCTTGGCTACTATACCCAATAATGCTTTGAAAATTTTCGTTTTTCCTTCCTTATACTGTTTAACTAATTTTGGATTATTTTCCAAAACTGATATACATAGTTTAGTTAATTCTGATTCATCTGTTGTCAACGACCAGCCTTTTTCTTTAAGTAATTTTGAAGGTGATACATTGTTATTTGGATTTTGGACCAACTCATCAAGAATCAGTCTACAAATATCCAGATTGATCTTTTTTTGTAGCAGCAAATCAGTAAGTTCCAAAAGTTGTTGTGACGTTACTGGATAATCTTCAATATTAACTTTATTTTGGTTTAAGGCTGTGAGAAAGTCGTTTAGTAATAGATTGGCCACTTTGGTTGGATTTCTTTCTTTATTTGATGTGATATCTAAGAAATATTTTAATAATATAGGTTCATTAACAAGCTGTATAGCACTCTCTGGTCTTATTTGATATTCTTGTATGAGACATCTTCGTGTGTCTTCAGGGAGTTCTGGGATCTGATCTTGTATTAAAGGTACACTTATAACATCCTGAGTATCACTCTTTGTTTTCAAGTTAACTCGCAGCGGCGGGAGATTCGGCTCTGGCATATACCTGAAAAATATATACATAACTGTTATTATTATACTATTAACTATTTAAGAGTAAACTACAGAATTCTTAATACAGCATTGTAACTGAGTTATAGTTACTAACTCTACCTCAGTTACCAAACCAAAACTATCTGTTTCACTTCAAATGGGCGTATCTTAGGAATAACAATGTTACAGATAGACATGATATAGACAAACATTATCCTCTAGTAATTTATTAAAATCTCAAAAAACAGCCAAAAAATTAAAAAACCTACACCTCGGAGGTCGCGTATTCGATCCTCCTCAGTATCTCGCACGAAAGAAACATTTGTAGTGATGACTATTTGACATCGTATTATTTAAAACTTATTTTATCTGTCTCACCCAGACTATTTTATATATGTCATGTATTTACAAAAAATTGTGTGTAAATATTTAAGTATTTCTATCAGTTTGCTCAGTAACCACTACACAAGCTCAAGCTATCTTTGGACTAGACGGCACTATGTGAATTGTTCTGAGATATAATGAATTCTATATTTTTGATATCATATTACTTATATAGTGCTCACCTATAATCCTGCACAACTTCTTTATCTCGCATCGCCACAGTAATCTTATTTGTGGCGTCCCAAGAACGTGTTTCGTTCAAGATGGTTCCACCGTTTTCAAGTATTGTTCGTTGACGATCGATCTCATGTCGAATTGCGCCCGCCACTCCACGAACTGATCCGATATTTTTAATCTGTAATAGAATGTATTATTATATATTAGCACAAAACACAAAGTCAAATATGAGTTGGCCATTGTTAGAAGTTGAGGGGAATTATTATGAATGAATATAAATGATCATATTAAATCAAAAATAAGTTATTCATGTAGGACATTTTAGACACTTTAATAATTGTGTCAAAAATAGTAAAATAAGATTTTCAAACCAGGACATGACATAGAAATATTTGCTATATAGAAATAGAGAGTGATATTAATATTATCATCCCTCATATGAAAACAGTGACCATAATTATAATAATTATCACCTTATACTGTCATTAAGTTGTAAAGTAAGGTATTATTAATAAGGAATTGTACCTCAGTCCGTGTTGACAGAGGGTCTCCATAGCGGCGCAGTGACACATTGGCATCAACTCGTAACGCGCCCTCTTCCATACGACCTGTACAGGCATCAAGCCGTTGTACAATTAATATTAGCTCTTTCACTAGTGCGGCCGCCTCTTCGCCATCCTGTAAAAATCAGACAGCAAAATTACATACAAATCTTGTTTTACTTCTCATAAAGTCATCAATATAACTATGAATAATAAAATATTCTAAGGTCTGAGAATTTATTAGTAAAAATCACCAGCAGTGTTTCAAACTTAGGAGGCAAACAAAGGGCAAATATAGGAGTTTATACATGATCATGGTGGTTGAAACACTACTGAAATATCACAAACTCAATAAAATAGAATGTGAGATTTCATCATATTTACTAATTATATTATATGTATAAATAATGACCGTGTCAAATTTAAAACATATTTCTATGTTTGAAAAAAAACAGATAAACAGTCTCAGAATATGAATGCAAATAAAGCTATTTATATAACTGTGGACTCATGTGGAAAATCACAATTAATTTACTCATTTTATGAAGTTTCAAAGATCATATCCACCGTGTGAAAGGAGAAATTTGTTACTTTTTAAATTGTATTTAATATATAATATAGTTAACTCGAGTATGGGATAAAACTCAATTCAATAGTAGGTACTGAGTAATAAAGTATGTAGTATATACAAACAATGAAGTGCAGTAGGACACAAAATTTTCATCAAAATGGAAAATTAATGTCTTTGAAATCTAAACTGTGAAATTTATTTGACTGTTGTAACTGGCTAATGAAGAAATGTCTTATATTCTAAATTTGTATTTTAATTTATAGTTCTTTTATATTACATTCTTGTGTTTGATACTTCAATTCCTTCTTTCTATTCTGTTATGTCAGTAGTATATATTAATATATATTTTTCTCTGTTTACCTAGTCTTTTTTCTTATTACATGAATAAACTACAACATATTCCCATATACCTGATGATCCCTGATTGGTCATCTTGTAATCATATTCCCATATTAATATACTCAATATTGTTTAAATGCTAATAAAAAACAAATATGTTGTTTAATAAAATAAAATAAAATTTCATTTTAGTACATATTGTTAGGTAGGCTGTATCCATTTACATAGTAAAAACAAAAAATTTTACAAATATATTGCCATAGGGAAGAAAAGAAGATATACATTACCTCCAAATCAGGCTCAAAAACAAGCTCAATAAGTGGCACCCCGGCTCTATTTAAATCTACCAGACTTCGTTTTAATTCATCATCATGTAAAGATTTGCCACTGTCTTGCTCCAATTGAATTTGTTTGATTTTTGAACTCTTGTTATATGGCTCTTTATGGACTCCTGGTGTGAATACCTGTGGACAATACAAATTCAAAAATTATTGTAATTTGTGCCATATTTAGATAATGTAATATATGTAACCTGAGATAAATTTATTATAATACTATTTGAAGATTTATGGTTCTTTTTTAGGACTATATACTTTAATATTAATTGTAATTATACTCAAATACATGATTTTTATCATTATTTAAGGTGGTAAGTAGGAGGCTGAAGGGTAGTAATATGGACAAATAATTCCATAGCTAGCAATGTATAAGCATGTCAAGTTATTAGTTAGTTACAAGTTTCTAACAAACCATTATAACAAAAACCTGGTGAAGTTGCCATGGTGGGATAATTGATCTGATCTTAAACTCATCTTATCATGCTACCCTGGTGCCAGCCAGTACAAGCTGCTGTGGAAGTCGGGCGCATCATTTCATTATAATCAATTAAAAAATTATATTGTAATCAATACAAGTTTTTTCGTCTTCCTAATAAATAATAGATGTCACTAAATAAAATACCTGAAAATTAATAACACCATTGCTAGCCAGCGGCGCTCTTTGTTGTGTTATCTGATACCCTGTAGGCAAATCCGCGTAAAAATAATGTTTTCTGTCAAAAGTGGAGACTTCATTAACGCGACATGACAGTGCTAAAGCAGTCTTAATACCAAGTTCCACACATTTTCTGTTCAACACTGGTAGTGTTCCGGGTATAGAAGCGTCGAATAAAGAAACACAATTATTCACTAACCCACCAAATGTATTTTCAGCACCAGAGAAGAGCTTAGATTCAGTATTGAGCTGTGCATGTACTTCTAAACCGACAACGCTTTCCCATTTTTTATTAGTAGTTATGGAAAAGTACCGCGACCAAATAATTCGCTTGACTTTTTTATTTAAACCACGGTGTATTTTAAATAACCACATTTTTTTTTAATAAATTGCACTAAAATAAAAGATAATGGAAGTTTAGAATATACATTTGTTTATTTGGATACTTCTCATGTGTGGATATGACATAATTCGAATTCAAACTTTTGAAGTTTGAATGGACTGACTGATTATATACTGACTAGGATTTATTCTTATTTTGACAGACATAATGAGTGCACAGACTGAATATTACCCTTTACTTGACATACTTCACTGAAATTGTATAAAATAACCCGAAAAAAAATTTACATGTAAAAATTATATATCTATTTTTTCTCTATAAATTAATACTCATTACTTCGTTAGTATTTTAGATCTTTTGTTTAAATCCGCTCAAATAATTAACTTATATATCAAATGACAGTGCTAAACTAATTGAATCAAGTGAACTTTGTACCCAAGTGAAACCAACAAAGACATATAGTCTGTTATGTTAGTTATAACATAGCCCCAATAGATGGCGCCAGTAATTTTCCCGTTGTCTATCTATTCAATTCAATATTACACATACAACTTCCAATCTTTTTCTTGATATTTACTTAAAATGGGGAGTGGTAGATTATAATATGTTTACTTTTACTTTTGTTGAAATAGGTAATTCTACTGTTCACTATAAATTAAATAACCTATATACCAATTTGATAAGGTAGTTGGATAATAATAAAATTAAATCCTGAAAGAAATACAAAAAGCAGTAGTAATTTTATGAGACTACGTTCACGCTTTTTTGTTACTATATTTTTCTAGCAGTTGAATTATTGTCATCAAATCAACATACAATACATCAAATCAGTACACTCTAATACCTGCCACTATATTTATTAATTAATATCAATATAGTAGCAGGTATTTATATAGTTATATACTCGTATACTAAGATTCTAACGTAAATATCGATTTGTGTGTACCCAAATACTGTTACCGTAATATGATATGGCTATTTACAAGTTCTTAAATATCCAGGAAAACCCAACCACCACTTTAATGCTAATTCAACTATAAAATTATATTTAAATTTAGTGTCACTTACCCTTGTTTTAAGTAATATTTAATTTCCTGACGAGTAGTTACGTATGGATTTGTAGTTAATTATGGGTATGTTTTTAATCAATTTTAAAATAATGAATTACCTAACACTTAAATAAGGCTAAAACTTGCTTAATGTATAAACTACTTATAACTAGCATTACCATTTACAGTAGATATCACATTTTGGAAAATACTTGTTAAAAAAGTAATTACGCGACCAAACCCGTTACCACTTCAAACAACAAAGAAAAAAGATAAAGAACTACAAAAGCCAAGGTAGCTTCAGCGATCGAATACATTTCTAGCGATCTTTTTTTTGAAAAAAGAATTAAAATGCGTTCCGTTGTTCGTGATTTGTAAACAACGCACGGTCGAAGTAAGAGCTTCGCGACTTATTGCTGGTACGACTCGACTACGACTGCGAGTCAAAACATCACAAGGTTCAATATGCAATTAAGCCATAACGTTATAACCGGACCGATTGTGAGTGTACTTCTCTATAAAGGCAAATGTTATTTACTATGTAGCTCTGTATTTTGATTAGGTATATACTAAATGTTCTAGAGCAAAGTATTGTACACACCTATCCTGACATAGCAAGGTAAGTTCCGATAATCATAGGTAATAAATATAATCATAGGAAGGTACCTTAGGTAACATTTTTCCGAATAGGAAACTAACTTATCCATATGGATGAGATCAATATTAGAATGGACGTATAGGATAATCATGAGACTATCCTATGTGTCCATTCCGTGCTCTTCTATTCAGTTCCGAAAAGAATACACCAACCACCTGTACCAACATTGTCTTTATTGAACTAATCTAATTCTAATTTAGTACAGCCTTGATCTATAATAGTAATTTGAACTCGTAGCTGTTCATCCCTTTCGTCCCTAAAGCCAGATGCCACAAGCATTATTATTATACATTTTCACATTTAATTAATGTAGATAGCCAAAATATACAATGTTTCAATACGAAGACATAATGGAACTTACGGAGTTCTGAAACTACACTTGAACCGATTTTTGAAATAAAAATAGAAATAAAAGACTTTCGTTACGTTGCCAAAAAAAATAGGGGGTTCCGAAGCGAAAAGTTTTTCGATCTGAATCAGGGTCCAAATGTACACGGTTTTGTTTTTGAGCTCAACTAAAGTTCATACTATCTACTATCTACTTATACGTCATTATGTAATTTTATCATAGGTGAAAGTTTTAACTCTCTAGCTGTTAGTTACTTAATATGCGCTGTATATTCTTTGAATCAACTGGAGAAATTTAAAATATTTAATCGAATTATAGAAAGGTGACGGCATTAACTGCGTCACAAAGGACATTTAAGGGCCATTATCGCAACTGCTTTTCTCTTATAATAAGTACCTAATTATAGAATATTTTTTATTAAACCTTTTGCATAGTTACTTTTCGTGATTATCTATATACCACCACATTCGAAATGATGAATCGGTCAACCAGTAAGTAGTTACATTTTGATATATAAAATAGACTCTCAAAAAGAATAGACCAGAAACTGAACAAACCCTGGGCTCCTATCGAACAAAAGTTATACAACTTATAAATTTTGGGTGAGTACAAGTCACTAAAATCATAATAATGACATACACATCTCAAGAATCTCACTATGTATTGACTATACTTATAAAAATAATTGTGTGTGATTTGAAACGATCAAATAAACGACTTTTCTATCAAACAGCAATATTTCTGGTAGCCTATTAATAGGCTACCAGAAATATGACCACTTCTAGTTTCAATGAGGTATCATTAATACATTCTTTGTACAACGTATTATTTTTATTATTAACTTTTTACCTTGTAATCATTATTATTGTAATACAGTAAAACTGCCAGGTCTCTAGTAAATTTTGCATTTTTATCTAAAGCTATATATCTACATATATAGTAGGTACTATAGTACTTACAACCTACTTTATAAATATATTTTCTAATTGAACTGCACCATCTAAAAACTGGTTCTAGAGAGATACCAACGTTAATAGCCTACCCACTAATACCTAATGTTTTCTTGACAAGTTCATAAACGACATACCTAAACAGTATATCTAGGTACCTATTAATTGGTACGAGTTTTGCGCAATTACTTATTTGCGCAATATCTACAAATAACAAGCTAATCCACGAACAATGACAAATATTAGCATTTCAAATACCGTGTATTCATTAGAAAATATTGTTAAAAACAGTTTATTTTGCAAATTTTAACAGTACCTACTACAACACGGTGACGGATGAAAGACAAATGCATTCAATTGAAATGAGATATTGAGATCGATGTGTGACGAGAATGGACGAGATAAAGAAATGATACATTAGTTTAAGTATTACACCATTTACTTGTTTGCTACTACTTTCAGTAGCAAACTAGTAAATGGTGGAAAATGGCAGAAGCTCGAAAAAGAGATGGATGAACTGTGAGAAAGATGTTATAGCATGATAGGTAGTAAATTACGAGATAACTGCAAATAGGAATTAATGTTATGAAAAACATGTCACACTGACCCCTAATGAATTAATTAAATAATTAATCATTTTGCAGTGAAAGGCATTTTTTTTACATATAGAAATGGAATGTCGCACCTGCCTGCGCTAACGGTTTACTCCGGCGAGGTACCAGTGGAGGATAATAAAATGAGCGTGAGGTCATGTCAGTTTGTCATTGTGACAATTGTGACATGGACGTCAACCTGACATTGTACATAGCTAGCAATGGGATCGTTAGTCTACATTACTAACCCCTTTCCCTTTCCCAGTGGAAAAGTATTGCTAGAAGTAGTCAGATCAACCTTCACGAATTTCCCCCTAGGAACCATTGACATTAATTACTGGTATGTTCACCACAATGGGCTAATTGGCTAAACTTCATGCTCTTCCTATCGTCCTTCTTTCTCACTTGTTTTACACTATATAGAATGGTATACATATAACGTAAAAAAAGTCAGTGACGCTCAAAGAGCGGGTGAGAAAAAGTCAAACGTCCTTCAAGAGTTGTCTGGTCTTCGGTTCCCATAAAATCATGTCTTAATATACTCGGGCCAAAGTGATGCTGAATGTTATCATGTTCTAAAAATACTAAACAGCAAAGTGATTAAATTCATAATGGAACTAATAGGAGAGTAAATTCTATGGATTAAAAAAAACAATTTTGATGTAGATATTTCAATAATAGACTAAACCTCTGACTCTACCGCTAAGTAGCTTGTCTTGTATGTGTTTTGATTGTGAGTTGCATCAAGACAGTAAAATTACGGAGATATATAAAACATCTCCTCCGGAATGGAAATGTATGCGGGATGCCGCAGGCGTCATATTATGACTTGATCCGTAATGTTATTCTTAATATATTCGTATAGACTTTATTTACATAACGGTTGCCACTTCTGCACTGCAGCTGAACCGATGGCTTATATGACGTTCCTGTTACATAACCTGCTACATAAAGAATATCTTTTTCCTAATTACTTTCTTGTGGTTGTAATCATTAATTGCAACACTTAGTTATCCCCATATATAGCTATTATATACTTACTTTCTCATTATACGTGTATACTTAGTTCCTCCCCCAATGGCGATCAGTAGCGAGAAGATTATTACTACTCGAAGTCCTCAATGACTATACGGAAAAATTGGATATTAAAAATAGAATAATAGGTATTACAAATATACTATAAATAACATAACTATACTTAGAAAAAGTCATCTAAAATAAGACATAGGTGTTATAAAACATACGACGAAAAAATATCGAAACTCGTTTATCGTTTGTTTACAATGCCTTTATTATTTCATTTACGTCATCATGATGATGATGAACAAGTAGTCCGGCTAAGGTAGAACATTCAGAGGGAAACCACCTTTAACTATAATAATTAAAACTGTCTTCCTTATGAAATAGGTAGACAGTAAGGTATATCTATCTATTCTATTTATTACTCTATCTAAATATTTATATCAGTGCATATTGAAAACATTTAAATCTTCACCAAGTTTTAGTATGTGACAATGTCACAACTAGTGTTTAAAATTTGTTGTGATACATACT